TTATTTTGATGTATTATCGACCTATTTTGTCATTGGTAATTCGGATATTTACAGACTGAAATGGAAAGCCCGAGTTTCACGATTTATTAGTGGAATTACAAGTTTCGGCCACCTGTTTAGTGTAAAAATGTTTTGAACGGGTCTTAAATAAACTAAATTTAAAGTAAAAATAGATTGCTAACGAATAAATAAATATACATGTAGATTTTAGTTTATACTGTGTTTTCGTAAATGTACAAACCTTTTTGAATATATACACTATGTACATACCCAGTGTATGTATATACATAGATCTCTTATTATCTTGTACTCGCGGGGCATTTAAACCACGAACCATTGGTTAAAAGTCATGCATTGACACTAAATCAAGATCGCTATAAAAGTAACGCTAAATTAATGAGTTCGCTACTTTAAAACTAAGTTTCTATTTAATGTATACAATGTCAATTAATTTTCTACGCATTGCATCTGTTAATTTATAAGTACAAAACTTTTTTTCACGCCTGTTTAATAAACGAGAAAATGTGTTAACAATAAAAGGGATAAAATCTATTCATCTTTTTTAAGGTGACACTTGATACGAAATAGTAGTACTGTAAAATTTTTATGACTCTTAACAACAGTTAATTATTATATTAATAAAAAGAAATGCCTACAAAAATTAATAATTTTTGTAACTCAATATATTGGCGTACATTTTTTAAAAGCACATAGTTTATACTTTCATCAACAGAAAGCCATGATGATCTATGTATGTGGCGCCAAAGTTTGTAGGTCGGGATTTTGATACACAAATTGTCAAGAGACTTCTAGGCTATTCTTCCATTGCTACATAAGACCGATTCAAGATTTAAATTAAAGCACTTTTAAGTGTTTAAAGGACGAAATAAATTAGTTAACCTATTTACAATTTTTTTTGTCTACTGGCCTATGTTGTGCAGCAGCCATCGACGGGGGGCTCAGATAAAATAAATTGTAAATAACTAAATAAAATTCGTGTTACATATAAACCGCTAAGAGTATTTTATTTAAATGTGTACTACTCACGTAAACTACAGACCATACTTAACTACGTTTGTACTTGTGTAATCTGGACACTGTGTCGTAGCAATATCGAAATTCCGCCCGGGTTACAAACGACCGGCTACTGATAAAAAAGCCGTTAAGTTGAATAGCCCTAATTTGTTATTATTAGTTATATTTTAATTTAAAGTAACCCCCGGCAGAAGTGTTAAATTTTCTTAAACTAGTCTAAAGTTATATAGGTATTTGAAGTCGATTAAGACTAAATTATAAGATGCTATACGCGTTGAAACGTGCTCTATACAATGTTTAAGGCCGGTTGTTATGTTTAAACTTGGCTTTCAAGCATATCCTGCGTTAATCCATTTTCGATGAGAAATATTACAAGGTTACCTTCCTAAGACCGTCAATATATACATACTAAATTTCCTCTTGAAACATTTGACGTAGCTGAGAGCTTCCGAAGGGGTTTTAGTGTCACATTGTGATCACGGGGATATTACATAGGTAAGTAGCTTAGACTAATTCAGTAGTTTAAAGTGGGTAGTTGGTTTTTTACGCATAATGCCATGAGCGATGACATTGCCCCGTCTGGGGGTATTTTAAACTTACAGAGTAATAATAATAAAATCATTTTAAAAGTTCCACATGTAAAGTACGAACTAAATTAATTTTATAATTTTACTTAAGACAAATTATATACATATTTCAAAGCTGAAGATGTGTTTGTTTGAACGCGCTAACTAACTGATTCGATTCGAATTGAATCTTTTTGTATTGGCTAGAGCATTTATAGACAAAGGCTTTATGAAACATCGTGCGGCGACCAATGAGTGGAGCGAAGAAAGAGTGGAAAATGTGGGTAAAACGGGGAAAATGATTCATCTTTAAGGGTTTCCGTTGCGTCCGCTGCGAAAACGATTCGATTGACGAAAAAATCTCGGCGAAAATGATTTCTCTTTACACGATGTAAAAATCAAAAAATGTATATGACAGTATATGTCTATCTCTTATGATTAACTTGCAAGTACCACGGGATGTGGACGACGTGTAATTTTGATGCCCAAAGTAATTATTTTTGGAAGAGGTACGCGGCCATAGCTAGTAAATATGTAAGGCATGAAAATTTAAAAATGGTAACTCCTAAAACGTAACGTGTACAAGTAGTGACTTTGCCTGAGCCCCAAATTCAGGGCGTAAAAACATTTTCAATCCCTTAAAACTCTCTAGTTATACGAACTATACTAACAGTTATACTAACACTAATCAACAACATATTCCTTAGATATAAAAAAAAATATCTAAATCAGAATTAAAACGATAAACTCCAGCAACTATAGCAATATAATTATAGATAGGATCTTGTGCGCGTACGATCCATTTTGTTTTTGACTTGAACCGGATGAAACTGGTTTAAGAAGTAACCTTGATTATTTTTAATACCTTTTTGTATTCTGCCTGCGTTCAACTGTATTGTTATGATCTACATATTTATTTTTTAGTACCTAATACCATAGTACCTATTTTTAACAATAACAACAAACAAACAAAACTATTGAAGGGCAGTCAAGCAAGTGGACAGACAAGCAAGAAGCTCACAGAAGGACGGTGATATACCCCAGCCATTTAACTTAACCAGATACGCTGTCGGCCTATTTTGGCATTGCATATTCGGAAATCCACAGACTGAAACTGACGATTAAACTTGACTCCTTTTTTATCTGTGGATGATAGTTCGCGACCCGGAAGGAATTTCTCTATACCACTCATTTAAACTGTTTATTGATTCCACCAAATAATTAATGACTAAAAAATAATACGTCAGTTTAATATAATGCTAATCAAATTATTAAATCTCAAGTATGTTTACATTATGATATTCCCTTCCCTTTCCATTCTTTTAGCCTTTAATTAAAATTATAATTTCATTATTAATACTTTTAATATATATGTATAGTTTATAGAAGCTCATGGCACTACCATGAGCTTTTATTAACACGACACCCGTTAAAAGTACAATAATATTATTGGGTGGGCACGTGACCGAAAAAAAACAATACCTCATAATATATTTGTTAGAATTATTATCCCATAGAAGATAAGTCATGACACAACTGCCCTTACTTAGCTATGTTGAAGATTAAAGACTAAAATATTTTTTTATAGTCTCTCCTAAGTCTGCTTGTCATAGAAATGTTTGTTAGGTAGAAATCTGTGCGTGGTACAGGTAAAAAAAACAGAAGTCTTACCGGTCACAGTCCACAGTTGACACATCACCATCGCAACTTGATGTACTGATGGTGAAGCCATGGGCTTTGAAGAATGACATCCATTTCTTACCACCTTCCTCTTCCACGCTGGAATCCACGATGGACACTGTAGATGAGTGTGCTATCTCTCTGCAGGTCATCTAAAAAAAATAAACTTATTTTTAAAACACAAATATTTGTTGGTCTAATTTTAAGTTACATCTGTTAATTAAGATTTTCTGTTTAAACTACAGGTGATACTTAATTCCTTCTTCTTTAAAACCAATAAAGTAAAATAAATGTCTATGTATAACCTAAGTACAATAAAAAACGAGACTTCATGGTGTTATAATTATTTTTAACGGTAAAAAATAAATAAAGTCCCTTTCCGACTATAGGTACGACACAATATTAAAATCACATTCATTTACAATATTCATTTTAGTGTTTTTATTATAAAATCAATATCTTATATTATGTACACGTCGTATATCGATTTTTTTACACAAAGTTATTTAATAAAAACTAGATAAATAGTAAAATAAAAGCCACTAACCTTCATTAAAATGTTACAGTATTCAACATCACACCTAAACAACTATGAACAGACACGTTTAACATATTTGTAATGTTTTTTTTCTAATACTACCTTCATAAGTTCTTTATGTAGAACAAAATTGGAATCCTAAACATATTGTTAAGAGAACCATCTATTGAACAACTATAGTACCATGTCAAATATAGTTTAATTCTTAAAGTTCCAACGTACACTCATAGATGGCGCTGATATAAATTGAGCATACGTCAATAATTGACGTTTATGTTTTTACCCGTTCTAACTTATTATAAAGACAGAGATAGCTATACAAATGGTTTCAAAATTGTTTTTCTCTAATTCGCGTTCAATGTTTTGGTTGTAGATTCGTCAATAATGTTCGCACTTAAATGCTGTGCGGTGGTTCCTTATAATGATGACTGTGTTTTGTGATATTTCACTATCAATCAATATAGTGTTGTGGTTTTCCCTGAGATACAATTGAACAAGTAAGTTTCGGAGCAATATATAAAGCCCTTAGTATTAAGAAATATGTAAGATTTCGCGCTAATTAAAAAAGTGAGGGTGGACTAAAGTGTCCCTTTTAATGTTTACACTTCAGACAGTATACACCATTTACATAAATATACTTACTTACATAACTTTATTTATTTATATGATTTTCTACTTTAAATAAACAGAGACAATTATAAATTTATTTCACTAAATTCAGCAGTCTTTATGATTGTATTTAAGAATATAATAAAAATTAAAATATCTTTTCAACAATAAAATCAATTCAGTTTAGCTTTTTGTTTTGATGTTTAATTAATGGATGGTAATTATAAAAAAAAACTAACTTGATATTAATATTTTGTAGATTAAATAAAACTTACCTCATGCAGTTTTAAGAAATACCAACACTATACGTATACATATACTACATCATAAATAAAACTTGTGATAAGTCAAAATCACAGTTTTTAGTGAAGTTATTAAATCATTATAGTTTTTAAATAATACATATTAACACTTTACATTAAAAAATATTTAATTGAACAAGCATAAAGTTGTAGACGTTATTGAAACTTATAATTTTTTGTATTGTGTACGAAAAGCAACTTAGAAATATAATCTAAGATCCTATAAATGGTTAGTTCATCATCACCCATTTCGATTTTTGTTAGATGAAGATGAAGACCCGCCTTACCTCGGTCTTGTACTTGGGGTACACGGCGATGGATAGACGTTTTTCCAATTCCATGCTTCCTTGGCTGCTTCGGGAGGTTCGAGCTACCGGAATTCGGGATAAGGTATCAGAGAATTAAATACTGTCTATAGTTTACACGATTAGTACATATTTAAATAAAACACTTTAACGGTTTAAAACGCGATATATTAGTTAAACTTATTTGGAATTGATTTTTTTAATATATCGCGTTTTAAACCGTTAAAGTGTTTTATTTAAATATCAGAGAATTGTTACAGAACTATGTAGCGTATAGCATTACATGTTACATTATTTCGTTATTTATTTAGTTATTTCATCCATTACGATAAACAAGGTTTGCACAATGGATGAAATAACTTTTCTTTAAATTTTAGTTCTAAGAAGGTATCTCTCGTAAAATCACTGTGTAGTAAACTCCCGTATCCCCTATGTGGCAGACATACTATTGCGCCCGTTTCACTCAAAGATTATATTTAGAGTTGGTGATCAGCCTTCTGTATCCTGAATACCATTTACCGAGATTCGATTTCTATCAATTTGTGCTCATTGCAAACGTAGCGTAACTATTTCTCTTTTAAAATTTTAAATCACATATAACTTAAAATATTCAACTTAACGCCAAGTTCTCAAGTATTTACTTAAATTAGTTAAGGTTAGGTTTTCGCAGAATTCGTCTCTTTCAATATAAATAAACAAACATATTAGTGTCCATTGTGTATTTTTCTCACAGCTTTGACTTGACAAACGTATTTTTTCTTCAGCTCAGTATTGTGGTGGAAGATGGTTGCTTGAAGGCTTACAATGGAAATTTTGAGCCAGTAATTATACATCGGCTTGTCGACATTTTAAGGTAATCTATGTATAATCTATACTAGCTGTGCCAGCGACTTCGTCGTTATTTTAGGCATCCAAATTAGTTTTTGCAAACCCCGTCATCTTCATAAACTTAAGCTGTTAGCGATGACGACGATCGCGTCCCTTCCAGCCATTCTTGCAAGTTACACTTAAATGATAGACTTATAGCGTCGCGAACTTTTTTTTAGAACAAGAGGAATCATTCTTTCATAGACATTTTTTTATTTTAAACCGTTTTCGCAGCGTACGTATCTGAAGCCCACAGAGATGAAATATTTCCCCCCTTTTTTTCAAATTTCCCGCTGTATCTTTGCGTCTATTCGTTACAGTTTTATACCCTATAGCCTTCTTCAATAAATGCTCTAACCAACACAAAAATAATTTTTCAATTCGAACTTGTAGTTCCTGAGATTACTGCGTTCAAACAAACAAACTCTTCAGCTTTATATATTAGTATAGATACATGATGAATAGACATTCTTCGTCTGTAAATGGAGTAGACATCAAAAACAATGTACGGATGACCTACTGAGTCCTAATCATGATCGTCAATTTTTTTCAATCTGTTGCTACAAGGACCTCTCGCGCAATATAATTTCACTTTATCAAATCTTAACACTTGTGATCGATTTAAAATTTATATGGTGCCAGTGCAATAACATGTAAAAATATAAAAGTTTTCAAGCTAAACTATGTATAAGTACTGCCAGTATAAAAAATCCCACTCAATTAAGACCATTGCTTATTTTTCTATAGTAGTTTTTAGTATCTAAAGAAATCTAATTTATATTTTTATAATTGTTCGTTGATCTCACGTTCCGATGTAAGCGCGTAAACAAAGTACCGTCATAAATTAGCTTTTTATAATTACACATATTTAGCAAAATAATTATTTTCTGTAGTTTACACAACTAGTACACATTTAAATTTAACACTTGAACGGTTTAAAACGCGATATATATTAGTTAAACTTATTTGAAAATTATTTTAACTCTCCGCGTCCATCCATGGCTGCTGTAAAACATCTGAAACGTTGGGCCGTAGTTAAAAATAATTTTCAAATAAGTTTAATATATATCGAGTATTAAAACGTTTAAGTGTTAAATTTAAAATCATAACTATCACTTTACTACACGTTAGATAAATACACACTTGTCTATTTATCCAACTTCCAATCGTGAGGACGGAAGTACGATCTCCAGTTTTGTACCAATAACATCTAGACATACTCGCGTTAGTTCTTACTAGTGAAAGTCTTAACTTAGATCATATTTAAAATTCATATTATGACAGGGCAAGCCAAGTACCTGGTCGACCTGATGAGCTGTTCTACATTTTGCTGAACGAGAAAGAGGGATTGCTTCAGTGTTTCTTATTCAAGACAGCTACAGTAGCTGAGGTAAGCGCTTTTTTCAGTTTTTCCTGTCGAAAGAAATATTGGTGTGGTATTTATAGTATTAGCCAGGAGGAGGTTCAGGTTTTAGCACTGAAGCAGTAATAATCAAACCTTAAAAAATATAGGACTTTAAACATTGTTGCATTTATTTGGTATTATATTACACTAGCTGTGCCAGCGACTTTGTCCGCGAGAATCGTTATTTTCGGCATCCAAATTAGTTTTTCAAACCCCGTCATCTTTATAAACTTAAGTTGGCCACGATGTAGATCGCGTCCGTTCCCGTTGTTCTCGCAAGTTAATCTTAAGTGGTAGACATATAGTTTCGCGGACATTTTTTTGAGACTATTAAAAGAGATTTTTTTTTATAACCTTAGGGTATCGTGAACCGTTTTCACAGCACAAGCAATGGAAACCTGCAACGATGAATAATTTTCCTGTTTTTCACATTCCCCTCCATTTCTCTATTATTGATCGAAGCCTGATGTTTAATGGAAGAAGCTGAAACCGTCAAAAAATAAAACAAAATCTAAGATCTCTGAGATAAGCGCATTGAAACAAACTTTTCTGCTTTATAATATTAGTATAGATAAATCTCTTCTTAACGGTTTTCGACGTGAACTATTAAAAACGTGTTTTAATGCGTGCTATTTGAGTTCACCTACCTTGTACATAATATGTAACATAACAATAGTTAAACATCAAAGTCGCAAATATCTCTAAGCCAGTTTGATACTATATATAAAATTTAATATAAGACTGGGTGTTTTTTGTCGTCATATTAATTGGTTTTTGATTGCTCAGTTTAATTCCTTTTTTGTATTGTTAATTTTTAAGTTAATTTTAGTTAAAAAAGGTTAATATTGGAGTATATATGACCCGAGCAGAAGATAAGAAACCGTTATAACGGTTTAAAAAAAAATGTTGTTCAAATTGTATTATATATTAGTGTTGGTGTACAAAATAAAAAAAAAAATTGTTTTTCCTTTTTTAGCATCATTATGCCTCAGATTCTAACATAATATATCGTCATGCTTCGTTTAATATTATTTATGATTAATATATTTCGTTTGAAAACTTTAATATTTTTTAAATGTGCACACGATGGCACTATATAAATTAAAAATCCATTTTAAATTTAAACGCGGTTGCGACGTGGGCTGGACTTGAACCACGGCTGCTCCAGAGCAATCGAAACGTCGGGCAGAACAGAGTTTTAAACTGTTAAAAACTTTTATTTAAATATGCACTACTCGCATAAACTACAACTTAACCTAAACCGGAGTTTAACTTAAACGAAACCTAATTAAATAATGTTAATGCCTATAGCCTTTCTCGATACATGCTCTAACCAATCCAAAATGTTCAATTCGACCCAGTAGTTCCTGAGATTCGCGTGTTCAAACAAACAAAATCTTCGGCTTTATATATTTAGATATGATATGGTCGCGTAATAAATAATTACATGCTTTAAAACTATAATATTACATGTAGTTATATCCAAAAATAGTCAAACTAAGGTTTTTCACTTATTAACACGATTACAGGCTTTGATGGGGGCGCCATCAATCACGTGTCGTAAAAACACTAAGCAAATGTGACATAATGTGACCTATCACAAGGTTGATGACACTGTATCCGAGCCCAATTAGGTGATGGGTGAGGGCTATTGTTGGATATCATCAGTCACTGTCATGCTAAACAGTATCTACTTAACAGTGTACACTTATAATAAATTGAAAAAAATTAAATAATATTAATTATTAATTTGTAATCTATTTTAAGTTGTTATTAAATCCCCTTTTATTCGTTTATATTACTGACCGCCTCTGTAGCCAAATGGTTAAATATGTTGCCAAGCGCGGGAGGGAGATTCTGGGTTTAAATACCAGGGCACTGTGAATAGATTTTTTCGCTCAGGCGGGGCACAAAAGTCTGTTTTCCTAGTTGCCCGTAAAAGAACCGAATTGTAAAACACACACAAGGGGAATCGGGAATTCACTTTTATGCATTTTATGTTTGTTTGTTTGTTACAGTAACAATAAAAAGCATTATGTAAAATCGAATTTGAAGCACTAAATTATATAATCTTAAAATAATATAAAAAATCTTAGGTTTAAAGAATTTCGATGGGAGGTAGGAATATCGATATTTCGTCCGGATCACAAACCACCGTCCACGGATGATACGTAAAATTAATTTTTTGCTCTGCAGTAACAAAACAAAGTCGCGGAGAATTTAAATATTTTCCTCATGACGTCACTGTGGCAATCAATTTTTTTACTAAAGACTATTTTTAGCGGCAATATACAATAATGTGTGTGCGCATTATATAATGATTTAAATACAAATACGCGCGTGTTAAAGACGGGAACACCTTGATTTCGTACCTTGACTAATTTTAAAATTAGATGATTAGCATTACATACTAGCATTCAGTTATTAGTTAAACGCATTTAAACAAGACGCGTGTATTTTATTTTTTATTTAATAAAAAATAATCTATAGTCTCGGTTTGCCATCGAACTATAAAAAAAAATAAAGCTTAGATACTATTCAAAAATGGAACATGTGCATTTTGGAATTGAAGCACAGATAAGAAAGACGAAGTAATCCGAAGAAGAAGATATCGTATACACAAGAGAATTATTGGAAATTATATATTTAATATTATTATGGTGATTTTATAACCTGTGTGGAATATACAGATAAGCATAAACTTTTACTCCTTGCTCATCAATTCTATATATGATAACTAATATATAGTTTTAATTAAAAACATGTGCTATCAGTGGTTAATAAAAACACATGTGTTGGATATATTTCTCGCGTATTGAACTGCAAAACATGTGATCAGTCACATTGCCGACTGGAAGAATGTGTATCAAATCGTTAATAACAATGAATTGTGAATTACTGTTGTAGTGACGTTGTTATTTACAATACTTTTAATGTAAGTTATGTAAGTTATAAGCGAACTATACATCATTGATTTTGGTAATACGAAATTATATATCCCCAGATTATTAATTAAACAGCTTTTTATGGGAAAATAAATAAAAGTGGGGAATCTATTTGCCTAAACTTATTTTATAAAGATATTGAGGTAGTTCGTAACTATACGGCCAAACAATCAAATCAATTTATCTTGTATATACATCACTAATTATTATTTCAATTTTCGTTGCGACGCCAACTAGTGACGTAACAACAAAATGTCAGTTTGGTCTCCGCTCTCGCGATCCGCGCTTGTGTGTCAGTCTGTGTCGCAATTTTCGAATTTGGAATTTTGGATTGGCGCCCTTTTGATAGTGTTCGCGTGCGAAATGGACATGATTTATTTTCATATTTTGAATTTGAATTTGGAATTGTTGTCGAATTTTTGAGTGTTTACTTTTAAACAGTGCTAAGTGTGTTTAGTGTTTAGGTATGCTTTTATTTATTTTTAATTCATACTATTGTCTAGTAAATAGATATATTATTACAGCGGGACACATTGAATAAAACAATTTTTAACGGTTTTAACCGAAAAGTATACGTAATAATTAATTAGTTTAAACGATGCCTAACGTCGGGTCTAATTAAAAATGTGTTAGTAATTTCGCGTTTAAAATCGTTGAAAATGTTTTATTTAGCGTATATTCATCTTAATTATCCATAACAGTGACTTCGGCGAACGTAGACTTGTATCATATTTATTAGACCCTAATGTTGTTTTCATTTCAAATGTTTGCCCTTGGAGAGAGTTGAACTTAGGACTCGTAGACAAGGAAGGCTAACATCATTATTTAAATTTGAAGTAGCTAGTTGGAGTTTGGACAGTTCAGTATACTTAATATGAATGGAAAATTTTCAAATAAGTACATCTTCTGTTATTATAAAAAATCTTTAATTAAATAATAAGTAGGTACGAGTAGATAATAATGCCTATCGTAAAATAGTACTCAATACAATTTAACATTAGTGAAACCAATTTACATTTTTTTAACATATATATTACGCGTTTTAACAAGGTTAAAGTGTTCTCAATTTAAATTTGTACACTCTTGTCAGAAAAAAAAGGTTCCTTACATTTGCAAATCGTGGGGTGTTAATACAGCTATACCCATTTGAATAAAACCTTATTACGATCCTTGAAATTGATTAGCCATAGACGCACCTAGTTCTAGATTATGCGAGTTTCAAATACTTAGCATGGAGAGACATTTAAACGGGTAGATTGCTACTTAGTTTCAAAATTCCAATAACATAAAACGAAAGACATGTGGTGGTTGGTAGTCGTCAGTCTGTAGAATCATTTTTGTTATTTTAAAGAGAATAAAATATACTTTATTTTATTTTTAGACGATAGATCGACGTCTAGAGTTTGATATGTTAATTTGGTAGTTTTTAGGAAAATTTGTAGTACCAGAATGTATTGTTGTTCCTTGCAGCTATCTTAGAAGTTATACATATTTCTTTACAATAAAATAGTATGCCAATAAAAAAAGTATATTTTTTTTTATGTAAAGTTGAAAAAGTACCGCCTTTTGGTTTTCCATACTAATTCACATTCTTAATAGTCTCCTGACCTTTGTTAAAAATAAGTTAACTAATATCTTTCGTAAAAACCCTCTTTAGTTTACGCGAGTGTTGCACATTTAAATAAAACACTTTAACGGTTTTAACCGCGATAAATTTGTTAAACTTATTTGAAAATGATTTTTGACTATAGGCCCGATTTCGGATGTTTGTTTCGGTCTCCCCGTGACCACGGCTGCTGCAAAGCATCCGAAACGTCGGGCCGAAGTAAAAAATATTTTTAAAAAAAGTTTAACTAATATATCGCGTTTTAAACCGTTAAAGTGTTTTATTTAAATAATATCTTTCGTATTTTAACCCGTAAATTTGTTTTATTTGAAAATAATGCGTGACGATAGACGCGTAAATGTTATAATGTGGTTAGTGAATGGGTAAATTTTAAAGCAATAAATTTGGACATAAATGTTATATCGTTTTTGAGAAGCACCCCCTACGAACAGAATAGCGCAAATTATAATCAATATTCATAATTTCAATGTTCGTTGAACTAAGCGAAATCTGCATAATGTTCTTGACGTATGTATCCATTGTTTTCAATGTAGACGAAATAGCTGTCAAAACATTTAGTTAAAGTTAATTGTTCGAGAGTTATTCAAATATTGTTATATTTTGAGCATATGCTTATATCGTATACATGTAACTAACTGTGCCAGCGACTTCGTCTGCTAAGAATATTTATTTTGGCCACTCAAATTTAGTCTATAAAACATTGTCCTGTGACTAATACAAGCGAAGATACAGCGGGAAATGTGAAAAAGAAATGAAAATTATTAATGATTACCTACCGAGGCGTACGCTGCAAAAACGGCTCAAGATAACCCAAAAATATGTATGAAAGAATGATTCCTCTATATATGATTTAACAGAAGTCCACGATGCTATCTCTATTTAAGCTTAACTTGTAAGAACGACGGGAAAGGACGCGACTGACGCCGAGGGTAACATCTTAAGTTTACAAAGATGAAGGGTTTTCCAAAAACAATTATAAATGCCGAAAATAACAATTGTCGCGGACGAAGCCGCTGGCACAGCTAGTCTTAAATAATTTTTTTGAATGCTTAGACTATTCTACAATTTAGAAAGATGTCGTCTTGAGTCTACATCTGTAATGTGCTAACGCAAAGATTTTTTTTATTACCTATTATTTTTTATAAGTGTTTATTACTGTATACATAATTAATCATCAAAGTGGTAAACCTGACGGGTCATCTGCCGGTAACATTTGTTTACCTTTAAGAGTAAATAACCTTGCACTGCGCAAGGTCAGCTAATCAAGTCTTGTTCTACCATAAATACATAGTAAAACATATTACTTGTATCTGAGCACGTGTATAACGACATATAAACGAGATTTTTCTACAACATATGAGGCCGCGAGCCAGAGTAGCCTAACTGCAATTTTGTGACTTGACTTCTTATACAATTAATAGTACAAATTCATTTTCGCCTAAGTTAATTGCGCATTTTTATTTACCTCCCCATTGAAAATCATGTATTTTGTTATTAGGCCACTCTGCCTCTAGCAGCCTAATAATGTAACCTGCTTTATACCGTAGCTTAAACGTGTAGTTTAGCAGGCGAGATCCTGGCTTTGATTCCCGGGATAACAATAGAATGTTTTGTCGAGCAGATATCAGTCTACTTGTGTCATATAAATATTTTAATTATTAAGTGTACAAAATAAATAAAACAATTTTAACGGTTAAAAACTCGAAATAAATTTGTTAAATAATTTTTAACTTCGACTCTCCGTTTGGGATCTTTTCGGTAGTCACAGGGGACAAAAATGAGTTCGCTTCTTGAAGTCGTGTTTTAAACCGTCAAAAGTGTTTTATCTTATTTATACCACTCTTGTAAAGTATGCACGTCTTAGTCCTATAACTAATAAATATTTATTGAGTTAGTGCGTTGTTAATCTTAAATTTTCAAGGCGTTACTTAAATAACTACATAAAATTAATACTTAATTTAATTTATTACATAACATTTAAAGCCGCAAGTTATGACCTACATTTTAAAGTCCATATACGTCCAATATAATATTTAAAAAACCCCGAAGAATCACTTTCTTCCAACGATAAGAAATAAGAAGTTAAACTTGATAATATTAATAAAATATGGGTTTAATTATGCCCGACTGGTTCACCTTCGATACCAGAAATGCCCTTATGGTTTCCTGTCACCAGACATGACATTTTAGTACATCGAGAACTACTTATACCTATAGACGACATAGTAAGTAGGATTTTACTAGTAAATTATAGGTCAAAACAAACGCTAAATTAAAAGCAATTAACTGCATGGTTCAATGTTTTAATACATTAAGATCGAGTTTTAGACATTAGTTTTATGGTAGCAATCTATGGCTAACCTGGGTTTTCGGGGCATTAATTTTTCTGAAACACGTTGGACTTCGTCTGGAAATCTGGATATTAATTGTCTGCTGGGAATATCGATCGTCTGGATCTCGAACCGCCGTTCACAGATAAAAAAGTAAAAAAAAGACAGATAAAGATACAGAACGATAAAAAAAGGTAAAGTCTGTGGATTTCCCAATGTCCATAACCAAAAATAGGGCGACAGCCCATCTTGTTTTGATGTGAACCTCATGCTTGTCTGTCCTCGTCTATAAAAACAATCTAGCGTTGCGTTGAGCGAGAGGGCCTTTTAATGTTTTAGTGTGATGTAAATAAAGAATAACATCAACAAAATTCTGACCCCACCTTACAAAGAAAATTGAAACGCAAGTAACATGACTAATAAATTTCCCCCCTATTTAGGGCGTGTGACATCGTTGCGCTCTCTCTATTCCACTACGATAGAAAGGGATGGATAGAAAATATTTATTTTCGTCACGCGACACTCGAAACGAGGTGAAAATTTTAATTCAATTTAGGTTATTAACGGTAGGTTGTGGTTACTTTTAAAGAATGCCTTGTATTACACTAACTTCGTCCGCGTATTATAGTTAAAAATATAAGCAATTGTTCAATTGGAAATAGTAGTTCCTGAGATTAGCGCGTTCAAACAAACAAACAAACTCTTCAGCTTTATATATTAGTATAGAGTATAGATTTTCGTTCCTATTATCGATTTCCCTGTTGCTGTTATTATAAGGTTCGGATCCCGGTAGCTTTGGTTGACTAATCTAGATTCTTGTCGTAATATCCTAAAGATAGTTATGTTGCCAATAACAAGTAAAATACACATTTTGATAACATTACTATCTTTAAGCCATCATATTTTTTTTAAACGACATATTTACCTAATATTGAACAGTCAACTTAGATTTTCAGGGGCGCGTTTTGTGTCGTCTTTAAAGTCGTCAATTTAATATTATAAAATTTGTAAAAATATTTTTACATTTTATTCCACACGATGGCCTTATAAAAATTGGTTAGCGTTAAATTCTGTCTTCGTTTACGCGAGTTACATATTTAAATAAAACACTTCAACGGTTTAAGACGCGATATATATTAGTTAAACTTATTTGAATTTTAATTATTTTTTTTAACTACCGCCCGACGTTTCGGTTTACAGCAGGTGTGGTCACGGCGAGACGTTAGCTAGAGCTGCTGGTTCAAGTCCCGTCCGTCCTATTTTTTCACTCTAAAGATTTATATGATATTATTATCGTTCTCACCGAGTTTATGGATAGAAACAAAAGCAAAGTCATCGATGGGACAAATAGAAAAACGTGTTGGCATACCTCGGCTCGGCAAAGTGCCAATATTCGTAATATCATGATGATTATAAGTGATTTCACTTCCGGGTACCTGCATTATTGGTGGAGTATGAGGTCAGTGGTTCAATGTTAGAAATTAAGAAAGGGACAAGTTTGAAGTCGTCGTCGCAATTGTATCACAGTGTATGTCCCTTAGCTTTAGCGTCAGTCTCACTAGTTAGCCATGTAGCTACCTGCTTTTTCCTTGGTGTACGAATGTGGGACATCTCTCGAAACGCAATATCGTGTTGTGCTAACATATAACTAAACTAGCTATGTCTGGTACTTCGTCCGCGTAGAATCATTGTTTTGGGCATCTAAATTAGTTTTTGCAAATCATCGTTATAAATTTAACCTGTTGCCCACGAGTTTGGTCGCGTCCCATCGTTCTTGCAAGTAAATCTTAAAAGATAGACATGTACTGTCGCGGACATTTTTTAAATCATTTACACTATACATAGTGTACGCATCGGAAACCTATAAGGATGAATAGCTTCTCTCTTTTAAATAAAACACTTTAACGGTTTAAAACGCGATATATTACTTATTAGATAAAAAAAAAATTAATAATTTAATTTTATAATTTAAATTTCCAAATAAGTTTAACTAATATATCGCGTTTTAAACCGTTGGAGTGTTTTATTTAAATGTGTACTACTCGCGTAAACTATAGACAGAATTTAAGCTTGTCCCTTTTTTGACATTTTCCGCTGTTTCTTTGCTAAGTCGCAGCGCATTTTGTAGCATATAGCTTCCCTCGATAAATGCCCTAACCAACACAAAACTAATTCTTCAATTAGAACCATTCAATCCTGAGATTAGCGCATACAAACGAAAAAACAAGCTCTACAGCTTATTAGTGAAGTTTTTGTTTAAAAAAAATATATTCTTATATTGAAGAATTAGTAGTTAAGTACAAACAAGAAATATAATTATCTTGCATGCATTCTAAAGACGCACAAAAATGTTTTTTGTTTCTAGGAACAACAATGCAAGCCACCCGCCCCCTTTTCGGTTCACATTCTGACACATCAGCTATTAATGTCAAGACGTTGGTAAGGGGACAATTCTACCCCTAACACTGTTTGAATAATGCGCATGCGTTGAAAAAATAACCAGAAATATGTAATGCCAAATCTTTTCACACTAATAATAAATTATATGATAATCTTTTCAGTTTGAAACAATGATAACATACCTTTAATAAGAAAAATAGAAAAAGTAATAAGTACATTTTAAATTATGTATTTCCATTTCTTTATAATCCTTCCCTTCTTATAGTGTCATCTATATTCTATACTAGCTATGTCTAATAGTTATTTTGGACATGAAATTTATTTTTGCAAACCTAGTCCATATCTTTATAAAATACAGCGGTTACCCACAACGTCATCTGCGTCCCGTCGTTCTTGCAAGTTAATATTAAAAGATAGACATACATATACCGGCCCGGACATTTTTTAGTTCATTTCAAGAGGAAACTAAAGAATAGTACTTATTTTTTGAATATCTTGAATCGTTTTCGCATTTTTTTACACATTGCCCGCTGTTTCCTCGCATCTATAAATCCTATGAAGCCTATATAGCCTTCCTTGAAAATGCCTTAACCAAAAATAACGCAATGAATGGTCTGCCAACAAAAAAAATGATCTTTCTATTCAGTCCAGTTGTTCCTGAGATTACCGTATTCAAGCAAACCCTTCAGCTTTACACATTAGTATAGATGATTAAACATATATGTTTATCTCGGGAATTACTGGTTCGAATTGAAAGCTGCTATTGTATTGGATAGATTATTTATTGAGAAAGGTTTTAGACTATATCACATCACGCTGCGATCGAGACAAAGAAACAGTGGGAAATGTGGAAAAGGGGAAAATGAATCTTTATAGAATTTCGTTAGGTGATCAAAAAATATATCTCAATAAAATATTCCTCTTTCAGTGATCTAAAACAATGTCCGCGACATTAGAAAAAAAATACTTAAACTAGTATCGCGGAGCCTTGGTTAAACCATGGTCTAAACTCTAAATGAATCTAAGTTAGTACCAGTACAAACGTAAAACTTTGTTTTGTAATAAGGATTTCAAATAAACCAGGGTTTAGACCAGTTAGTTAGTCTCGTTTTGTAATAAGTGTGTTAACGTCAACCTTTTATGGGTAAATTTGGTCGAAATTAATGAATCATTACCAATTGTGAATGTTGTATCAGGATAATAAAATTAATCTTCCAAAGAACAAAACAACGTTTCTTGGATCAGCTATAGTACGAGTATATGATGTATTTTCAATTCTGACTTAGTTCTTGGTTTTTTTTAATGATAGAGCGAGAAATACCCCAGCTATATTACATCTACTGACTGAAATCGAAACGCGATTAAATTTTACGCTTTGATCACGGCTGCTGCAAAGCATCCAAAACGTCAAGCCGTAGTTGAAATAATTTTCAAACAAGTTTAACTAATATATAACGCATATCATTGTCTTTCGGGCTGTTCGGCCGATGTGAGCGAGAAGAGGTTCTCGACGTTTAATTCTTCGAGCAATCGAAGAGTTAACATCTTCTGATGATGCCGTCCACACGTGATGGCAAAACGTCGAGAACCTATTCTCGCTCACATCGGCCGAACAGCCCGAAAGACAATGATATGCTGAACGATGGCCGTGAAAGCCTTACACAATTTAATATATATCGCGTTTTAAACCGTTAAAGTGTATCTAATCGCGTAAACTACAGAAGGTAAAGAAAAATGAGAAACACGTTGGAACCGGTAGAGATCGAATTACGACCCGTTAATTATTAGCCATACATTTCTACCAGACCGTCCTTATTTCTATTCAAAAGAAAATAGATGAATGAGAAGTTTCCGAGAAGACCTTGCACTACTTTGGTTTCAATTAACTCAATTTGTTTGCGTTTGAAATAACATGTGTGCAGATTGAAACATTATACGGCACTAATACATTTGATAAACTATTCCGCATTGTTAACTGGGACAATTAATTGTTTATATGAATCAGTGTATGCTGACTATTTTCTACGTACGCGAGTAGTACACATTTAAATGAAACACTTTAACGGTTTAAAACGCGATATATTTTAGTAAAACTTGTTTGAAACGTATTTTCTCCCCGTGACCACTGCTTCGAAGCATCCGAAACGTCGGGCCATAGTTAAAAAAAAATTCAAACAAGTTTAACTAAAATATATCGCGTTTTTAACCGTTAAAGTGTTTTATTTACACATATATCGATTTAACACGCAAGATATTAGTAACCTGTAAACCGGCCACTTTCTCCAAATACCAACTACGACATAGATGGCGCTAGCATAGCCATTTTAAATTTGACATTAGGGATAGCGTGGAGGCTGCCCGAAGCATCCGAAAAATCGGGACGTAGTTAAAATAAGGTAACTTATCGCTATAATATATGTCGCGTTTTAAGTTAAAAGTGTTTTATTTCAAAACATGCACTAATTAAAATTGTAATAGCGTGGCAAGCCCTAAGAATAAAGATACGCTAGTGGTTTACGACCCGGACGCCATTTATACCGAATACCATATTATAATATTCCTACAACCGATTAAATGTATATTCTCCAAACAAGGCCAGAAAACAAATCGAAACATACATCTCAAATGATCTTAAATAATTTAGAAAAACATTGAATCCATTTATCCATACCATTTTAAATTACAAATAGAAGAAAAAAAGGAGGCATTCGTTTATAAGACTCGAAAACTGAAAATAATCACAAACCGAATCAACCCGACGCTTTTGCCGTCAAAATAAATCTACACTTATATTATAAAGAGGAAAGATTTGTATATTTGTATGTAATTTAGTGATACATGGTCGTTTTATTTAGCATACTTGTAACTTAAATATCTGTACCCATATATGTTTTTTTTATATGTCTACCCGTGCGAAGCGAATTATATAAGTTAAGAAAAAGATTTCACGTTTTAAACCGTTAGAAGTGTTTTATTTAATCGTGTACTACTCGTAAATTACAGACAATATATAGTTGCAAAACAACCTACGTAGTTCTAGAATACAGTGTAAAGATGGTATTGTTCGAAATAATAATAGTTAATTATTTAGCACGATGTGAAGCAATGTTTGCATTTTAATTTAAACCACGTAAGACCCATTAACGTAGATCACGACAACACAACGGAATAAGAGAAGACGTTTTCTTTGACATCGATAATGTACTAGATGAGAGGATGACAAAAGAAACCTCTATAGTATCTGTGCCCGCGACTTCGTCTGCGTGAAAAAGTTATTTTGGACATATTACCATTTTACCTCTAACTTTATGCATTACAGCTGTTGCTTACGATGTGATTCCGCGTCCGGTCGTTCTTGCAAGTGAATCCTAAAAGATAGAGTCTGTTTTAGATTATTTATAGAAGAATTATTCTATCATTTATTTTTTTTTGGGCAATTTACCGTTTTCGCAGCCCACGCAACGAAAACTGACAATTAATAATATTCTCCGTTTTTTCCACATTTCCCGCTGTTTTTCCCACACACAGCGATATGTGTTATTAGTCCTCGATAAATACTCTAACCAAAACGAAAAATATTTTTTCAATTCCAACCAGTAGTAACTGAGATTAGCGTCTTCAAAAAAAACAAACTCTTCAGCTTTGTATAGATATAATAGCGTTCGACCGAACCATTACTCGATAGAAAACCTATCAATGAACTTGATCTTGCTCTTATTAGAATAAATGTGTACTTATTTCATGCTATAGCTCAACGCAAAATTTCGTGGTTTTCTCAATATTTCACTGTTCAAATTATTTTGACAATTGGGCACCTTCGACGAATTGGATAGAAATAATATACGTAATGACATCAACATTATAGTAAGAACATAATAACATATTATTAATATTATACTAGCTGAGCCGGCAAACGTTCTTTTGCCATATAAATAATTTTACTAAAGTGTCTATTAATAAATAAGGGTTGATCGTAGAAGGGTGAAAATTGGGATTGTATGTATTTTTGTATGTTGTATCATAAAAAAATAGAAATAAAAATTTTGTCTAAAAAAAAAAATTAAGGGTGAACAACTCTTATCACTTAGGGGGATGAAAAATAGATGTTCTCTTATTCTCAGACCTACTGAATACACATATCAAATTTGGTGAAAATCGGTCGAGTCGTTTCGGAGGAGTTCAAGTTCGAACACCGTGACACGAGAATTTTATATATTAGATTATTAGAATGGTAAGGACAGTTTAGGCTGTTTTAATTATAGTAACAATTACCAATAATGATGGTGAACGTTTGTAAGAAAAGAAAAGAAGAATCAATTAAGATTTAACGACAAATTTTGTCGAAAAGGTTAATCTCGTTTCGGTTTCAGTCTTTGGATTTCCGAATATCTTATTTAGATATTTAGCTGCTGTAGCTGGGGTATTCTATCTACCATCAAGGGGATCCCATGATTGTCTGTTCTCCTCTATCATAAAAAAATATTAAAGAAAACTTATTTTCTTGCTTTCGTGCTTTTTTCTTGCTTCCTTGGCTAAGACTTCAGCTATGATACGTTTTATGAAGTTATGCTGTTATTATGTATAAATATTAGGTTTCGATATAAAACATATTTTAACGGTTTTAAACGTGACATATTTTACATTAATGTATTTGTCACTACACGCAGTCTTGTCAAGTGTTGCGAATCATCCGAAACGTAGCAGCATGGTTACAAATACATAATTTACTCATATATTTCCCGTTTTAAACCGTAAAAATTGTGTTATTTATTGTTGCCAGTCAACACTAAGGTTTGCGTAAACTACAAACAATACTTAGTGTAGTAAATTTTATCACAACTTATATTCGATTCTAAATATTTGTGTTCACCTTGACATAGAACCTTGAAATTTTAGAATACATACAATAATTGATGTTAACATATAAATTAATATGTTTTCTTTCATATGCGTATGTTTATAAGCTAGGGGTAAAGGTGAAGGCCGAGAAAATTGTTGTTAATTCGCTTCGACTAATTGTTTACCCACTCATTATTGTACAGTATTATTTAAACTTCTGCGTTAAATATTGTTAAACTACACAAATATACATAACTGCCAGTGGACTAATGGATAACTATACGCATTCCGTTAGTTTCGGTCTGGAAGGGCAGAAATAACATCTACCTTTTGCGTGTAAATGAAATCAATTCTCCAAACATGTGCATTTTGGGCAAAATTTGTTCTTGCAAACCTTATCTTTCTAAATTATAGCTCAACCATGATTTATAGTTGAATCCAAGATGTCGCCCGCGTCTCGTCGTTCTTACATCCGTGCTCCTCTTGTCCCATCGTTGTTTTAAAACCTTAAGCTTTACTCGATACATGTTCAAATCAACACAAAATTAATTTTTCATTTCGGGCATTAGTTCCTGAGATTAACGCGTTCAAACAAACAAATTTTTTAGCTTTGTATATTAGTATACCTTAAACCTAATAGGAGAAACTAATCTGGTAGGTATTGATTTTCGTAATGATCAATTTTGCTTTTAGTAGAGGTAATAGCAACTACCTTTTTGAAGGATTTTTGCCCATCACAACTGTAGACAATATAAAGCTGAAGAATTTATTTGTTTGTTGTTTGTGCCCCCGGGGGGGGGGCCCCCCGGGGCCCCCCCCCCCCCCCCCCCGGATGTTTGTTGTTTGTTTATTTCAACTCACTCAAGAACTACAGGATCGAATTGAAAAAGAATGTTAGTTAGAACTTTTATCGAGAAAGGCTATAGGCTATAAAACATTGCGCTGCGAGCGGGAAATGTGAAAAAAACGGGAGAAAATTTTCAGCTCTGTGGGTTTCCGATGCGTACGCTGCGAAAACGGTTCAAGACACACGAAACATAATATGTACGAGAGAATGATTCTTCTTTAAATTATCAACAAAAATGTTCTTGATAGAATGTCTATTTCTTAAGATGAACTCGCAAGAACGACGGGAACCGAATGACGGGACGCGTCCGATGACGTAGGTTAGGACAGTTTGCAACAACAAATTTTGATGCCCAAAATAACGATTCTACGCGGACGAAGTCGCCGACTCAGCTAGTATTAGATAAATCAGTAGACCAATGGCATGGTTGTTGGTCCGAAGTTCAAGTCCCGCCTGCGACAACCATTTATTTTTTGCAAAATATTTTGTTCACTTCGTATACGTATGTTAAAAGTAAATTTAATTTATTTCAGGTCACCGACCTCTTCAACCAAATGCGCGATCCATCTTCCACCGCGTCCACCCCCAAGGGTTCCACTGGGTCCCTGAACATCACCAAGAATGTGGGTTTCCAACAGCAGAACGGTTCTGAACACCTACCTTGGGCGAGCCCCGCTATTTCACTGCCTGGGAACTGCAATTCCAACTTGTAAGGAGTTTTTTCTTTCATCTTAAGTTTTCATCTGCTTTATATAAACATACTGTTTTTATGATTTATAATCTACTTGCTTTATACATATATATACATTTGTCTTCGACCCCTTGTGTTGTAGGTTCATTACTATCTAGTGAAAAGAAAAAAACAATTCTCCAAAATATATTAAATTTTCGAAATGACACTTGATGATGTATTTAAATAATAACATCTTTTCGAAGTCCGTACTTACGTATTTATTAATTATATTAAAACTCTAATTTATACATAAACAAATAAGATCAAAGTTTCGTAAGCTGTTATTTCAAGTATTCGAATTTTATGTATAAATTAAAAATTATTTTAATAATTGAAGGTGTAAAATAACTTATATAGTTTGTATATTTATTTAAGTTAATGTAAAAGCGTAAACTACCGCCAATATTTACTTTCTATACTAATATTTTTTATGAAATACAGATAAACTTAAGTTTCACTTGATGGAAGATGAAATGGTATAAAACATCTCAACTATATATATATATATATATATATATAGATATAAAAAGAATCGAAGGCCTATAACATGTTGGACCCGATAGGGACCCGGTCGAACTCACGGCCCGTTGATCATTACCTATATAGCTCCCCTATTGTAGCTTTCATTATTCATATATTGAACAAATCTGTGATGAGTTTGCTATTTTAATGTTTTCCTTCCATTTGACAACAAACGATCTCTATAAATATTCCGCTATCTCCAGTGTTTGTTTTTGTTGTTTTATGTAAACGCTCTTGAATGTAGCTTCGGGCTATTTTGGAGTTGGCAGTCCTCCAACTTCAAACATGGCGATGGTCAACTAAGATGGTTTAAGAGTTATAATAGTTTATCATCTTACTAAATGATAATATCTTAAATTATAAATAGGTAGATTCTGTATCAGTTTATAGCAGAGATCTGAAACTTTTATAATGGAAGTCGAGAGGGGATATTATACAAATTATACCAAAGGGGTAAGATGTGTAGTTGGTACGAGGCATTTTGTTGTGCTCCATGGTGTTGGGGTAGCGATTTACGGCCAATAAGCGATCGTGTGGTTCGATCACCATCAATTTATATTTTTTCTGAAACATGTTCGACTTCGTCTGGAAATCTAGATCTGTCTCAGTCACGAAGCACCACAGATGAAATAGCAGTGAAGTTAAATCGCGTTTCGGTTTCAGTCCTTGGATTTCCGATTATCCAAAGCCAAAATAGATCGACAGCGCATCTTGTCTAGATGCTATAGGCTGGGGTATTTCATCTACCATCAAGTGATTGTGATGTTTGTCTGTCCTTTTCTCCCAGGTTACCTGTTTCAGCCTAATCTCGATTGACCTGCTTTTGTTTTTTTTTTAATATTATTAATTTCCTAATAGCTTAGTAAAAGGATTTAAATAAAACACTTAAACTGATTAAAACGCGAAATATATTAGTTAAAGTTATCAGTCTCCCCGTGACCACGGCTGCTGCAAAGCATCCCGAGCGTCGGGCCGTAGTTAAAACAATTTTTGTTAAGTGTTTTATTGTAATGTGTGCTTTACTTTACTTTGTTTTTCTTTACGTTAATGGTGACCCTAGGAAGTCGAAGACGTCTTTTGTTTTATTTGTTCTGTCCTTTCCCTCGTCAATGGTGGCGTCAAATGTCAAGTATGCCAATGAACTTCGAGGACGTAGTTGACACTGAGAAAAATTAAGAAACGCATGCCACAGTTTATTTAAATATAGTTAACGTGTATTTATTATGACCTTATGTACAGAATTGTATGTTTAAAAAATTGTCTGTACATTAATAACATTTTCAGTCGTAACCGATTGTGGTTTACATAGAAAGAGTGATAGGATAACACCGCGTGTTTTAAATACAGTAACGGTTAAAAACACAAAATATATCAGTTAACTTATTTAACACTAGATGTGCCAGCGACTTCGTCCGCGAGAATCGTTATTATTTAAATATATATTTTTTAGGTATCTTAAACCGTTTTTGCAGCGTACGCCTCGGAATCCATAACGATAAATAATTTTCTCAATTTTTTACACATTACTATTAGTCATAGGACGACGTTATATATATATATATATATAACAGCCTTCCTCGATAAATGTTCTAACTAATTTTTTTCAATTCGAACCCGTAGTTCCTGAGAATAGCGCGTACAAACAAACAAACAAACTCTTCAGCTTTATATAATAGTATAGATTAGTGTTAACTACGGGGCAACGTTTTGAATGATTTGCAACAGCCGTGGTCACGGGGTCTAAAGACGGAGGGTGTCCTAAATGTTAAAGTCTAATGGCGCTAGCGCAGTACAGTTAACCGACTTGAAAATAAGTTTACAAACATATTTCCAGTTTTAAACTGTTAAAAGTGTTTCATTTAATTATTTGCTACTTTTAAATCAATCACTTTAACGGTTTAAAACACGATATATTTTAGTTACAACAACGTTAAACTACGTGATTTCTATCAATAAACATGGACTTAGGGCAACACTGTTTCATTGAATCATATGCTACTGAAAAATTACAGACAATGTAATAACTTAAAACTGCAAATAGCTTCATATACATACAAAAACTATACATAGACAAAGTCCGAATATCCGTTGATAGGATGGTGTATATTATTTCAGAGCTAGTGAAACACCAGCGTTAGTCAGGAGTGTCAGCAACGCATCAGCCCTTACTTCTCTTTGCGCTGATCTGTCGCCGTCGGAATCACATTTTTTTGAGGTACATCTTATAGTATATAATTATAGGCCTTTTTATTTCTTGTACACTTGTTAGTTAAACATAAATTAGATTAGTAAGCTTAGATTATGTTAGTAATTTAAATATATTATGTTCAAGATATGAACTAACAAGGTCCCCAGTTTGGGTTTAGGCCTCCGATTTACCCATTTTTGTCGGTCACATATTGTATACTTATAATTATTATAAAAGCGTATTTATAAACCATAAACAATTTATCTCTAACATCTGAGCTAATGTGTTGCCATCTGTGTTTAACATCATAACTTAATAGTTGGGTCAGACCACTGCAGTATTAATTACACATTTTCTAAGTTTATATAACATGTTCCAGGTGCTGTATATAGGTAAAGTAAGAATATCGCAACGGAAAGTACCTGAATCGCTAATAGATGACGCTTTACACAAATTTGCTCAGCACGAAGCTGAGAAGATGAGATTGGGACGACGACATAGCCTTTTGTCTTCCACTGGGGTAAGTCAATAATACTTGACTATAATTTAAACAAAACAGTTCCAGGCTAAATATTTCTCAATTTGTTCTTGTTGTTTAATTTAAATTTCCGAAAGATACGAATCGCAAATATTCAATTAAAATAACATTTATTCTAGACCTCAATAAGTAACAACTCAGTCGAAAGCCTCCAAGATTCCACAACTTCACACGAAAACTTCAAAAAGATTTTAATACCCAGCACAACGCCATTAGAACCTGATAAGAGTACAGCATGGAAGAGCGCTGAATACCTAAACAAACCAGAACTACTCGTAGATAAGGAATTCGATGCCTTCACGAAAGAAAGAAGTGAGAAAAACATTAAAGGTGAGCCTATAGGTATAATAAAGAATAACTTAGGTACTGTTAAAGAAGACGAAGAAAGGCATGATGAAAAATCAGATTTTACTAATACAAATCCATTTAAAGAAGTAAAGAGAGTAAAGACGGTGACGTTAGATCCATTATTACAAATATCGGAAATGGAAAATGGCAAACCGGTTCTTAGAACGATAAGTTCAGAGGAAAGAGCAGGAGAAAGTAAGAGAAATGTGATTAATTTTGATGAGATAAGAAAAAATGATGAGAGGAAGAATTCTCTGCCTGAGAATAAACCGTTTTTGAGAGATAGATCTGCGTCTATTGGAACGTTAAATTTAAAAACTCCATTAGCGCATTTGATCGGGGAACAGAACAGAACTATGTTATTTCAGGTAAGAAAAATGAAAACTTTTAAATAAAACACTTTAACGGTTTAAAACGCGATAAACTAGTTTGATAGTTTTCAGTTTAAATACTGTCTATAGTTTACGCGAGTAGTACACATTTAAATAAAACACTGTAACGGTTTAAAACGCGTAATATGAATTCTATAAGGACCCTGCCAGTTCAATACCACTTATGAGAAAACAGAGCGTTAACGTTGCAGATTTGACTTTGAAAATAAGTATACCCCCATTCTTAAGTCCCCCCGTTACCGCGGATGCTGCTAAGCATCAAAAACGTGGGCTCGTAGTTCTGCTCGCGTAGTCTATAGACAATAATTAAATTAAAAGTGTCGTATTATTTAATTTTCAGGTCGGCCGTTCTGAGCTTCGTTTAATTAGCCCGGATAGAAAGCAAATATTACTCCACCGGGCGTTCAAAGATGTCGCTAGTTGCGTCCTTGGTAGAGTTAATAAGGAGCACTTTGGTTTCGTGTGCCGTGAAACTAACGACACTTACGCCTGCTACGTTTTCAAATGTGAGAGCGAAGATATAGCCAATGAAGTGGTTGGTGGTAAGATTTTTTTTTACTTATTGATACATACATCTCTTGCGCAATGTAATTTCAACCTTAACACTTGCGTATTAAGTTGAAATAATTCGACGATGAGGTGTAGACCTCAATAACTCAATTTGTTAGACCAACAGCACGGAACGCTGACGATGCTGCTTCACGGCCTGCCCGAGTCGATTTTTTTTTCAATTCTTAAATTATATACTTAGTGTCATCGTGTGCAATATGTGAAAAATATTAAAATTTCCAAACCAATAGTTCATTAGCGCGCTCAAACAAACAGACAGACTTCATTCTTCTTCTTAATTTTTTTTATTAAATTAAGGATTGTCGACATTTTATTATAATTACTGACATATATGGTATGTCTTAACTTTAAAGAGGAAAAAAATAAAAGAAAATTGTACACAATTTTGTTTTTTTACTCCGTTATAGACTGACACAACATTAGAATAAAAATATTTTTCGCGTTTTTGTATCGTTAAAACTATTTTATTCTAATTAAGGTCGGGAATTTCGGACGTGTACCTACCAAAATTTATTGATACAGCCGACAAACTTTTGCAGCCATTAAGCAAGCGTTCGTCGCTCACGCGGAGTTATTGAAGAAATCGCGGGAAAAGTCACCAAACATGACGTGTGAGCATTGCCCAATGCTCTGGTACCACAGACTATGTCACGATGTTGAAGGTAACATTAATAATTGTGGTTTCATTTAATTATATTATGTCAATATTAATATAAACAGTGTTGTCAATAAATTTAAATATATGCGGATAGTTAACTAATTTGTCTTATTTTTCTATCGGGCTATGACGTAGTGGCATTTGGGCGAATGTTGCATGATCTTATGAAAATGCTATCGCTCTCTATAACAAACAATATTTAGATACTGTCTATGTTATACGCAAGTACTTAGTACATTTAAATAAAACACTTTAAGGCTTTAAAACGCAATATATTAGTTAAACTTATTTGAAAATGGTTTTACTCGGCCCGACGTATTACGCTCGGGTCACCGTGACCACGGCTGCTGCAAAGCATCCGAAACGTCGGGACGAAGTTAAAAAACATTTTCAAATAAGTTTAATTAATATATACTTCGCGTTTTAAACCATTGGTGTTTTATGTAAACAATATTTAGGTATCATTTTCTGATAGCTTTCGTATAGCGTATTTGATAACTTAATACTTTACAGAAATTAGACACAACTAATACTCATTATATTGAATTTAGTATAGTGAAACCGGCCCTTAATAAACCAATTATTTTAGGTATGAATGAGAAGAAAACTCACGCTTTCGCCCTTCGACGAATCGAGTCATTACCTGAAGATGAACAGGAACTCATCATCACCAAATATCAGGGTGGAACTAATCACATGTTTGAGGTGTGGCTTTTTACTTTTTTATATTTGACAGGCTTATGATCAATGGACCGTGGGGTCGACCCTACCGGGTCCAACATTATTCTGATATTTTTTTTTTTTTAAACATAGGTCGACAGCTCACCGTCAAAATATGAACCCCACGCTTCATTAAAAAATACTATTTCACCAGCTCGCTGCAAAGTCGAAACGAATAAAAAATACATTCCAAAGGGATATTTCTTCTCAATGTAAAAGAAACTTTGCAATATCAATGTGTATATTTTTAGGTTAGTGAACATAACGCTTTTCTCATGATGCTGTTACGAGCTCATTGCGAGTCCAAACAACAGAGGCACGTCCATGATACAGCAGAGAATAGGTAAAAAGACGATGATCTTTTTTAATTTATAATTTTATGCTACAAAAATGTATATTTTTTATAAGTCAAATCTTTATATGCGCGAGAGCATGTAACAATTGCAGGACACGTTAGGTTACTTGGTTAAAACAGCATGGAACGCTGTGAATGCCGTTCAAGTCCTGCTCGTGTCGTAATTTTTTTTTTTCAATCCAATTTAATGTATCTCATGCTGTATGTAAAAAGAAAAATGTATATTTCGAGTTTTTGTATCTTTGTTTTAACAAAACTATTTCTTTCAGATCGGAATTTCTAAACCAGTACTTAGGTGGTAGCACCATATTTATGAAGGCCAAACGGTCGCTCTCAAGTGGATTCGATCATTTGCTGAAGAGGAGACAGGGGCAAGATGTACCGCCGACAATAGTGAAAAAGGTAACCAATCGGAAAAGCTACTAGAGATTACTAACAGTATCTAAAAATTATCTAAACTTGTATTAAATGGTAGGTTTTTTGTCTGTATTTTTAGTACTAATCGTGTTTTAATCCGTTAAATGTGTTTACCTTTTCATAGAAGGATGTCCGCGGGACTTAACTTGAAAATATATTTTCACTTCAATACATTGCTAATACTGCATATATTTTAGGAACCGTCACCAAAGCCGCCACCTCTGAACTTAGAGACATCATCAGAGCCAAATAACTGCGAATTATTATCACCAGATTCAGTCAGATGCAAGTCTTTATCACCAGCCGTTTTAACAGGTAAGATATGTATATACTTCAAAAATTTCTTACTAAATATAAATTATTTCAAAAATAAACTTCATTTCCTCACAAGGTTACAAAAACTTTTAACAAATGGCGCGACTAGTTACTGAAAGCATTTAAAAAATGTATTACGAAAACCTGTTCTAAAAATATATTAAACGTTTACAAAATATAATATATAATGTCTTGAAGGTATTGAATTTAGTACGATTGTAGTTTAGTTACGATAATTGTTTAAATATTAATTAAGTGTATATTTAACAAAGATTTACAATATAATTACTAGATGCTTGGCCATCAGATGTAAATATACTCTATATGTGTGTTATAGAACACTATACTCCAAAATCCTCACCACCAGTGCTTGAAGATTACATAGACGGTTCGAAAGAGAACACGCCTACCCTCAATTCACCGATGATGGATATGTAAGTACAGTAGAATCTCGTACCTCGTTTACTCGAAAGCCTCAGTAAGTCGAAAAAAAGCTATTACCTTCCGCTGATCAGACTTTGTAACTCGAACAAAATGTTATTTCCCTGCGATGTACTGTGCCAGGGGACTGAACTTAAATTAAATAATAGTTTTCACATTTTACACCGTTGAGATTGTTTTATTAAAATGTTTACTACTTGTGTAAACTACAGGCAAGACTCATTCGAATTATGTAACTTAAGGGCTACTGTACAATATCGCACTAACTATTGCAGATTCCTGAAAGTGAGTGATTCCCGACCAGTCCATTCAGAAGCCAGCGAAACGGATACAACGTGGCGTCAAGCTATTTACGAGAAGGTGGTTCAGCATGAAGTGCTTGATGGTATGAGCTTAATGTGATTCCTGATAATTAAAAAAAAATAGTTTATACTCAAACGCAATCATCAAATTTAAAATTAAAATAAAAGGTCCCTCTCTACATAAACCTCTTCTGGACAGACGAGCATGAGATTCACTACATGAAATGCGAAAAACTCCAGCCATATAACATCTAAACTAGGTGCACTGTCAACCTATTTCTATGGATATTTGAAATTACTGTTACCGAAACGCGATTAGACTTCACGGCTTTATCTGTGGATAGTGGTTCGTGACCAGACGGAATTCCATTTAATATATAAATTTTCAGACATCCAACATGTTTCAGAAAAAAATACAGATAAATAAGAAACCTGTGTTGGACGCGGTGGGGATCGAAGCCACGACCCCGCATACATCACTACCATTTAGTCAATGAGCTGGAAAAAAATAAATTTTAATGACCTGACGAAATTACTTCAATTTACAGGAGACCCATCAAAGTCACTTCTCGGCAGGACTGTATCGGGCAAAAGATCAAAGGAAGAGTTACGACAGCTTTGGAAAATGGCTATAGACCAGACTGTGCTGCTGGTGAGAATGGAGAAGGAGAATGCTAAGCTTAAAGGTATACACATATCTATCGTTATTATTTAGTGAGATTTTAAATAAAACCATTTTACGATTAACAGTGCAATATATAATTTAATTTCAAATCTATTTAAATTGAAAAAATACTATGCCACGCGCGGGACTCGAACCAGCACCCACAATGATCCAGTGCTTTAATTCATAGATTGATTTTTAACTATCACCCATTAAATAATATATATCGCGTTTTAAACGCGTCAACTGTTTAGTTCCGTGACACATTGAACACGTCGGCATTTTGTTACTTAATTAAAGTAAATTACATCTCGTTTGAAACCGTTACTGTGTTTTATTTAATATATTGGTTGATTATTTTTCTCGGTAACGCATTAAAACGTCAGGTCATAGTTAAAAATTTAAAAAAAACATTCTCGTTTCAAACAGGTATTTTAATGACCATTCGCATATAAAACACTTAGTGGTTTGTTCCGTTGGTTAGAGCAACAGCACGGAACGCTGACGATGCCGGTTCATTTCCTGCCCGAATCGAAAACTTTTTCAATTTATTTAAATAAAACACTTTAACGGTTTCAAACGCGATATATTAGTTAAACTTATTTGAAAATGGTTTTTAACTTCGGCCCGACGTATTACGCTCGGGACACCACGGCTGCTGCAAAGCATCCGAAACGTCGGGACGAAGTTAAAAATTATTTAAATGTGAGTAGTAGTGTGAGTAGTACATCACGCAAACTATAGACAGTATTTTTAAATTTATTTTCAATCTATATTGTGCCATCATGTGAAAAATATTAAAGTCCTTTGTAGTCCAAAAGTAGTCCTTTACATTATCGAATTTATACTCATGTATGTAAACAATTACTGTACTTTAAAGTAATTTATGTTTGCATATCTCCTCCCTATCTTTATAAATCTTCGTTCTTAAAGATACACATTTTGTGTCGTTGACGTTTTATTAGATCATTTAAAGGGGAATCATGTTCCTTCGCTTCTATTACTCGCATCGTGCTGTTTTATATCCAATATTTTTTGATTTCGATTTTTAAATACTGTCTATAGTTTACGTGAGTAGTACACATTTAAATAAAAGTCTCCCCGTGACCACGGCTGCTGCAAAGCATCCGAAACGTCGGGCCGAAGTTAAAAATCATTTTCAAATAAGTTTAACTAATATATCGCGTTTTAAACCGTTAAAGTGTTTTATTTAAATTTCGATTTTTTTCAAATCTATAAAGCCGAAGAGTACCGACTCTTAAAGAGATTAATGATGATACAATTGTTTTTTTTTGCAGAAAGTGCCGAATCGTCAGCCGTGCGCCGCATAAAGTTGGAATACAATGAGCTCAGTTCGTGTGAAAGCGGTGTCAGTCTAATGTGGGACTCGCTTCTGTCCCGGGACACCACCCACCCTGTCAACAAAGTGGACAGACATATGCTTATACAGGCTGTTAGACAGGGTAAATCAATTCTTAAACGATAACAATGTTTGGGGTTTAAATCCGTTCTAATAAGAAAAATATGCAGTGCACTTAAGTACATGAAGAAGAAGATAAAAGGAGTGTCGTCGAGTTTCTTGACAGTTCTTCTCGTTCGTTCTACGCCCCCTACACCCACTCTCACTCTCACCCTTACTCCCTCTCCCACTCCCACTCCTACTACTACTCCTATCCAAAAAAGCCAAAGAAGAAAGTTTCATTATTCTAGCTTCAAAATCCACGAATTTCCATACAAACGTTCATCCCCTTTTTCAACCCCTATCAACCCTTATTTGGAATTTTTAATTAATGGTAGCCTTTTGTATGTCCTTTCTCAGGCTCTAAAATATCTGTGTACCAAATTTCATTTAAATCAGTTCAGTAGTTTCGGAGTTAAAGCCGGACAGACAGACAAACAGACAAAAAGAGTTACTTTCTCATTTATAATATTAGTATAGATTAATCATTAATATCAATCTCGTTTCACAGTATATAATTACTCTCCATATAATATAATATATATTTATATTTTTACAAATGGAGATATTGTAATTATTTCTTTGCAGCCAGGATTATGTTTAAACGCGTTATTAAAAACTAAAACCTCCGTCCGTCTTTTACATTTCCAGGTGTACCAAGGATCGTCCGCGGTGGTGTGTGGTACTTCTTAGCGGAGCAGGCGTGTCTACGTCTCCCCCCTCCCGATACGAAAAGTTTCCCCGACTACAATACCCCCTATAGGTATAAATTGTCTTAAAATTATATGCAATTTTTCTATTATAGATTTACATTTTTAGTTTTAATATTTTTAATCTGTGTAATATAATCGCTTATTATAATTATATTTAAACTAAAAGCTTATTCTGTATTGAAAAAAGTCGACGTGCGGGATTCGAACCTACATTCACATCATATTCATGCATGATAAATTCGAGAACTTCTCGAATTTTATCATTTAATAATATGTATTTTTATTCTTGTACTGCTCTCATTGTAAGAAGTACTTTCACCTAATTGTGGAATTTTTTAAAAAGGTTCTCTATTTTATTTTTTTATAATTTAAATTATAATTTTCTTTCACTACAGGACACTTCTCTCGGGCCTCACTAAACATCAACATGCGATACTTATTGACTTAGGTATGTTCTAGGGTGTAATTTAGATAAATACATAGTAACTTATTTTTATCATAAAAAATTAAGTACGTTTTGTAGATTAAGTGTATTTGGACGGGTTATTTGTTTTCGTATATGTGTATGTTTCCATCTGGACTGGGCATATATACATTATAACATCGGTTTTATTTTTCTATTTTCCTAAGTAATTTTGCCAAGTTTTCCCCCTGGATTCAAAGGCCGAACTCTTCGCTATGCTAGTCAATACCACTGTGCCAAGAAGCCAATCAATGTTACATCACAATACAATGGTAGTCAAGAGAAGCATGGTGTTAAGGGAATAAGACAAAATAATTCATTTAAATGTCATTTTAATGAAAGTGTCTTATTTAAATGGAATAATTAAATAAAACACTAACGGTTTAAAACGTGAAATATATTAAACTTCTTTACTAATTATTTTATCTGCAGCCTGATGATTTGGATGACTTACAGCAGCCATGGTCTTGGGGGGACTATCTCTATAGTAAAAAAAATGTAACTAATATATTTCGAGTTTTAAACGCGATAAAGTGTTTAAAATGTGTATTAGCGAAAACTACAGATAGTATTTAATGTTTTATCTTTAAACTTAAAATTTCAGGTAGAACGTTCCCGAAGCATTCTTACTTCGCGTCGGCCTTGGGACCTGGGCAGCTGGCCTTGTACAACATTCTCAAGGCCTATTCTCTACTCGACCCAGATGTTGGATATTGTCAAGGTCTAAGCTTTGTCGCTGGTGTGCTCTTGTTGCATGTAAGTTCTACATATTGTTTATCAATCAATTTAAAATTATTTCTCTATTATGTACTAATCATTATATTCGCATTTTCGAGGTTAACCCTAGTAGGTAACAATTTATCCATTCAGCTACGTTAAAGTTAGAAATAGTAAGTAAAAACAAAAGGAACACGCTATTAAAAGCGTTTAATATAACGCCGCTAGATGTCACTAATGTCAATTTAGCTGACGCTGTATTTAAGTTATAACGAATGTAAGCGCAAGTTACTACATTACATATCAGCTTATAATTCCCATTTTACATAATAGGAATATTTCCATTTAGATAAAGTTATATAATTTATAAGGGCAACAATTCCAAGAGATGTCCCTTTATAGAACCGAATTACGATTGTTGTCAACTAGATGGCACTGTGCACAATACTGAATCTCAAAATCAGTTCGTAACTGAGGCACTAGATGTCGTACCATATTTACAAGAAAATCTCTGAATCGCGCTGGTAAAATGTTTTGCTCGTTTTATATAGAGTCTTGAGTGGTAAAATTCATCAAGACCTTACTTCATAGGATCATTTCTATAGTAAGCTCTTCACGAAAAACCCTACTATATGTGGGATACTACCAGCCATGATGAGGAGACGTGGCGCGGTACCCTGAGCGTGAGGTGGGCAATGACTCTAGTTGTTAGCCTTCGATGATCGTTCACTTCCCTGTTCGCAGGGGAGCGTGGGGTACTGTCGCTGTCTGAGTGGCTTATTTAAAACATTTTATTTATATAATGGTAATCGATGCAAAACATTAATCGAAATCGTACTATCGACAAATTACTACGGACAAGTTTATTACATATATTTTTTTTATTGTCATTATGTATAATAGCCATTTAGTACTATGGCTTAACATATACACAAAACAGATAATAAAGCATAATATGTAATCAATGAATGGATCCAAGATTCGAATTTATTAGGAGCAACAGATTAATCAAATTATTGGAGGAAAATCGATAACGCCTCGAGCCGTTCAGAATGGTTTGTATTGTCCCTACTGCAACGCACACTAATCGGAATATAACGTTATCGCCTCGCCTGCCCGGAAGGCTCCGACTTGCATTGGCTTAGGCTCACGTCCCGCGCTTACGCCTCAACGTCCCCGCGCTTACGTCCTCCGTCCCGCTTGTCCTCCCTGTTTATTCATATTGTGTACCAATATCTTTGAATGGCGACGAGGCGTAAGCGCGGTGTCGCCTAGCCGTATCCAAGATTGACGTACAGGCGCTGCGATACGCTCTCGTAGCAGGAGGGACGCCTGGTTGACAGCGATTCGGTAGATCACCTTTGTCATTGCGTGCTGAGACCCTTATAAATGGATAAGTTTGAATAACTTTTAACCGTTTATATCGCGAAATTTATCAGATAACTTATTTAACTACACAATTCTCGTTTTAAACCGTTAAAAGTATTTAACATTTATACTTACTACAATGAGCGAACTATACCTAAATTATATTATTTCTATTGACCTTTTCAGATGGAAGAAGGTGAGGCGTTCATCTTGCTTCGACACTTGATGTTCCGACGTGGGTTACGGAAGCAATATCTACCAGACATGAGTGCTTTACAGGTGCAGGTAAGTTCCTTCAAATGAGAGTCTCAAACATAGAAAGATAATATTTTTAGACAAACTTAGATCATTTCTTTTAAATAATCAAATGTTCGGTTTATTCTTCTAATCAAAACTTAGTGCACATTATATTCACCGTTACTTTTATTATGAGCTTGGGTATCACTTGCTTGAAGGTGAAATAAGACAAATCATAACATTACCCGAATTAATATTCCTACCACCTATATTATATCCAGATTTCCAGATGAAGTCCAACGTGTTTTACAAAAATTATAAATTGAATAAAAATATGTGGACTCGGTGTAGATCCGAAACCAGACCCGTACCATTAGCAATATGTTACTACCATAAGACTAACACGTACGTCAAAGTTAACTTTTCAATTAAACATTTAACGGTTTATAAAGCGCTTTGTAAAAGATTATTAAACGTATTTGATCATTATGTACATTTTGATACTGTCAACGCGAGTAGTACACTTTTCAATAAAACGCTTTTACGGTTTAAAACGAGATTTGTATCTTTAGTTAAACTTATTTGAAAATTGTTTTAACTTTGGCCCTACGTTACGGAGTTCGACGTGACCCGGTGCAGCAAAGCATCCGAAACGCCGGGCCGTTGTTAAAGTAAATTTTTTAAATAAGTTTATTACGTCGCGTTTTAAACCGTTAAAATGTTTTATTTAAAGATTTATTTGAATAAAAATTACAGCTATACCAGCTTTCTCGTCTCTTACGTGACCATGAACCAGAATTGCACGCAAAGTTGGAATCACTGGACATCTCTCCCGCCCTTTACGCCGCACCCTGGATGCTGACGCTGTTCACCAGTCAATTTCCTCTTGGATTCGTTGTTAGAGTGTTTGGTAAGAGAAACACATATATTACCTAATAGCCTATAAACTATGAAAATACTAAATGTTGTGTTTAATTAACGCGAGAAGTACACATTTAAATAAAATATTTTAACGGTTTAAAACACGAAATATATTATTTAAGCTTTTTTTAATAGACTGACCGTCTTCCCGGTGATCGTGGCTACCGCAAAGCATCCAAAACGTCGGGCCGTAGTTAAAATAATTTTGAAATAAGTTTAACTAATATATTTCCTTTTTAAAATTCTATGATATTATAATTTCCATTAGAGTTTAAATAGATTAGTTAGAATAGTATTAAAGGAAGATTATAAGAAATCGATAAACATCGATTATGACGCGTAAAATGTTATAATTATTTCTTAAACTCACATCTACTATTTTTGTCTTCAAATACTAAACGCATATATAACACTGATGCAGATAGATCCTAAAGTCGAGTCACGTTAGGCACTTTCCTAAATCTAGAAGGCACAGAAGTCTGATTGACTTTACAATAACATAGTAAAGTTATAATTTTGCGTAACATTATGTCGGCTTCTGCATTATACAGGCGAAACGTGATTTTCACATACATCACATCTCTTGCGCATACGAGTATTAATATTCTCTTCTCTTTCAGACCTTGTATTCGTGGAATCCCTGGACGTTGTCTTCTCTATATCCTTAGCGTTACTATCAGCACATAAAGATGGAATCATGATGTGTGAGAGCTGTGAAGAAGCAGCCGAATATCTTAAACACAAGTTACCTGAAGTCGACAAGACTATTTACAACAAGGTTATGAAAATTGTAAGTTTAAATTCTAGAGTTTGCGCATAATTAAGGGTTTTAGCAGTAGTACAGTAAAGTACTATAAAACCTTATCGCTAAAAGCAATCTCTTATAGACACAACGCTAAGAAAGAAGATGTATAAATGAAACGAAAGAAAGTGCTAAAACATTTCACACTATACAAAATAAACTTATAATAAACTAGCTGTGTCATCGACTTCCAAAACAATTTTTTTCCCTTCGAACCAGTAGTTTCTCAGATTAGCGTGTTCGGACAAACAAACTAAACTAAGTAAGTATGTTTGGTAAGTGTATAAAACTAAGTACATGTAAAGCTAATTAGCTTTATATGTACTTAGTTTTATACACTTACCAAACATCATTAGTCATATGCTAACTATAATAACTGTATCTATAGGTCCACAAGCTGGATATATCTCGCCAGCTCACGGAATATGCAGTGGAGTACAGCGTCCTTCGGGAGGAAATGCCTCGCCTGGCCACCCTCACGGAGCAGAACAGACAGCTCGTGGAAGACGCTCAGCGGATGACGTCAGAGCTTGATGTGAGTCTTTCGTATATAACTGGCTCGATTTATCTATAACATTCACTATTAGTGTAAATTAAAATAATGATCTATAATATATTAACTTGGCTTTTGTCCTCTGTACACAAAGGTCAAGAGAGAAATAAATGTCTTTAGATCGAATAGTTGGTGCGACAGTCACCTTTAGTCCTGTATATTATTATAAAAGTAATACATATATATCTAAAATATATGTGTTTTCTTTTCAGTCTGCAATGGACGCCCTTACAAATTACCAGAAAACGCAATCTCGCCTCGAGTCACAGAACAAACAGATGGAACAACACTTAACTCTACTCAGTCGCTACATATCCAACAAACACGACGTACCACACGAGATCAAGAAAATAGTACAAAACTACACGAAAAAACTGTCATTCAGCTCGAAAATCACGTCATTCACAAAGTTCTCGTCGAACGAAGACGAAGAAGACATTAAAAAGCAGAAGAGTGCTCCGAATCTCTTCGCGAAAACGTCAAAAGAAGACGTAGCGAACGCAATGAAAATAAACGAAGACAGGAAACACTTTTTAATGAAGAAATCTCAATCGGTGCACTCTGGACTGATAGCGAATAAGCCACCGTTGAAAGTCTTGGAAGAAACGGAAAGCTATAAGCGAGGTACGGAAGGAAGAAAGCACAGTTTGACAGATGCAATGATAAAAGACTTGGGGAGAAAAAACTCTGGGTTCTTCGCTAGTACTCACGAGCAGATACGGCAGGAGCGGCTTTTTGAACAGCAGCTGAAGCACGATTTTGACGAAAATTTGCGAAAAGTGGAAGAATCTAGAACGGAAGAGGGTTCGGAGACTTCCAACGGTTCAGAAACCTTTCAGAATTCGAAAAAGGAAAATGGTGAAAAGAGTAAAAATCTATCGCTCAATTTAAGTGACAAGAATGACAGTGGGTTCGTGACACCAATGACACCGGAGAAGGAAGACCAGAAGTTGGAAACCTCTTCAATTGTATCGCATCCGTTGAGTGATTGTGATGTTGTTATTAAGTTCGATGGGCAGTCCACGAAACTGAAGCAGATACGGCCTTTCCGACATCATTAAACATTAGAATTGAAAAGACATGACATATGTATAGTATTTAAAATTGTAGATAATTCGTTTTATTATGTCGAGTAACAAAATCTTTTATTTTACTTAATACATTAGATTTTTAAGTTTCAATATCCGTATTAAAATAGTAAATTACCAAATTTAAAATCAATCAAAGTATTTTGGCTTACTTTCTCGGCATATGCTGGCCTTGCCATATTTTAGTTCTATAGTTCATTTTTATTAAAAGAAATATTATTTTAATACATTGTTGGTATTATTTTATATATTCAAATGGAATATTTTTATATTTCTTGTGAGATTTATTTTTTCCAGTATTTTTAAAATGTTAGTGATGGAACAGTTTCTTTTTTGAGTAAATTGGTCTAAAATAAGCTTCAATCGACTTAAGTATTCACTTGAGATTTTAATATTTCTCAACTATTAAGAATTTACTCAAATGACAAACTGGCAGGAAATAAATGTGTTCCGCTTTTGTGACTAAGTAGAATAAATTATATAGCTCAACATACACAGATTGTAGTTTTGGCGGGAATAGTCAAATCGGCTTCTGCATTAGACATTTTACGGACGGAAATTATTATATATTGGTTTATGTTGATTAAAAAAAAGTTAAAATAAATTTCTTCAATTCTATGTAGGCCGTAAATAAATTTCGTTATTAAAAAATTGTATTTGGGTTGTTTCTTCATTTATAAACTTATTTGTTATTCTGCTTTATTTGCTAAATATCTGCAAGTTTCATAAGCTATATGTAATTTAAAAATGTAATTGTGCTTAAAAACTTTATGTTAACAATAACCAGACATGGGATATAATCTGTGGCAAAATCATTTGACTTTTTTATTTTTTTATTTGAAACTGGCAATTTATATACGATATTCTTTTTTTTATTACTTCGTTTTCCCGCCTCATTATAATGTTGCACGCCTAACGTTAGTTCTAGAAGACAATTGATTGTGATACATATTTACTTAAAGTTTTGAAGGAATAAATGATTTAGTTTAAAGTTTTAGCATTCTAACTTTGTCCTCTCTCTCAAAGTATCCTAAACTTATTTTAAGGTGACCTATATCTACGTTGCCGTAGCTCAATTGTGTAGCATTGCATATTGTGCAATAAATCCTGGGTTTGATTATCATTTGTAAAACATCGTTTTTAATGAACAGTGCACACGGGCGCACATTCAAATCAATGAGTAAAATAGACATAGTGTTTATTATAAGCAGAATGATTTTTTAATAACAATTATATTATGAGGCTTAGTTTTTTTTTGTCACAGACATCTAAGGTAAGGCAATGAAGACTGGTGTGAGATAAGAAAATGATTAAAAGTCGTAAATATTTATTTTCTAAGGTATCACAGACAAAATTCACAATTTAGCCAAAAACTACGAATGACACGAGACACTCAGACATAAGAATCCTTAGGAAATAATATACTTGTTCGGCAGAACAGAATATCTTACATTAAAATTGGATTATAAATTAAAAAATTAACGACTCGGGCAGGACTTGATCCGGCACCCACAGCGTTCCGTGCTGTTGCTCTGACCAATTGAGCTACCGAGTCCTACACGTCATCGTCGAATTTTTCAAGTTATTGATACATACACTTCTCACATTATAATTTCAACCTTAACACTTCAATGTATTTTATCTTACATTAGAGAACAAACTTTCCAACATACTATTTGTATTATTTACAATGCTTTACAAAATGTATATCTCGTAAATCTATTGTAAAAATTTGTTAATAATAATAAGTAAATCTTTACATTATGCTTATAATAAAAACTAAACAAGGTTAAGAAAAATAAATAAAATTACATATAAAATAGACAAGAAACAATGAATTCATCAAATGGCCAATTATTTCACAGTAGTCATACAAACATACAAGTAAATACCGTTATACAGGGTGTCGCCAGGTTTAACAAAATTATTTAAAAGACTGTAGCATGGAAAGTTAAGAGCATATTTGTTAAATTTCATTAATTTCAGCTTAGTAGTTTAGGCACAGATTTGTTTTCTTCGAATTAGCAAAAAACACCTGATAATAGCTATAGACACTAGAATGTAATGAAAAATATCAACGGTCTATGACAAAAATTAAACGACTTTCGTCTTATGTAGTTAGTATGAAGAATAAAACTTATTTAAATAAAAACACTTTAGACGGTTTAAAACGCGAAATTACTAGAACAAGTATAATGCACAGTCAAGTCTGGTGGTACCCCGTATAATCTTGATTAACTAAGCTAAGGTAAGGTAAGTAGGACGTATTTAGGAAAGTAAAAGATTAGATTTAACTTAATTTAAATAAATAGTACTTACACATAAATCTAAATTAGAAACTTATACATTATCATTTCGCTTTGATCTCGCCGATAACCTAATTGAAGCCCTGATGGAGGCCCGGGAACCAATTCCAGGGAGGGGTCTTACAAAGTGTTCTTCCGGACGTTCTTCCGACTTCTGTGGTGCTATCTCCTTTTTTCTATAACAATATTTATATCAAATTCTAGATTAGACATGGCAGCATTTTAATTGCAAGTAACACCTCTATCTATTCTATTTATAAAAATAAGTAATATAATACCACTGTTTCTTTGCTTCTATTATTCACTGTTTATATGCCCATGACCTTCCTCGATAAATGATCTAACCAACACAAAAATATTGCTTAAATTCGAACCAGTAGTACGTGAGACTAGCGCATTGCGTGAGACAAGAATCTTGGGATTGTTTATATGACAAAAGTCATTATCGGTTACCATTAAAGCCAGAAAAATTCCAATGAATCTCTCTTACCTTGGAAAACAAGGGTTATCCCAAAACCGCTGATCCTTCCCAAACTCCTCTCCATCAGCGAGGGTCTGCGGCATCTCCGTGTCCATTGTCTCAGGTAGGAGAAGACAGAGGAAACCACCGATAATGCCCAGAACCCCCAAGATCAGAAGCGGAAGTTCTGGCGATATTGTTGCCTGAGAATTTGTCAAACGAGGCCATTTAGAAGACAATTAATCATAACGATTATTTTGTACTGATAAAAAATTAGAAGGTCAACTTTATTGAACGACTTCAAAAAAGAACTTCTCACTTGGATTCGTGTAAATATGTTTATTCTTTTATTTATTTACACTTCAGAATAGATAATTATTTTAAAATAACGGTTTAAAATGCGAAGTGTATTAATTACGTTTATTTACAAATTATTTTAACGACGTCCCGACGTTTCGGATGCTTCGCAGCAGCCGTGGTCACGGGGAGTTAATACATTTGCGTTTCAAACCGCTAAAAGTGTTTTATTTAAATGTGTACTACTCGCGTAATCTACGGACAGTACTTTAGTATTGTTTTTAGTGGAAGGTGGTTACAAATATTGAATATCTAACTTTGCTTTACTCTTTTGCAGTGAAAAAAAAGTTCAATGAGTCTAGTCAATCATAGGAAATGTCTGTATGAGCTCTGTCTAACAGACGAACTGTAGTTTTTGCTGAAAATCAGTGTTGGAGCATAACCGTGCTGCAACTTTTGCTGGTGCAAGACACTTTTGGCATCACTTTTTTTTAACTTAATGCAATATTTTGGTATTCATAATTTTATTGTAATTACATTTATTTCTTTCTAACATAACTAAATGAATGCCAAATAAAGAAATGTAATATTTATTATTATTAACTGTGTAACGCCCATCGTTCAGCATATCATTGTTTTTCGGGCTGTTCGGCCGACGTGAGCGAGAAGAGGTTCTCGACGTTTCGCCATCACGCGCAGACGGCATCATTAGGAGATGTTAGCTCCGCGATTGCTCGAAGAATCCTGAATTCTGGGAGCAATCGAGACTACTTCGAGAACCTCTTCTCACTTGCGTCGGCATAGCAACCCGAAAGACAATGATAATATGATTATTATTATCCTTACCAAGTAAACGACAAATGGTGCCAAAATGGATGCAACATATCCCATTATATGGATGAGGGCCACTCCTTGTGCACGCACAACAGTCGGTAACAGTTCTGCGGCGTATTGTAGACCGATATTATAGGATATGTTAATGGCGAAACGTCCAAGAATAGCCAGAGATGCTGATGGCCCACCTAGAACAAGTTTCCAGTTATTATATCTACTCATGTAATTTTACTATTTTGAGTACTTCTACCGTACTTATAATAATAAAAAAATACTTTTTTTACTATTTCTAACGATCACGTTTGACGGAATTACGTGTAACGCTAAGCAATGTGTTGCTGTCGGGCCGTGGTGTCGATCCCCATCGGGTCAAAGATTTTTCTGTTCAATTTATAATTGTGTTAAATATATCGTAAACCCCGTTCTGGTCACGAACGATTCACAGATGAATTTTAATTCAATCGCATTTCTGAAACCGAATTCCGTTCCTATGTGGATTTCCAAACATCCAAAGCCAAAAATAGATCGATAGCGCGAACGCCATACTTGTCTATCCTCCTGTAGCATAAAAAAAATCTTACTTCATAAGTGCATGTATTAATAATGTTAGATTTTATTCATACATATACGTTAAGATTCAAAATAATCTCTATAATGTTTCTTTAAAACGAATTTAAAACTGATATTTTCATTGACTAGCTTCTGCAAATATCAATAACTAGATGGCGTTAGCGTAGCAGATTGTCTTTGACATAGGGGTGCCCCTGTGATCACAGCTACTGAAACATTCAAACGACTTGTATGTACTTACCAACAGGTACAGTAGTCGCCAGTAGACTGAAGAAACCGCTGATTACCATAGAACCACAGGCCAACCACCGTCTTCCCCACCTACAATAAAAACGCAAACTATAAGTACTTAAGGTAGTAAGGTTACTGTAACTTAAGGTAATTGTTTAGCCCTTAACAATTTACTCTTAGAGCCATTAGGCACTGTTGACCAGTCGCGGGCGACTCAGTCTCTCGGCGGTCAAAGTGTGAGTCGCAACTACATGGTGAGTCGAATGACGACCAAGTGCGCAAGCGCCAATTTAAACCATAGTAAGTTATAATAAAATGTGTCCCCGCCAGTGCGCAATAGCGCTTAGACTTTAAAAATGTGAAATCACGTTTCCCCAGGTGGGACATGGAGCGAACACATTTCTGTGTCCGTTTCACAGATTATTTTCATTTAAGGGCAAGTATGAAAACTTTATTATTTCTCACATGTTTTTAAATGATGGTATTATACATGAGTTGATAAAATTCGACAATGAATTATAGAATACGGTAGCTCAATTGGTTAGAGCAACAGCATCGAACGCTGTAGACGTCTGTTCAAGTCCTGCCGTGTCGTAAATTTTATTATTTTTATCTTATACAGGCAAGTAGTTAGAAAAAATGGAATGTCTCTACATTCCATTTTTTCTTAGGATGCAAACCCAGGCCCTCTCGCGTTCTTTGCCATGCTAGGCAACATATTTAACCATTTAGATACAGGGGCCTATTACCTTCTACACTATACTCTTAAAGCCAATATTAATTAATTGCGATAAAATAGAAAACAAAAATTACAAATATGACACAAACTACTAAACTATACCTGTCAAGAACGAGAGTAAGGAACGTATCTGCTGGAAACTCAGTAGCAGTTGCGATGGTGAAAGTCATAAAGATATCCAGGCCCAGGGAACCCACGTTTCTTACGTGACCATCGAAGACCAGGGAGATCCCCATCCAGATAATAATCAGCAGGATCGCGTTTTTACGAAGACGAGGAGTCTTGAAAATATCTAGGACAGAATAGGACTTCTGAGCTTCCGATTCTTTCATGGCTTTTTGAGATGATTCCTGAAAGATAATGTCATTCATGGTCTGTTACAGACATTACAGATTTTTATAGATACAACCTTTGTATTATATTATATAATATTAAAGTTCTAAATACAATATACGTTTATATAAAACATTTTAACGGTTTCAAACGCAATATTTTAATAAATCTATTGCGTTTGCGTGTTTGCGTAATCTTTTTAATTTATTGTAACTTCAAGCAATCGCCTCGCATCCTTTGCAAAAGGCTTGTGTAGTAAATTTCGCATTTTAAACCGTTAATAGTGCTTTATTCTAATATGTACTACTCCTGGTAACTAAGAAACATTACTTAGTAAGCTACTTTTTTTTCAACGTTATTGAAATATTGATGCTTTGCAGCAGTCGTAATCTGCTCTGCTAGCGCCATCTGTTCCGTTGTAGTTGGTGTTTGCCGAAAATGGCCGGTTCCTTGCAGAATTTCATGCTGAATACTCGGCAAGATTAGCATCGAAATCGTCGGGCCGTTGAAATAATGTTAAAACAAGTTTAACTAATCAATTTCGAGTTTTCTTTTAATGTTTTTATTTAAATAAAACAATAGTCAACTGCTTATCCTTGGGAAGTTTTTGAAAGTAAGATAAGATGACGGGCAATCTCAATCGGATTATGTTTTAGATTTAGATTACATACTACTTCCAAATTAACTTACGGTAAATTCGTTAAGCACTTTTTCGGGGATTTGGGTTTTGTTGATCCTCTCAAACTTCTTCATTATTATGAGGGCCTTGTCCACTTTTCCTTGAGACATCAGCCATCTAAAAACGTAAATTGCTGGATTAAAACTATAATTATAACTATTCTTAAATATTTATTAGTTTTTAACAAATATATTCTTTATCGTTTATACGTATGAAATATGATTTTGATTAATAAACTGTAATGAACAACAATTATAATTTTTAATATATAATTTAACAATTTAATGAACGTTATGAGTGACCCCCCCCCCGCGTGAAAAAGACAAAGTGTCCGAAACGTCAGATTTTCGACATAACTGTCGGTTTTTTTTTCAATTTATAATCGATTTTAAATTATGTCTAAGTTAAATAATATACATTCTGTGATTCATATGTGTATGCAAGAACTTAAATATATTTTTATTGTTCTGTGAAAAGAATTTATCTGCAGATGTAATGTCTCCTAGCGACTTTAGTGTTGATTGAGCTATGAATACAACTTACCTTGCACTCTCAGGCACCAACCACGGCGTCGCTGCAGCGAACACGAACGGTATACTTATCCCCAGGGCATATCGTCGCCAATCACCAGCCCATAACGCAATCCAGGGCAAGATGGACGCTCCCAAAGTGAAGAATATCGCTATCGACATGTTTGCGACGAAGGTACGCCATTTTGGTCCAACGTACTCCAAGACTAAAGTCAAAGAATATGGAACACTCTCTGTAGTTTACGCGAGTAGTACACATTTCAATAAAACACGTTAACGGTTTAAAATGCGATATATTAGTTAAACCTATTTGAAAATGATTTTTAACTTCGGCCCGACGTTTCGGATGCTTCGCAGCAGCCGTGGTCACGGGGAGACGGGTCGAAAGCAAAGCAACCGAAACGTCGGGCCGCAATTAAAGTAAGTTTTACTAAAATAAGTTTTAAGTGTTTTATTTAAAAGTTAAAAAATATGGATAGTTAGAACTAGTTATTAATATATAGATATTGTGGTTTGGTCTGTTGCTTTGGTAAAATTTGTGAGGTCGGTAGATCCTCTTGTGTACAATTTGCCTTTTCGGTGAAGATAAGTCGGTCGCATTCTGATATGCGACCGACTTATTATATCAAATATAAGTTTAACCCCAGTTATTTGATTCCCATTTGACAAATTACAACGTCTTAATATAATGCATTTGAAAAGGATTTTGTTTGCTTGAAGTTGGTCTATCGTTTTAGATAGTAAAAGTTACTCAATATTCTCCTTTATAAATTGACATGTTTATCTTAATAATAATGAAGAATGATAATTAATTCTTATAATTTTGATCCAAAACCAAAATAGGTTTTCTGTCTTCTAATCTGTATTATAACACTTACCCAAAATATACATCATAGTAAAACAGTTGTCGAACGCAAGTCCAACCAAAAACCGGCAAAGCGCAAAGGACCAAAAGCTATTACAGAAGGCGGTCCCCACGCCGGCCAGGAAACCCATCATATTGGTACCTAGTGGAAAAGGAAAAAAGATTACTTTTAGGCAGCCGTCCTATCTTCTAATCCATGAACACACACGCAGTTATGCTCTTTATATATTGATGTCCTATTGTGAGTCTCAGGTGTCTTCTAGAATGAAGGTTTTAACCGATCACACTTATTAAAAATAAAGACAGTTACCACTCACCCACTAATGCTGGTATCCTTCCATATTTGTCCGCTATCCATCCGAAGATCAGACCACCAACAATGGCGCCGCAAAAGAATATAGCTTGGGCTGTTGCTGGCCTATTATCCTTGTCACATACCCAGTCCAGCTGGAAGTGAAGTTTAGATCTAGTAACAGCTTGTTACGGGAAGATTTATTTATAAATATTTTTCAACAATTCTTGAATTTAAATACTGTCTATAGTTTACGCGAGTAGTACACATTTAAATAAAACACTTTAACGGTTTAAAACGCGATATAACGCAAAGCATCCGAAACGTCGGGCCGAAGTTAAAAATCATTTTCAAATAAGTTTAACTAATATATCGCGTTTTAAACCGTTAAAGTGTTTTATTTAAATTCTTGAATTTTACAAACACTTTTAACCGTTATGAATGCGAAATATATTAGTTAACTTATTTATGATTATATTCAACCGGTTGTAAATGTGTAAAAATAGTAAAAAAACAACTGCGAAATCGGTTGTACTGGTTTCGATTTGCGCTTTACATTTTGCAATTAATTTTTTTTTATTATACACTAGTATTCATCATTTCTGGTTTCTTGAAAAGTGAAATCATGGATGAATAATTTTCCCTGCTATTTCCACATTTCACACTGTTTCTTTGGTCTTTTTCGGTATGTTTTTTATTCGAGTCAGTAGTTCCTGAAATAAGCTTGTTAAAACAAAACAAGCAAAAACTTCAGTTTTATAATATTACAGATTATTATCTTCAACAAAACCTTCTATATCAACGTAAATATTATCTAAGCAATCTCATTAGAAGGGCAAGTTCGCAAAATGTTATATAAACAATCACGTTCTTAAGAAAATACATCAAACGCCAAGGACTCGGTAAGAATTTTAGCAAGAACGGCTGTCTCAATTATGATGTAATTGCTACAGAGAGGTGCAGGAAGGAATTATATATTTAGAAATTCATTCAAATTAACCGAAATATCTGGCGGTAGTAAGTAATTTTCAAATTAGTTCAATAATTTCACGTTACAACCGTTGAAGTGTGTTATTTAAATTTGAAATTCATTTTTACTTTCAGGTACTGAAATAGGATTATTATATAGTTTGCAGTTACGTAAAAATATAAATTATTATGTATCTAATCTTATTTATATAACTAATTTCAGATATATTTTAGAGTCATATTACTATTTTTGTCTTCCCCATCAAACCTTACCTGCGACGCAATAGTTTCATACGGCACATCAGTCCGATTGTACTCCCACGTCACACAGGGTACTATGGGCCATTCATCATCAGGGGCCGTCCGACCCTGGGCTAAGGCCATCGACCAGTTGGTGGAGTACATATTGCATCTGTCATGTGAATAGGGCCCGCTGGACTTCGGCGGAATGGCTAGAGCTCGTCTGAAACAAATGAAGATTATTTAGTAATCAATACTAATTATAAAGCTAAGAGTTCCTTGAACGCGCTAATCTCAAGAACTAACGGTTTTAGTTGAAATTATTTTTGTGTTGGTTAGAAGGTCGAGGAAGGTCATAAGGCTATAAAACATGGAGCTGTGACTGTGAGGGAAAGTGGGGGAGTTGGGAGTTTCCAGCAGGTTGCGTACGCTGCGAAAACGATTCTAGATGAAAGAATTCCTCCGAGAGAGAAAGGAATGATTCCTCTTTAAATTATTTTAAAAAGTGGCAGCGATATATGTCTGTCTATCTTTTAAGATTAACTTGCAAGAACGACGGGAAGGGACGCGACGGACGGCTTGGGTAAAGATGAAGTGGTTTGCAAAAACGTATTTGGATGCCCAAAATAGCGATTCTCGCGGACGAAGTCACTGACTCAGCAAGTTTCAGCTATTTTGTTTCAATCTATGAATAACCACAGCTGCATAAATCTTTCCTCTTGCAAATAACATAACGAAAATGCTTTTATGAGTATTGCTTATTGTGACAGATAAGCTACCATCAGACATAGCTCAGGCATAAAACATCAAATCATACAGTGAAACGCGATTAATTTGATTAATTATTTTTTTCTATTAAATGTACTCTACACTGCGTAACAAGGCAATATGAACTAGCACAGGGTAAAATCCAATAAATAAATAATGTTAATTATAGGTTATTTTTCATCGCATTTATATGCGATGAAAATGTGAGAAAATAATAAATTTAACCTTGTTTAATTAATTTGTAAGGTGCTTACTTGTACTCATGTAAGGACCCTACAATCGTATCCTGACATCTATCTATCTAATATTTATGACACTTATCATATGCAGATTTCCACATTTGAATAAACCAGAAGTAAAATTATAATATACTAATAACACATAAGCTTTAATAACTTACTATCTTTTACTATATAATTAGAATAAATTAGTGCTATTCCATTATCATTATTTACGCGATTGGGATTCGATTTCCCGGAAGACAAAACTATCTATATACTTGTCTTGCATTAATTTTGTTCCTAGTCTACTGAGTTGAGCTGTTTCACGTAATATAATTTTTATTATTGTTTATAAAAATATATAAGTTGATCTATATTTAAAACACTAAATGTATAACTAACTTTTTCTAAACTAATATTTATTAAGATTCCCATATTCCTTTGAAACGGCTGGACATATTTTAATAAAATACAATTTGCATATCACATACATCTGACTAACCAACATCTATTTTTCGTACTCAAAAAATTAAAACCTTTAAAAGAATTAGCATATTACTTCTAAACCAATCTACGTCTTTTTATCGCGTTTAGTATAACAAAAAAGGCTTTGGCGGCAAGAATTCCACCCTGTTCAAATATATTATGCACAGAAAAATATCGATTTGATTTGGTTTTGCTAATGCGAAATTTTAAAACCACTTTATTATGTAACTTTAAGCAAAGCACTACTCGTTTGCGTAACGGTAACAATGTATGGCTAAACATCAGGTCGTGATCCATCCTGCGGTGGAACCCACCGGCTTCAAGATGTTCCTAATGAATTTTTAATTTTTCGTGGGATTTTTCGTAAATAGTGGGAATATCGAAATTCCGTCCAAGTCCTAATTCTACGAACCACTTCTTATTAATATGATTATTACGGAATTCCGATAATTAGAGAACCGCCACTCAAGAAATGGCAAATCAATATCTCGTTGAACGTTTGAGCTTTATTAACTGTCACTATCGAGGTCTGATAATTATTGAGTATCGAAGGCCTTTCCTAGTTCCAAACGGATGTAATTCGAACCGTGGTTTTATTAATTTGTGCTTTTCCTTCTTCTGAATAGAGCAAAAAGGGTATTCTCCGTTTCAAGGGCCGTCAATAAAATCAATTGTTTTTAATTAATAACATATAAAAATTTAATTTATTAAAGGTTTAAAACGCGCGATATATATGTCTTTAATACAAGTAATAAGTTCATAGACTTAACACGATAAAATTAAAACAAAAAACAAATAAGTATACCGTATTCCAATTTAAAATTCCATATAACGAACAAATATTTGTTGTGTTTATCGGTAGTATGATATTAAAATAAATCGAATTTTAAACGGTTAAAATACGAAATATATTAACTCATTAACTTTTTATTTTAAATACAACCTAGAGAGTTTGTTTTCACGTGTAGCTTAGCCGTGATCAAAGTCTCGCGTTTTAAACCGTCAAAAGTTTTGTATTTAAATGTGCACTACTCGCGTCAACTACAAAATCTTATATTGTTTTGTTTTTGAAGATTTAATATTTAATTATCTTCTTTCTTTCTAATTAAATTAGTACCACTCGTGAAAAAATGCTTTTACGAGTATGCTCAATGTTTTAGCGCTGAAGGTATGCGATTTAGAAATGTGTATGCCCCATGCCCCACGCCCCATGCGAACACAAGCGAACCCACAAAAAAAAAAAAAAAAAAGGTTGAAAAAAAAAAAAAATATTTAAAAGAAGGACACAAAAAAATAAAAAAAACGAGCCCCGCCGCCCCCCGGACTCGGTAGCCCAATTGGTAGAGCAACAGCACGGAAAGCTGACGATGCCGGTTCAACCGCCCGGTCGAAATCTTTTAATTTATTTTCGAATTTTAAAATTACAATGTTTTCTCCCCTACGTTTTATACAAAAAGCCGCCTCACTGGTGTCATTGTCCTTTTTAAGAACAAGACCGTAAAAGTGTAGCACCGGGAAACAAACCTATGATCCGTTGCAAATGACCTCGGATGATTTGCACGAATACATCGACCTTTACAGTATCGACCTTCACTCGAGAAGTTTGTCTAGTAATCACTATTGCAGTATAATAATTGTCTTTTGTGTGTATGTAAGGTCAGGATGGTTGCTTTAAAATATAATCACGTGGTTTATATTATTTTAGTTGCTTTGATGTTTACAAAAAAATCTGTCTATTAAAGAATATTCAAGCTCATTATAGCTATTTTTTAAACAGAGAAGCATGGGTTTTAATTGACAGTAGGTAAAATACCTCATTCATATAACACTTCGATGCGTAGTCGACCTATAATTGCTTTATTAATTGGAAATTCATAGTCTGAAACCGAAACGCGATTACTTATTGTTTCGGTTAGTGATCTAGATGGAATTTTGATATTTCTATCACCCATTGAAGATCCTAAAGCAAATAAGATATTTTCTATTTCTTTTCTCTCGTACGGTTGCCTGGAAGAGATCGCTACTAAGCGATAAGGCCGCCTTTCATTTATAAGTTAGTACGTAAGATTTTTCCTCATTAATATGTATTTTTTGTGGTGTGTTTTATAAATAAAAAAGCAATAATAAATAAATAAAATAAGATCCAAATTTTTCGAGAGATCTATAACTATGATGGGAATTATTTCAGAAAAATATCTATCTATACTAATATAAAGCTGAAATATTCGTTTGTTTCTTTGAACTCGCAAAACTCAGGAACTACTGGTTCGAATTGAAAAATTGTTTTTGTGCTGACTGAAACATTCAGGATGTCTTTAGTTATAAAACATCACGCTACGGCCAATAAAAGCGATGAAACGTGGAAAATGAAAATTTTTGACGATTTCCAAGATGCCTAAGAAATATAATTGAAAAAATGATCTTAACAATTTATGTCTATTCTTTAAGATTAACTCGCAAAAACTATTGGACGCGTACAACGTCGTGGGAAACAGCTTTAATTAATAAAGTTTTTGGCAAATCAATATACCGAAAATACCTATACCACGCGGACGAACTCGCGGGCACATCTACTCTATACAGCTACCACTAGACCAAATAGCACTTCGTACTGTATAAGTGGTACGGAGTTTCCGTTTTCCATATAAAACCTCGAGTTACACTCATCGGTGGCTATTGGTCTATGGTACGAATTGTCAATAGAAAATTAACAATAGCCACGTAACGATTACTACAACCATGTAACACTTTTCCATTGACTATTACTTAATAATAAGCTCATTAGAGCTGACAAATCAAACCGTTAAATATCCGTTTAATTCATTCAATATAGATAGTTAAGGCAATATGTCGCAAGCTTAGTAACTTTAATTTTATTTTAAATATTTAATCTATATATGAGGACGCTAGATGCAGTAGCCTAACTGCAGTTTCATGATTTGAGTTATTTATATTTTCAAAGTCTAAAAATGTTAATCTACGAGAGCACAGTGACCGAAAATTGTAAATATAATTATTAGACAAATAATAGCACAGATTTACACACGTACACTATATACAAATAGCTAACTGTGGAGAAACCCATCGCTTCAAAAACTCCCTGCAGTTAATAATATATTTTTAGGAATCGTAAAAAACTCTTATTAATACGTAATTCCCATAATCCAAACCGGACGTCACAACAACGCAAAACAATATAGTGGCCTCACGATTTTGAATAAAAAAGATGCATTGTGAATACTATTTCTGGGTTAATAATTATCTCATCTTGCGGTTAATTCGCAGAATCTTACCGTTTAATACTGCTTAAAACTATGCAGGAAATGGTCTCAACTAGGTACTCTTTTGTGAAACAAGTTGCGTTACATTACAATTACAAGAGTTTGTTTGTTTGTTTTTTTTAGGCTTTTTAAACTATTAAAAAAAATATCAGAAGTCCAAAATGTATGAGAAAAAATTTAAAGTAGTCACAAACATGTTGGACCGGGTGGGGCTCACGACCCGTTGATTATTACATTGCTACCATTACACCAACGAACCATTCAAATACCTGAGAAGGTAGGTCTCGCATTATATAAAATGGGGAAAAGAATTATAAGACTCTATGCATTTACACAAAAAAGCCACATAAAGAATTTTTTTGTCAATTAACTATTAAAATATTCTAAATGTATAAAACATATTTTTTTATATATATCTAATCTGCAGGCTTAATTATTTACAATATACTAATTTACTGAACCGTGCTTCCTTTGTTTTTAATAAGATTCTTATATAAAAAAGGTTGGCGATGTTAAAACGCCATATACGATACTCTGTTACTTCGACCTTCATATTATGTACAACATTTTAAATGATAAAATATTTAATATCAAAAAATTAAGGATATCCTTTTCATTAAGATTAAAAAATAATTCATAAGATTTCGTGTTTTTTTTATTCATATATAATATAATATATTGTGCGAAATTATTTTGCAATTTCCTAGATGATGTGATTATTTATTATTGCATTATTTTTACTGCGGTCAATGCAATATGGAATAAAAATAATTGGTGACCTAAAATATCTAGATTTTATACTGAACAATAAATAATTATTAATAACGAGTCAATTGTAAATAGAGTTCCTAGTTTTACAAGGTTGTTTGTGTTTTTTTAAATAGGTCTAAAGACGGCAACACTATCTCATTGAAATATAATAACAAACAATTTCGTTGTTTCAGAGAACAACAGAAAAGCAGTTAAGCGGTTGTCTCTGGTTAATTTTGTATCTTTGTCTTGGACTTACTTTAATTTGATTTAAACGCAATTAACACCTTAAATATTTGCAAAATGTGTTTAATGAACTTATCGATATTGTTGTTATCTGTGAATAAAAACGGTGAAATTATTTTAGTTCAAGTTTACTTACTGTTTACAATTATCTTTAACAATCAACTGTATTCATAAAAAAACCCTTTGTTTTAACATTACCTGTGCAGATAACCACAAACACATTATGGTTAAAAACAAAGGTTGTGTATGTATTTGTGATTGAAATGAAAATGTATATGAAACCTGTACATTGAAAGAGTATATTTAAAACATTTGAAAGGTATGTTCTGTAGACGTCTGTTCGTCAGAATTTTTAATTCTGTCAATGTAATTTCGCTCTTACTACATATATGTATAAAACTCACCTTTCTTCAACGGTCAAGTTAGCCAATTCCGGGACCCAGCACCAGTGCTGCTCCGGCACTATCGTCATGAATATTTGCGAAAAATACACAAAGGCGACGAAAAACGCGAACGGTATCATCAAGAGAAATAAAATTTTCTGATATAAACCAAATTCGCCGACATACGGCAAAAGGTCGTCGAAGTCGGCGGCCCTTTTTCGTTTATCTGTGCTTTTTTCATTATCTGTGTTCGAGCTTTCGTATGCCTTGTTCACGAAGCCTAGGTCTATACTCGGTAGCTTATCTATGTTTTCGTTTTGGCGGGAATCGTCAACGCACGGAGTTCGCTCTTGTGGCGCCATCTTGTATTTTTTAATGTACTTTCATAATCTGTACGAACTACCTGAAACAAGATAAAATAAGATGTTTTAATAAACTTTTCAACAGTTATAATAAAGAAATACATACAGTTATTTTATTTAGTAAATGCACACAAGAACAGATGTTGTTAATTCTAGTTGAATGTTTTGGACTTTTATGGTATCTTGTTGAATTTTTATTTAGCTCAAGTATTAGAGTCAATGTTAGTGTCAATTTTGGTTTGTGAAATTAAGTTTTACTTTAAAAAATAGTAAAACCAAAAATTCTTTACTTTATGTTAAAATTAGAAAATTAAGTCCCTTCTCGAAGCTACGACTAACGACGTAGTTTGCAGTTGCTCTACATAAATTAAACTCTCTTATGAATCGTTTATAATTAAAAAAACTTAATTACTTATTTCCGAAATGTCGGGCTTTCGTGTTGAAATCCCGTTTCCTCTCGTAGGGCGTGGGGAAACACATTTTGTGTCCGTTTCCTGATTGGTTTTATTTACAGGCAAATAGATGATCAGAGTGCCCTGCCCGATCGAAACAATCTCTTGTTTCCCCAGGATTCGAACCCAGGACCCTTAGCGCTTTACTATGCAACACATTTAACCATTAGGTAAGCTACTGAGGCGATAGAAATGTCGGGCCCTAGTTGATTTAAATAAAAATATGTTAACTACTATTTCGCTTTTTATCCCTTAAAAGCTTTATTATAATAATTAATTATAATCATTCGTACAATACATGCACTTTATATATAAGCTTTATGAAGCTTTAAAAATGGTTATGTGTATCTATATATGTTACATATGGATGTTTTAAATAAATTAAACAATGTATATTTATAATTTAAACCAAATAAACTTGCTTTTATATTATCTGTGATTAACCACAGACACATTATGGTTAACAAAGGTTGTAAATGCAGTAAGTACAATTTGAACCGTATGTTACCTCGGACTGAATGCGTTCTAAGAATTATAATACGATTTAATACGCAACACTAATTCTGGCATTGAACATTGATTAAATAAGGAAATTGTTGAGTTTTATTAAATTGAAGACATGTTTTTAGGTTATTTTTTGCCTATATAAGAGTAAAAACTAATAAGCCCTTAGTTAAATTCCAAAAGCATAGTTCATTAAAAATTTAAAAGGGACTAATCTATACTTATGTTATAATATCTCTGAAGAATTTGTTTGTTTTGTAACCCCTCTCTCCACTGAGCTCAGAAACTACTGTTACTTATTTTTGTGTTGGTTAAAGCATTTATCGAGGCTGTAGCGAGGAAACAGTGGAAAGTGGGGAAAAAGAACGGGGAAAATTATTCTTCTTTGTAGGTTTCCGTTGCGTTTAAAATCGGTTTAAGATACTTACATAAAATAATAGTTTCCTCTTTAAACGATCTTAAAAAAATGTTTCCCAAAGTCTATCTTTTAAGATTAACTTGCAATGGGACGGATAAATTAATAAACAGCCTAATTATTAAAAAAACGGATAAAAAAAAAAAAAAAAAAAAAATTTTTAAAAGTCCGCCCGGACGGTTGCCGGGCTTCGCGGGCGGTGGTCACGGGGAGATCTACCCAAAGTCACTATTCCAACGCGGTATTTAACGACACTCGCTTAAACAAGTATTTAACAGCCTAATGTTAAGAATACCGTACTATTCACGCGGACGATTCGCTAACACATCTAATGTATGAGATATTACCGACATTGTATCGAGTCGTTGAGTTCACGAAATTTGTTATCGTTTTTAAATTGTTTTCTCGGTGGTAATTATCGAACAGAAATACCAATTTTGAATCGCTACTCACACAGCTACGTTTTTTATTCCAAATATATATAGTTATATTCATTTAAAACTAGTTACATTTATTAGCCCTAATTCTATTATCTTTTGTATGCTGTACACTCCTTGATGCATCATTTATTCCTTAATATACTGAAAATTACAGGAGATATAGGTTCCACACTATCCGTAAGTAGAATACCTACTTATCATTTTGTTATCCAAATTTTAACCTAACGTTTGTGTGTTTATCTCAACCCTAAAAACTACTTCATCGATATTTAACCGTAAAACCTTGTAATTGCCGAAAGCCCGACAAATTGTAACTTACGCGTAATCTTGTTCCGTATTTATATGAATAATTCATTGAATTGAATTAATATTGAATAATACCGTATAATTTTACTAGACGTCTTGACCCTGGCATTGTGTTCAGGGCTGGCACGCTTCTGAATTAATTATAAATTGAACGATTTTGCGGTTTTGCCTTTTGACAACAAATAGTCTAATCCAATTAATGGTGGTGTCGTTAGTCCAATGGTAACGATATGGCTAACCAAGCGGTCATGGTTGCGGTTCCCATCAGATCTAACATCAACACCTACACCACCTAGATTTTAGAGACATCAAAAACTATTTGGAAATAAGTTAAATCTGGGTGGAGTAGGCTATATCAAAATTTGGTCCGAGTCACGAACCTAGATACAATAATCGTACTCTGCTTACGGTTCTTGTAAGTTAATCTTATAAGATACCATATATTATTAATAGGCGCGGACATACTTTTAGGTTATTTAATGAAGAATAATTCCTACGTAAACAGTTTTTGGGTAAATACTGTCTATAGTTTACGCGAGTACACATTTAAATAAAACACTTAAACGGTTTAAAACGCGATATATTAGTTAAACTTATTTGAAAATGGTTTTTAAACTAATATATCGCGTTTTAAACCGTTAAAGTTTTTGGGTAACTTGTACCGTTTTTGCAGCGTAAGCTATATTTAATAATTCTACCCTTTTTGCATGAGAATGATTTTCCCCATTTTTTCCACATTTCCCTAAAGCCTTCTTCGATAGAAGGTCCAACCAAAACGAAAATAATTTTTGATTTGGAACCAGTAGTTCCTGAGATTACCGTGCTCAAACAAACAAACTCTTAAGCTTTATTTAACATTAGTAAGGTTACCTAGTATCGTATATTAGTAGTCACAGAAAAGGACCACTTTTGAAAGGACTAACGTCCAATTTGCCTTAACCTCTTAAAACCTTTCCATGACATAACCACAAATAAATTACGCCCCTAACACCTGTGTTTAAGATGTATTTTGGCTTGCGAAAAGTTTTTTGTGTATATTAGTGTATTACATGAGATTTTAAACTTTATGACGATGTGATAGCGTTTAGTTTCTTTTACTCGAACCGATCAGGTGTAGCAATGACCTCAATGTTTTTACGATGTAATTGTTACTTAAATAGTTATAATTCTTTATATAATACAATGTTTATTGAGATAAGAGTTATTATTGTTTATTTTCTTATTCAAGAATAGAGCCTTGCATATAAAAAATACGTTCGCTTCGAAGACGAAAGTTGCATCGTTTTATTTAAATAAATATCGAGTTAGCTTTTTTTATTGATAGAAAAGGACAGGACTTGATGGTAGGTGGAATACCATATAGCATCTAACCAAGATGCGCTATCGGCCTATTTCGGCTTTGGATATTAAAACATCCACGGACTGAAATCGAAACTTCACTGCTTTGACATCTGTGGACGGTGGTTCGTGAACCGGACGGAGTTTTTATATTCTTTTTTAGCCCTTTTGAACTTTAAATATTACAATACGATAGCTTTACATGAATGAAAAATCGATTTTAAGTTTAAATGTATCGATGACAGAGGGGGTTCTAGACTATGCAACGTTCTTGGTTTAGAAGGGTTCGAATCCCGCCCGTGTCACCTGAAAATTACGATTTAAATAGCGTTTTCATTAAAGATTACTCTATCACACCTGTTAGTACATAACGAATTTTGACAATTATTTGATATAATAGAAATTTATTTTCGTGATATAGTGACTGTATTAAACTATTATAACGGCTCAAATTATAGGTCGAATAATATGAACGATGCATATTTTTTTGTTGTCAATGATGACAGTATGATTATTGAGACAAATAGTTCCTTTATGAATGAATAATGATTATTCAGAAATTAATTTAAATATTAATTTATGTTAAAGAGGATTTTCCTGATTCTATCAACTTTATTGCAAAACGCACGCAATGAAAACTTTAGAGGTTTTTCCGATTCCCATGAAAGTTAAGAGTGCAAATTTGATTATCCTTTTTGGGGATATAGGGCAAATACGATATTATATTTCACTAATTGTTTTTGTTAATATGCAAATATTTGAATGTTTCACGTTTGTGTAGGGTTCGAATTCCTATAAAAAGAATGTTAATATTGCGTTTAACTAAAATCTTTAATTGTATTAAAAGTTGAAAGTTTAGACAGATAAACTTTAAAAATCGTAAAAATAGATATGAATCTTATTTATGATTTTTTTTCAATTTAACTTAAATACTTTAACGGTTTAAAACGCGATATATATAAGTTAAACTTGTTTGATAATTATTAAAACTACGGCCCGACGTTTCGGACGCTTTTCAACAGTAAACGTCGGGCTAATAAATATCGCAATTTAAACCGTTAAAATGTTTTATTTAAATAATTACTACTCGCGTACACGACAGTATTTTTAAATTATCAGAAAATTAATGCAATATAATAAATTAATTTCACAACCGTTGAGTAATACATATTCGGTGCGGAAGTATTTTTATTTTATTTGTTTTATTATTTAAAGCGGGCTTATGTAAGGGCTTTTAAGTTTAAAAAATATTTTGTCCATTCATTAAAATATACGCATTATTTTATTTAAGATTTTGCGAAATTATAAAAACTATTTCCTATTTCTGGTGATTATATTTTTGGTCTAATTTTTATTTTATATATATGTATGTAGCTACACAAAGAACATGAAAAAATCTTCGTACACCACACTATGTATTACATTTACGGCGACATGCGGTTTGAGGGAATGAGACTATTGACGGGACACGGCCGCTTAATTGGTAGAGCATCAGAACGGAATGGCGCGGTCGCAGGTTCAAGTCCCGCTCTTAAAAAATCAACTTGAAATATATAACTACTATCTAAGATTTGTATTCGGAAGTAAACTTTTACTATCCAAACTAAAAGTACTGTTTTTTTAGAAAAAAGGTTTTATTTACAGTAATATATCACAGTGAATATTTATTATCTGCATGAATTAACAGTTTTATTTCTTACCAATCAAAAACCTCCCAGCCTCAGAGAAGAACCTTCACAGATCACTAAATCACAGAGTCACAAAATTTAATTAATTTAATCAAGTACTTTATGATTTAGGTCGAAATAAAAATATAAATAAATAGTAAATTACACTTAGTAACTATACTTTCGTAAAATTTAACTATTGTGCAACTGTACAAATTTGGCGGCAAACGCGCGAGCGCCTACCGACCGACTGGCCACAGACTCAACCTCGCCACTTAAATAACATTTTCATTCAATGGAACTGAGCAAGATGTGAGCATTTGATCTTAGGGCTCCAATCAGAAGTGATACTAAAGTATACAACACTAGATCATTCGGTTGTTTGCAAGATAAATATTATTAAAATGGTGAAACTTTAAAAAATTTGATTACCATAAAAACGGTGCTTGCTTGCTTGCATGCTTAAAAATCATTTTCAAATAAGTTTAACTAATATATCGCGTTTCAAACCGTTACAGAGTTTTTTGTTAAATTTGTACTACCCGCGTAAACTAGAGACAGTATAAAAATAATTTTTCAATTCCAACAAGTAGCTCTTAAGATTAGAGCGTTCAAACGAACAAAACTCGCTAATTACATTTTATTATGCCAGAAAAACAGATAAGCTTGGATTTCACTTCATGAACGATGATTTGTCTAACTTACGTCTTAAAATGACTATTTGTATTAACTGTGGACGGTGGTTCCTGACCCGAACGGATTTTAACATCATACAAAATTGATATTCCTGTCACCCATTCATAATTCCGGCGGAGTCGAATGGATATGACAAAAAATATAAATTTACTACATATAAAAATAATTTGTAGCTGATTGAAATCAAACTTATGACCCGTTTATTGTCGAACCATTGGGCAAACAAGCCCATGATATTGAGACGTAATTACAATCTGCTTGACATCTTTTTTTGCTTTGGTTCTTCGAAAATCCACAGACTGAAATCGAAGCGGGGATTGACAGCTTTTTAGATTTCCCAAACGTCGGGATTTCATTGTATAGAGAAAACGCGGACATTTTTTGAAATGAATGTATTATGTAGAATAAAAATCGATTTAGATTGAAAAAAAAAATAATGACACTGGCAGGACTTGAACCGGCGTCCACAGCGTTCCGTGGTGTTTTTCTAAGGGGTTGTCCATTAATCACGTGACCTTTTTTTAGAATTTTTAAACCCCCCCCCCGTTGGTGATACGTAGTGAGGTTTAAGACCACCCCCCCTTCCCCCTTCTCAACATCACGTGATTATACACATATCTTTATATAAATACAGGTATAAACTATAATCTTATTTTATTCTGAAATTAAGGACCATAATAAAAATGTCTACACCATTTGTTTAAAAATCGCGCGTTTGACGAAAAAATAAATACGCGAGATATCTTACTACCCAATTTTTCTCAGTGGGATAGGTCAGCTTAGATCTGTCACTCAATGACTCATACGTGGACTAACAGAATTACTTGTTGACGTCGTCGTTCTTATAATCTTGCGCGTATCTTTTATTTCACGGGAACCGAACCTGTTGTAGTATAATTCTACTTAGTTATATATACTTGACGCTAATAATTAAAACAATAAAAATAATACTTCAACGGTTTAAAATTATGTTCACTACGGCCGACGTTTCGGATGCTTATTTTAATGGAAGTTTAACTAATATACCTCTATCGCATTTTAAACCATTAAAGTGTTTTATATAGATGTGTACTACTCGCGAAAACTACGGACAGTTTTTAAAAGTATACAACAAATAATATTATTAAAAGTTTGTAATCTTTTTATCGTGATAGGCGTTGTATTAAGATTTCGTTTATTTAAAATCTTGTAGAATGTAGATAGTACTCATTCATAAACACCGAAAACATAATTATTATGCAAAATTATGTAAAGCCAAATAAGGCGCTTTGACGTTCACAAACAAGGTTACCATTTCCTTTTATTAAGCGCTTATTGATTTAAGTACGAAAAAGTATTACACAATTAAATAAAACACTTTAACGGTTTAAAACGCGACATATTAGTTAAACTTATTTGAAAATGATTTTTAACTTCGGCCCGACGTTTCGGATGCTTTGCAGCAGCCGTGGTCACGGGGAGACCCGTCCCCGTGACCTCGTCCTTAGTTTCAAATAAGTTTAATTAATATATCGCGTTTTAAACCGTTAAAGTGTTTTATTTAAATTCGTTATCATATATACACCCTTTCTCAAAGAGCGATTTTTAACAAGTAAACTAATGGTTTTATTATTGTCTTATTTTTCATGTTGCACAAGGCTTTAAATATAAAAAAACTATTTCATTTATTACGGAACGCTGTGAATGCCGGTTCGAGGCCCGCCTATGTTTTTAAATGCATTTTTAATTTAAGTAAACTACTGATTCTGTACAATTTTTTGAGTTGCACAGCTGACCAATGAAAAACACACTCCTTCGTGTCGCGGAAACACGATATTTTTTTCCCAAATAAAAGGTCCGTATTATTCCAAGGTCTAAACGTTTGCGCCTGAAAGAGGATTAAAACATTAATTAACAATACTAAACTAGGACACAGCAAACGTTTTGCCATAGTACTTGCTAGAATACCTAAGAAAATGTTATGGTCCTTCTAACTTTCAAGATTAGACTAGAATTTTTTTAATTATAAATAAAAAAAGCCTAGCTATATAACATCTAAGCGAGATGCGCTCTCGACCTACGTTTGGCTTTGGATATTCGGAAATTCCACAGACTGAAGCCGAAACGCGATTTAACTCCGCGGCTTTTGCATCTGTGGTCGGTGTTTCGTGTTCCGGATAGGAATTTGATATTCCTACCATCCAGTTAATATGAGATTTCCAGACAAAGTCCAACCACGACCAGTAAATTATTATCCACAAATTGCTACCATTATACCAACTAGCTCACACGGTTATCTAGATGTACAATCGTAATTTATCTATCGCTTTTTTAATATATTTTTTTAAGCATTTTACATTTTTAACTGATCCCGTTTATATGTAGTTTTAGTGATTAGTATTATCAATCAATATCAATATTCCTACCATCCATTTTATATTCCGATTTTCCAGACAAATTAGCATGTTGTACAAAAAAAAACAAATAAATAATAAATAAATTTGCATATTTGTACACAACATATGTAAAAGCTACTTTCGTGGTTCACACACTTAATTTCCTCTTATCTTAATGACGTATTTTACGAGTAAACAATTGTAAGGAAGCGAGATTTGATATTTACTGTGTGTAAAATACAATCAAAATAAAAAATTCTACTCAATGGACCGCTTAAAGTATTTCGTTCTTAAAAACGTCCCATTCTTATTGTTTCCGCCTTTTAAATTCCTTTTTTTTCGTTGACTTGTCACTTGTAATAATCGAGTTTATTTTTTATATTAATAAATGTATATTGTAATTCATGTACCATCTGTAGTTTACGTGAGTAGTACACATTGACATAAAATACTTTAACGGTTTAAAACGCGATATACTTTAGTTAAACTCGTTTGAAAATTATTTCTAACTACGGCCCGACGTTTCGGATGCTTTGCAGCCGCCGTCACCGGGAGACTGTCTTCAAACAAGTTTTACTAAAATATACGCGCTTTAAACCGTTAGTGTTTTATTAAATTTATATAATTAACCATAAAATCCATTCAGTTTGATTAAAAGCGTGTGTGTCATTTTCTTTCAGGCATGGCATAACATTATTTTTGTATTTATTTACCCTTCTTGAAAATTAAGTTCGGTCAGCGTACCTTAATAATATATTCAAGACTTACAAAACTTAAAGTTACAGCACTATAACGACACACAAAAAACAAACACGAATCAATCAATTTCATTTACACGTAGTTGAGTGTTTTGTTTGTGTCCTTATAAATCAGAACGCCTGATGTAACACTAGGCATTTAATGCTTTGAAAAGGACGTTAATGTTATAACTATAGACGGTAGTCGTTAAAGCCCACCAACCCGCTAAATCAGCGTGGTGGGTAAAATCTGTGCCCAACACCGTAGTAAAGGAACTTGAATATCAAACATAGATCGGTAGACCATGGACGGCTTTTCTTTAATTGTAATATTTTTTTAAATAAATGTTGCCAGTTATAAAAGAGGGGCAGATAGTGGCCTATGATTCTACGTCCTTGTCTTTAAAACGTGTAGTAGGCAATCTAGAGGTTATTGGATAAATACTGTAATTATGGGATTAATCTTATCGTTATATTGCAAGAAAGAGTTGGGACAAAATTAATATTCGGTAAACCGCATTCGGTTCAGGTCGCGCCCACGAATGAAAAAGCTGTGATTTCCGAATATCCAAAGCCAAAATAGGACCGCTTATCTTGTTTGGATGTTATATGGCTCGGATTTTTTATTGTATCATAAAAATGCCTGCTTTTTCTTTACGTTACAAACGAACAAGCAGAAAAATCCGGCAATATACGACGTTTAGCCGAACTTTCATTGGAGCCCAAATTCGGTTTCGGTTAACATTCGTTCATCACTAAAAATACTATAATTGTGTGGATTAATTCAGCCACCGATGATTTGTCGAGGCTATTTCATAATGGAAGCGAAAGAAAGTCCGCGGGCTATCTCAATTAATTTCAAACAATTATCGTTTAATAGGAAATGCAGGAAAATGACGAGAAAGGTGTGGAAAAAATGCTTCGGTCCTTCTCTTAATCATTACAAGATCTATAATTATGTTGTCACTTTTATGTCAAGGCATCCATCAAGATCATAAGTTGATAATGATCTTTAATTAAACTTTGACGCCGGTTTTGTCTAGATTTAGATAAAAACAGAGATTGGTCAAGCGCATAATATATTCTTAAGAAGTTTTAAAAAACATTTAACGGTTTAAAACGCGACATGTTTTTAAAAATGTAATATTTTGCACATGATGGCACTATATAAATAGAAAATCGATTATAAATTGAAAAAAATTACGACTCGGGCAGATCTCGAACGGCTTTCATAGCGTTCCGTGCCGGCGCTGTTATTTACGTTACATTTGTTGTCGTGAATACGTCCCACACCCTCAGAAGTCAGAGACAATAGGTAGGTTCGAATCCTAGAGAAACAATTAATTCGAGTCGGGCAGGGCGTAGAAATCCGATCAATGAATAAAAATAAAGTCGTTTAGCAAAACGAATAAACAAACGAACTGTCCCATAGATTGAGAGGGGTTTTTGATAATTGTTGGTGGCTCTGGTTATATATCGACAGTTCATAAACACTATAACGGTTTAAAACGCGATATATTAGTTAAACTTATTGAAAAGGTATTTTGACTTCGGCCCGTGTTTAGGATGCTTTGCAGCAGCCGTGCACGGGTCGGGCCAAAGTTAAAAATCATTTTCAAATAATTTTAACTAATACATCGCGTTTTAAACCGTTAAAGTGTTTTATTTAAATGTGTACTACTCGCGTAAACTATAGACAATATTTCATAAACACTAGATAGATCTTAATCTAAAATCCTAATAGGTCGATAGCGCATCATGTTTAGTGTTATATCTGACCTTGTCTAGCTGTGTCAGCGACTTCGTCCGCGTAGAATAGTAAGTCAGTCAGTTCCATTGTTTTTGCAAGTTAATCTTAAAAGGTAGAGTATAGCGTTGGGTACTTTTAAAATTATAAATGCGTAAGTAACTCTGTCTGTCTGTATGTTACTCTTTCACGCCAAAACTACTGAACGGATTCGAATGAAATTTGGTACACAGATGGTCTAGACCCTGAGAAAGAACATAGGCTTTTTATTGCGAAAAGGGGGTTGTAAGGGGTTAAAAGGGGGGGTGAAAGTTTGTATGGAAATTCGTTGTTTTTGAAGCTAGAACAATAAAACTTTCTTCTTTGGCTTTTTGGGAATGGGAGTGGGGAGGGTTGAGATTAGAGTAGTAGTGCTGTGAGGTGAGAGTGTTGCGGCAAAGTAGCACTTACAACATAGATTGGCTGCGATAAATGCACAATTACATAAATTAATAAACAGCCTAAATAATTAAAAATTCTATCCCAAGTCACTAATGCGAACGTAACGCTGTCTGTTCGGCTTTAACTCCGATACTAATGAACTTATTTAAGTAATTTGGTAGGTACATAGATACCTAATTTGAAGCCTGAGAAAGGACAAAGGCTACTTTTTAATGCCAAGAAAAGGAATTTGTATGGAAATTCGTGGTTTTTGAAGCTAGAACCTTGAAACTTTCTTCTTTGGCTTTTTGGAAATAGGCGTGGGAGTGGGAGTGGGAGTGATGTGAGGTGACAGTGTCGCGGCAAAGTAGCACTAACAACTTAGATTGGCTGCCTTAAATGCGCTCTTACATAAATTAATAAACAATCTTAATAATTAAAAGTTCTATCCCAATGAACTATTCCACGTGGACGTTGTCTCGGGCACAGCTAGTAATGAATAATTTTCCCAACTTTAGTCACATTTCTCGCTGTATCTTCGCTCCTATTAGTTACTATTAGAACAGGACGATATTCGAACTCGTAGTTCCTGAGATTAGCGCTTTCAAACGAATAAACATACTCTTCAGCTTTATATATTAGTATAGATAGATAAATAGATTTATCCAAGCCGAAATAGGTCGACAGCGTACCTTGCTTTGATGCAGGTTGATGCGCTGTCGGCCTATTTCGGCGAAGTGAACCCCATGCTCATTTGTCATCGTCGTCATCCCCAATATTGTTATACAATAATAACACGTTTTTGTTAAGTTGTTTTTCAACGTCTGGAACGACGGAAGCAGACAAGAAAACTTATTACCTCTTCAAGCATAACGAAGGTAATTAGCACCGATCTATCATAATTTGGTTTAATTAGTCTGACCTTCGTGTTATGACAAGGTTAGTGTCGAACCCAGGACTTTATGCTCCATTGAATAGACATAACCCATAGATATTTATAAAACAACAATATTAATTACATTTCGGAGTTAGAAGAACCGTTCTAAATAAAACCCGTTAATAAAACGTCCGGTCATTGTATATATATCGCGTTTTAAACAGTTAAAAGCGTTTTCTTAACAAGTGTGTACGTAAGGAAATCAAAAACAATTGATTTAAAACTTACGTTACTTACTTACTTACTAATTTTTCACACGTTACGGAATTATGTAAAATAATAGTAATTATGATATAGATGCGGTAAGTTGAAAATTACAGCCGTTACGATATCACTAGCCCAAGCCATCGGCGAGGAAAAAAGCAGACGCTGTAATTTTCAAAGCGCAGTATGTATACGACGTTTTATAACTTATTTACGAGGAAATTAATAAAAACAATAATACAGCGAAAAGAGAAAGCGCGCGGAATTATTTTTACTTGTCCACAAATAAGCGATGCGCGCGCATCAACGTCTTTTTTTAGGCAAAGATACAAAAACAGCCAGTATTACTAATAAAGTAAATTAATATTTTTGTGTTTTTGTTATAGATAAATGGTTGTAATTTATTGTCAAAATTAATTAAATTAAAGAATTAAATGTTTATTTAATGTTTAAAGATATACAAATATTTAAAGTTAATTATCATAAAATATTTACCACTTTCTTGACATAAAACCTCTTTGCTAAGATTTTTAAAAGTATCTTAAAACTTTATTAAAAAAAAAACACGTGCCTTTTACATTACATTATCGCAAAAGTACGTAATGAGATACATTACGATATTGAAATTGGTGTAATTACAACCACTTTACGAGCAAATATGTTATAAAGATATATTTATACACTCGATGCCGGTTCAATTCCCGCCTGTGTCGTAATTTTTTTCAATCTAATTAGATTTTTAATTTAAGTAATGTTAATACTTTGATATAATGTTTTACTGTTTTGTAAATCTATTTTCTGCCATTTTATTGAAAGTACGACATTTCACACAAATACACTATTTATCCAATCATAAAAAATAATGAGGTCTATGTGGAACAAGGCTGTCAAATTAGATTTTAGTATACGCTAGAAAATCAGATGCAACAAGAATTAATTTTTGTGTGATAGTCTCGTAACTAAACAATTATTTATTTTGTTTTTACAGGTTTCGAATTCGAACCAAGGTACCATCCGCTCGAACCAATTTTATGCAATTTATTTGACAGGATCTGAAAAGCTTATACTTGTCAATGTAATTAAAATACGTAAGTAAATAGTTAATACTTTGGTTTAATTTTTAACTTATTTTTTTACTATACTCACCGCTGTGTTATACATAAGCAGTGATTAAAATACATGTATTTTATATAATATGTATTTAGTTGATGACTCTATGCATTGGAACTGTTCAATGGCTGACATTTTAGTATGTTAGGAGAGGTGAATCAGATATGCTGTCGACCTATTTCGAATATTCTGCAATCCACAGACTGAAATCGAAACCTTAATACATACACTCATCTGGAATGGTAATTCATAACCATGAGATCCCTTTATATAAGTTAGTTTTTTTGTTTATCTATACTCATATATAAAGCTGAAAAGTTGTTTGTTTGTTTGAACGCGCTAATCTCAGGAACTACGACCGCGAATTGAAAAATTCTTTTCTTGGTGTTGGTTAAAACATCCCTCGAGGAAGGCTTATAGGCTATAAAACATCGTCCTCCACAGCGGGAAATGTGAAAAAAAAATATGAAAAATTATTCATCATCGTGGGTTTCCGATGCGTACGCTGCAAATTCTGTTCAAGGTACCCAACGAAAGAATGATTCCTCTAAATCTAGATTTAAAATCTAAGAATTTATTCCTCTAGATCTAAAAGATAGACGTACGTCTATCTTTTAAAATTGCCTTGCATAAATTTAGGGAAGGGACGCGACCGACGCGGACCTAGTGGGTAACAGCTTGAAAGGGCTTTGCAAAAACGAATTTGGATGCCCAAAATAACGATTCTCGCGGACGAAGTCTAAATAAGATAGTTTATTTATTTTTCGTGAAATGTCTTTTGTTTTAAATGATCTCATTATTCGAGAGAACGACGGAGAAATCATACAATACTTGTTGAATGTTTACGCATAAGATTAGGTTACGCTATTACATGACTCTTGTTAAAGAACTAAGGGCGTGGTTACAAGCCTCATTTAATACTTCATTATGATAAACTGACTATCAGCGCTGCGAAAATAAAGAAAACGATGATTCTACCTTATGGTTCTTATGGCTTAAATCTTATCTTTTAGCATGAAGTATAGATTTAAACTATTTTTATTTAATTATTGTACACTTACGTTAAATATACAGATAGATATAGTGATCTTGCTATTCTTTCTTGACAAGACGTGGGCCGTAAAATAAAATAATAAATTTAAAAATCGTTAGTGTGAACGCAGCGTAAACAATAACACACTCGTTCGTAACTTAGAGAATTTTTCTCACAGGCGTAAACGTAATAGTGTTTCAGATATAGCTGGACAATGTTCAGTGTTATATTATTAATTATTTATTTCAATCAAGTTTATTCTTTGAAAAGTAAGATTGAGTGTGGTTATAAGGTTTGTTATCGAAATTATATAAACTACTGTTTAACATTTAAATAAAACACTTTAACGGTTTAAAACGCGATATATTAGTTAAACTATTTGAAAATGATTTTTAACTCCGGCCCTTAAAATAGTTTAACTCATATATCGCGTTTTAAACCGTTAAAGTGTTTTATTTAAATGTGTACTACTCGCGTAAACTATAGACAGTATGCTGTCTAACATTTTTGTTTTCGTTGTGATTTAATCGAAAATTATATATTTTATAGTCAGCGACTTCGTCCGCGTAGAATAGTCATTTCGTACATCCATTTTATAAAGTTTTACTTTGACATCTATTTTTATACGATTTTAGTGTCACTAAACTATTACAGTGATACTATTAGATATGATATTAAAATTTAAATCGACTTTTATGTGTTACGAATCGTTTGTGTGCGAGAAAAGTGTTGTTTTTAGCCATTTAAAGTATTATTATTTATATATCGCGTTTTAAACCGTTAAAGTGTTTTATTTAAACATTTAAAGTATCTTTATAAGAAAATAATTCGCGACATGTTCAGTTGTTCGTGATTTACGCTTAGCAACACGTTCAGCGTTGCATTAGTATAATATTTTCCTTAAGGTTAAGTAAATTAAAGACAAAATTCTTAATGTATGGTGCATTAATAAATTACTACAATATTTTCAGCAATGTCCACAAACGCGAGATGGCGCCCTAAATGTCCACATTATAGCCCACTCACACATGGACGCTGGTTGGGTCAAAACCTTCGATGAATATTACTATGGGAGTAAGTCTATAATAGAAATTAACTTCAGAAATTGCAAAGGTACATGGGAACTAATAAAAAACAAACATTATGACACGGGCGGGGCTCAAAGCCTCAACTACGACAGCGTATTTTAGTAAATTGTCTATATTGTAAATGTTAACAAGAAGTTAACAATTGTTTGGCCCGCTAAAGCACTAGACTATGCCCCGTGACACAATGGCAACGTTATATGTTGCTCAGAGTTTTACAGAAAACGATGTTGCATTAAAATCACTTTTAACAGTTCAAAACACGAAATTTATTTGATAACTTATATTCAATGGATAAAAAAATAAGTCAACTGATATATTTCACGATTCAAACCGTTGAAAGTGTTTTATGATATGTGTACGACTTGTTACCTGAAAATTAAACGTTTAATTATCACTGTAATTTGATAATCTATTTCAGCTAAAACAAGCGTCAGCACAGCTAATGTTCAAATGATTTTCCATTCCGTTCTCTCGGAGTTATTGCATGACAAAAGACGGAAGTAAGTAAGAAAGAAAAATATATTTTTAAATAAAAAATTCTTTAGATAGAATGTACTATAGCTTGCCTCTGAAGCATGGTAAGTAAAAGAAAAGGGGGTTTTTTAGTGGCGGTATTAGTTATATATTAATATTATTAAAAAATATATTATTATAAGTTCCACGATCCACCGAAACACACTCGCGTTATGGGTCTATAATCTTTCTCTAAAACAATAGGACATGGCCATTTTTGTCTTGATTTGGCTATAGAATATTTATGAGGAATAATAAAAATATTTTTTAAAACAAATACCTACAAAAAACACTTTAACGGTTTAAAACGGTAAAAACTCTCATTGTCACAATCTTCACGTGACCGACGCTGCAACAAAGTATCCGAAAGGTCGAGCCGCAGTTAAAATAATGTTGAAATAAGTTTAACTAATATATATTGCGTTTTAAACCGTTAAAATGTTTGGTTTAAATGTGTACTACTCGCGTAAACTACGGGCGATATTTAACATATAGATACTTCCTTTGCGTAACAATTAAAAAATATTACTTTACATATCTTTTATCGTACTTTCAGATTCACTTTCTCAGAAACGGCATATTTCTGGCGCTGGTGGAAGGAACAGCGTGGGGCGACACGTGCCACCTTCAGGACCCTGGTGGCGGAAGGTCGGATACAGTTTGCTGGAGGCGGTTGGGTGCAAGCCGATGAAGCTACCACCCACTATTTGCATCTGATTGATCAATATACTTGGGGACTCAGGTACCTCAATTCCAATAAAACTTCGCTTCATTTTGACAAACGTGTGTTTATCACAATCAAAGTTCTGACCGGGTAAGGAACAACGAACAACAGGTAAAAAAAACCGGGAGTCCGAAGTCAAAAAACTTGGTCAAAAACAACTATGTGTGGGGGGGAGATCCCGGGGGAAATTTTACCTACGTATCTTGAAATGATTCACAACTTACTCCTAGTAAAACGCAGAACCAATAGGTATTGTTATCAATCACAACTGCAAAAATAAAAAAATAGGTCGACACTGCATCGTAGATTAGTAATGGAAATTTTTTTATTTCACCTTTCGTGAACCCGATACTTGTCTCTTCCACTGTACCAGATAATTTAAACAAAGCTTATATCATTACAGAAAGATTAACGATACTTTAGGGCCGTGTGGAAAGCCCAGAGCCGCTTGGCAGATTGACACCTACGGCCATTCAAGGGAACATACCTCACTCCTAGCTCAAATGGGGTTTGATGGCCTCTTTATAGGTAAGTAACAAATACACTACTGCAGCGCCCGGCAAGAGAGGCATGGATGGACGAACGTGTGAAGTAAGTCCATCAATGCCTTGCGGCCTAGGCTCGTGTGGTACTCTTCTCGAATAATGCGCGGCAGTTAAAACTAAGTAGTACAATTTAGAATTTTAAAATGAACAAGTTGACGAACTAATAACAATAGTTTTTAACGCGCCAACGATTTTTTTCATTAAACAGTTTTCTACTTGCCAGTTCGAAAATTAAATAAAACCTTTTCTTTGGTCGCCATGTTGCGAGGAAGATGATCGTTTATTTTTTAAGTTGCACGACAAATATAAAATTACACAGTAATTTATTTGGCCGCTAAAAGACAGATATGGTTTTCGTATTGCCGGCCGATCTTGAGGGTTAGGTTAAAATAATGCTCAAATTTCCAAGAATGCTTGTGAAATGATTTTTTACGTAGATAAAATGCAATGCAAATATTTATAGTTCAAATATCTTTTTATAAACGTATATAACTCGCGGCAACGGCATTTTTTTAAATAATGTTACGGTATCTAGCAATAAACTATTTGATATTTCGAAATTCTCGAAAGCTTGCACGAGTAGCCTAGGCTAACCAGGGGGAGGGGGGGTACAGATATCTTCAACTACTAATTATAGATACAGTCAATCACTGAAACAAACCACAACAAAAAAGAAACAGACAAAAATGGGCTTACACAACGGCAAATGGTAAAACACAATGACACATGAGAACATAAATTTTGTAAATAGAAACGTTTCAGAAAAAATTACATTGTTTATTACAATAAATAAGGCTTTCACTTAAAAACGAGAAAGGTTCGAAGATTAAACTTTCAGTTTACTATACATACTTAAACTTTACTATTCAACCTGTATATATACGTACATAATATATTGTGTTTTATATTTAAGTCCTATTCTTATGCACATGTTATAGGAAGAGTTGATCACAAGCAAAGAGAATCAATGATAGAAGAAGATAGAATGGAATTTATGTGGAGGGGGAGTGACATTCTGGGTAAGTCGTTGTTTCATGTTACGTAGAATTATTATTGTGATTAAAAATTTATTTAGATTGACAAAATCAATGACAGATGTGTGACCTATGTATTATGTACTGTTTATCAAATGGGTGGTAGGAATATCGGAACTGCATCCAGATTTCCACCGTTTACCGGAAAAGATGATCAGTGTATTTTCTAATATTCATGGGTCGACAAGCCATCTTGTTTATATGTTGGATGACTATGCTATTTCACCTTCCATCAAGTCAACCCCTCTTCTCTCCTCCTCCGATATTGAAAGCATATTGTTGGTCTTGATTTGTAAAAAATTCTCTCTTTTACTCTTTTCAGGTAAAATGTCAGACATCATGACTCACACGTTGTACAATGTTTACAACGCCCCAGACGGGTTCTGCTTCGACTTCCTCTGCAACGATGAGCCAATTGTCGACGATCCTGATAGCAAAGTCTTCAACGCCGATAAGAGAGTAAGTTATAGTACTTGCACATGGCACAAATCCCATAACAGCTCAATTATCACTTACTTGTCCCTGACAAGAGAAGCCAGCTAGTGAAAGTGCTGGACCTTCTTAAGCAGGGCTCTGGAGGCAGAAAGATATTTAAAACTACTTCACTTCTTTTTTTATATACATATATACCAATTTCAAACCTAAGATGTTACTCTGTAACATGTCGAGAGGAGAAGTGAGATAATTTTGATCATAGGAAACAATACCTTGAGGGCCGCTTTTACAGCAGCCGTGGTTTCTCGGTGACCATTCGTGGTTATTAAATTATTAAAACGCGATATGTATTAGACAAATCGCGTTTTAAACCGTTAAATTGTAGTATTTAAATGTATACCTCTGGCGTAAACTACAGATATTATTTATTCTATATCTACAAACGGGAAGCGGTGGCAGCAACATAATTTTGTGGTGCGTACGCGCAGATGTAAATTATTTTAAGAACCCTATGACTGATATTTCTCTATGGTTCAGTCACTATTGTACTTTCAGGTGAACGATTTTATTAGGCAAATCGAGCGTCAAGCGAAGTATTATGACCACGATAACTTGGTGGTGATGATGGGAGGAGATTTCACTTACCAGAGCGCTGCCAACTGGTTTATGAACATAGACAAACTTATCAAGTAAAGTACCTCAATATTTAAATAAAACACACTTAACGGCAAATAATATAACGGTGTAATAAATAGAAGTGGCGGCGAGTTTCTTGCCAGTTCTCGTTTATTCTACGCCCTTGATTTGAGAACTGATAGTAAATTTAGTCTTTAGTTTTTAACTGTGTACCTAGTTACCAACGTGTACATAGTTTTGATTTTGACTTTTAATAGATGAAGTCACTCGCGTTTTAAACCGTTAATAATGTTTTGATTTGTTTTTGTAAGCTAGATAAAAGTTACCAAGCATATTTATTGTATTAACGGTACAAGGGTTTTACTCCCATAGAAAACCTTTTAAGTTTACATAAAACCAATGTAAAATTCCGAATTACAAATTAGTAGCTAATAAGATGAGTTAGAATATATTAAATATAGGTTTTAGGAACAGTAAAAATATTCAAAATTTCACTATGAGAGACCTTTCTCGTTTTTATTATATATTATTATTTCATAAAATACTGTCAGTAGCTGTTTATTGTTAGTATATAAAATAACATTTAAATTCAACATTTAAACAGTATAAAACGCGAAATATAGTCTACGAGAAGGCTGCTGCAAAGCATCCGAAACTTTGGGCCGTAGTTAAAATTTGTCAACAGGATTTACTAATATATTTACCGTTAAATTGTTTTATATAAATGTTATTTCATACCCAAGTGGTGTGTAAAGAAGCTAAAATGTTTGTTTTAGCCATATAAACTCTCACCCAGCGAATGTGTCCGATATTAACATTTTCTACTCAACTCCGTCTTGTTATTTGAAATCGATTTATTTATATGGCAAGAGAGATAAGGCTGTTTACACGGAAAAGGTAAGTTTTTATTCTTCTGTAATTACAAAGCGCTATTTTTGTATGTAACTTATCGATTCAGCCATTCGGTGTCCACTGCTAGACATAGGCCTCCCCCATAGACTTCCAGTCTATATATATATATATATATATATATATATATTTATATATATAGACATGTAACTTATGACAATATAAAAACATTTTTAAAATAATATAAACTCATGTCGTCCATATTCTAGTATTTTAATGGACAGACAAGCATGAGACTCGCTAGCCAGTACCTATACTACCGCAACCATATAACATCTGAACCAGATGCGGCGCCGACCTTTTTTTGGCATTGGTTATTCGGAAATCCACAGACTGAAACAGAAACATAGTTAAACTTGACTGCTTTTTCATCTGTGGACGATGGTTTGTGACCCGGACGGAATTTCGGTGTTTCTATCGTTCGATCCCCTCCGAGTCCAAGCGGATTCTAGTCAAGTTATATTTTTCCTGAAACATGTTAGACTTTGTCTAGATAGATTTGATCTAGATAGATGAAAAGCCGTGAAGTTTAATTGCGTTTCTCAACTCCATCAAGTTAATTTTGCTTGTAACTAGCCTGCACAATCAGTACAAACAGACACAAAAATGTGTCCTCCCTATGCGATATTGATTTATGAGCTTTTCAGGTAGATCACCTGCCTTACGGTAGTGATCCAAATACGTACTGGACGGGATTCTTCACCTCAAGACCCAGCCTAAAATATTTGGCAATAAGAGCACATGTATTTTTGCAGGTAAATATTGTGGGTAGTTTACGCGGGCAGTAGACATAAAAAACTCCCTTTTAACGACTTAAAACGCGATATATATATCAGTTAATTTATATAGATAAAATACATTATAATTGAGGTAACATAAATGGCGTTACAAGCTGTTGAAAGAGTTTTCTTTAAAGGTAGATATTATTCAAATATTATTAAGTATGATCTTGTCTCTCTCACCACATCAAACGAATTTAAAAACATATACATGAAACATACTTCTTCATACACATTTATAAAATGTTTCAAATTCACTATCGATAGCCCAAAGTCGCTTTTAGGTCGAGTTTTAGTTTATTACCCCTGGTGAAAACAAAATCTTTATTGGTCTTGTTATCTGGCATTCGATAAAAAAAATTAATGCCCAATTCAATTACCGGAGCATTATAATTTTTTGGTGACATGTTTACTAATAAATGTAACTTATAGTACTTTCGGGGATGAAAAGCTCTTGTCTATCTACGTACAGATTATGCAGATAGACAAGAGCTTTTTTTACCTTCTTTCTATTCTGCTCTTTCAATTCACCCATTTATTCTTTTAGATATGCCTTCTGTTTTTCTACATTATGGTATACATTTGTTCTCCATAGTGATTTTATTGATGTTTTTTACATTTTTGAAGATAGTAAAACAACTGACAGTTCTGTCGAGAATGAGTGATTTCTACGAACTTCATCTCTTGAGGCATGCTGTTAGCCTAGTCCTGCACCACGACGCTATTACAGGTAACTCATTTGTGATAAAAAAACTTACATAAGACTACTCACTTCGCTGGCGCTGCCACCCATGGTGGGTCTTGGCCTCCAGAACAAGAGAACGTCACTTTCGTCCAAATTGAAAATCCATCTCCACCGGGATCACCAAATTCGGTATCTGGGCCGGCCAACGAGTCGGCAGCCATTTTGGATTCCAAGATATGACTTCTTCTTTATACCTGCCGTGGGAAGCGTTCCCCGGCAGGCAGAGGGTGGAACGGTCGGTAACAGCCGAGCTATGCTAACAAGTTAAGCCCGAGGTGCTTGTTGACCAACGGTAGGGTGTGGTCTTCCAGCAAAATGAGGGTTGGGTAGAAGGTCAGCCCGCCCGCGGAAAAACTCAATGTGACGAGGACAAACAAGAGAACTATGCGAGCCGATCCAAAAATAATAAAATTACTTTAATATCTAGTGTCTTTTATTGGTAACTAAATAGTAATGAATAATTAATTTTTCAAATAGTATTAATTGTTAATAGGTACAAGTCAACAGCACGTTGCGAATGAATTCACGAGCCTACTATCAGAAGCCATCGATTTATGTACTAAGAAGGTTTCACAGTTTTTAAGGTAAATTAATGATTTCTTTTGATTAGGAGAGCTTTTTGGATTATGTGTATTATAGTTGCATTTTTTCAGTATTCTAACCCCGGCATGGGGTGGAAACAGACGAACAAAAACAAACCAACAATTTATCGTTTGCCACCAACTGAACATTAGTCAGTGTCGGGTAAGTTGTTGATCTAATTAAATTTAAACTTAAAATTAAATCTTCTTGAAGCAAGCTAAATGAAATACCATTTAAATATTATGGTTTGGCAAAAAAAGCTATAATTTTTTTTTTGATAAAAATGTTAAATATACTGTATACGATATATTCATGCATTACATCAAGATGGCAGCTGTTTTGATTTCTTTGAAGCTTTGCGTCAAATTTTTCAAGTAACTTGTTTTACCTAAGATAAACCTTTTGCAGTTCACGGAAACACAAGATTCTATGCTTCTACTGGTATACAATCAGTTAAGCGTCAAAACGTATTACCATGTCAGATTACCAGCGATCGCTTTGCATTACTCTATAAGGGATTTTAACGGTAACTGCATATTTAGTCTTCTTAATATTAACAAATAATTATAGACAGCTTTCTTAAAAAGGCCCCTCTCACAGACGAAGAAGTCGAGTACCAACTGGTACCCCTTCCAGCGTCCATCATAAATCTTCCCGGAAGAAAGTCCACTGCCATTCAAGAATTGTGCTTCGAGGCTGAGAATATCCCACCGCTGGGATTTACAGCGTATTACATTACTCCTATTAGGGACCAGTTGGTAAGCAAAAATTATTTTAAAAAGTACTTTGAAATAAGTTTAACGGGTTGAATAAACCTTTCATAGTATTTAATAGTCAGAGAGGTACCAGTAATCATATTTTTAATACAAAGGCCAATTGTACAACATATGGTCATATGGTATATTAACCATTATGGTTTTTGGTTTAATATGATGTCTGAAAATTTTGAGTTAGATATTAAATGAGTGATAAGATATCCCTAGTGAAAATGGAAAACTAAGTAAAACTTCGGTTTCCGTCAATGGATTTTAGATTACTCAAGATCTATAATGTATCTTATTTGATATAAAATAGCTAGGAAATCTTACCTTCGATCGAGGTGTTTCATGTTTTCGTTCGAAAAATTTTTCACTTTGCAGATTAAAAATACATTTCAGGCTGAAGGGGCGTTCATAAAAAAGAGTCAGTCAAATGATGCTGATGCAGAAGTAGCGCCTTTTATTTCTAACGAAGTAAGTTGTTATACTATAACCAGTATATTTATTGTTTGTTTAAAAGTTAGGGAAAAGTTTTATTAAGTAGCCATACCTACTTCTCAGAAACAGCTTCACCATTTTTTCCGATTTAGAGTCCAAAAGTGACAGCAGCTGCCAATATCTTTTAGTTTAAAAAGTACAACCCTACATTTTTAACCTTACTTAGGTTAGTCAAACCTCTATTTTTAATAGGCAGTTCTTGCTCGTTCTTTCGTTCGTTCGTTCTCAATTTCTTTCTCGTTCACAGCACTTGATGAACTTTTTACTCATATATTTATATACCACCTTCTTACACAATTACAGTAATTACTTCGTTTCCTAAAGTAGAAATATGCAGTTTATACAAACCAACGTTTTTCGTTCTGCTAATGCAATACTAAATACCAACGTATCATTCCAGTACTTAAAACTTACGGTGAATGAAAAGACGGGACTTTTGGAATCAATACAGCATCTAGATGGGTTGAAGATACAAATTTCACAGAACTTCTACTTCTACACTCAGGGTCAGCAAGGGTTGCAGTCTGGGGCCTATAGTTTTCGTCCTGACAAGGGTCCTATTCCGGTATTTGTACTTTACGCTTCACTTATTTTACGATCATTTACTTGTAACTACGATTTTAATATTATATTCGTTTTAGCAAGAAACGAGAATTCACTAATGAAATATTTTGTTCTTTTATTTTGACTTGTTCGTTTTATTCTTCGCATTCATATATCATATAAAGTTAATCTATGTATATAATTAGAAAGCAAACAAAATAATGGGCACATATTATATTTAATGATATAGATAAAATTTAGGACATTGGCCTATAATTTCATGAGGCGGATAAAGGTCGAATGTCTCAACAACAAGCTTTAAAATTTTAAAGTTTACTACTGTCTGGAGTTTACGCGCTTATAACGGTTTAAACGCGAAATAAATTTGTTGAATTATTGTTATTTTGATTAGAGATACCCTTTCTTCTTTAGCCCCCCCATAACCATGGCCGCTGCTAAGCATGAAAAAGTTAAAATCAATTGTGAATAACTTGACTAATATATTTCGCGTTTTAAGCCGTTAAAAGTATTTTATTTATATTTGTTTTAAAAGTTAAAGTATTATATTTTTAACTAGCTATTCTGTACTATTTAAAGGTTACGGATCAAGTAACGTACCACACCGTTCGCGGGTCTATAGTGAAGGAGATTCGACAAAGATTCTCTGATTGGATTACTCAGATCATTCGTCTGTACCGCGGCGAGGAGTTCGTGGAATTCGAATGGATTGTCGGCCCTGTTCCTATTGGGTTAGTTACACCTTCCAAATATCTCAAGAGTTCTGCGGAGCACGTGGTAATGGTAGCAATGTAAAGCTAATTATCGACCGTTCGTGGAAACTAGATATTAAATGGGTGATATGGATATCCCACCTGGGTCAAGAACCACCGTCCATAGATAAAAAACCGTGAAATTTAATGGCATTTCGGATTCAATCTATGGCTTTCCAAATATCCGAAGCCAGAATAGGTTGACATTGCATTTTGTTTAAATATTATATGGCTGAGGTAAATACTGTCTATAGTTTACGCGAGTAGTACACATTTACATAAAACACTCTAACGGTTTAAAACGCGATATATTAGTTAAACTTATTTGAAAATGATTTTTAACTTCGGCCCGTCGTGTCGACATCCTCTATTATAAAAAAAATAATTTCGGGGTAAAATGGTACGTTGAAATATATGTTCTATTAACTAAGTTACTATATCTGTTTTCCAGTTAATTTCTGAAATGATGAATATAATACGATTGTTAATATAATACTGAATTATAGAAAAGAATACATTTTTTGTTGTCTTAGGAAAGATGTGGGTAAGGAAGTAGTAAGTATATTTAAGAGCAACATAAGCAACAACGGGTTGTTCTATACTGATTCGAATGGACGCCAGATGATAAAGAGATCCTGCTGGAATGAAACAGCTAGTAAGTTCATTTTAATTTTTTTCTTAAGGTTTATCAATTAAAACTTATATATGCAATAAAAAATAATCATGTATGTTTAGTCCATACATTTAAGTAATTTTAACCAACCAATGCAGACGTGAGCATCCAATCTTAAGACATTAGGACGTGACAGAGACTTTTGCCCAGGGTGGACAATTTTGTAATAGAAACTGTGTTTTAGGCCATCCCCAAAAGAAACCAATCGCAGCATGCTTCTATCCTGTGACGTCACGCATATGCATAGATTCAATTAACAGCAGCGTGGAGCTTTGTGTGCTGACAGACAGGAGTCAGGGTGGCACTTCGTATAACGATGGAGAAGTTGAGCTAATGGTAAACCGCTCCATTAGAAGTATCGTAAATAATGATGAATGGAATATTTCTACTCTCTCTGACAAGCATAGGTTTGATGAAATATCGACGAAAAAGGTTAACATGATTAAAATTGTGTGATTCATATTATGTAGTTGGACTAGCCCAAAGCCACAATTATTTCACAAAAGCCTGTATAATTAGGTTTTTTTTTTGTTCGTTTTTTAGTCTTAACTTGACCATTTTCATACCCCTCCTACCGACTTGTAATTCTGGTTGATTTGGTTTTTTTTTAATGCTTTTTTTCTATTAAAGGTTATGTTGTGTTCGTGCAGACACGAAAATTATCTATTTCTAAAAGCAAAGTAAGCTACGTTTTCTTTAGGTGCATCGTCGCCTTCTAACAGACGATGGTTTTGGTCTTGAAGAAACGTTGAATGAAGAAGCGTTTGGAGTAGGTCTCGTTGTTAAGGGGAGGCATAGGATCTATTTTGGTAATTCACAAGATGGTGAGTTAAAATCCTACTATAAGTGTAAGGCATATTTAAACGAAGATGGCGCTGTTATCAAGTAATTTGACCACAACATGGTACCTCAATAATTAAACGCGTTGCTTAGAATTATGGTAAGCGCCAAGATCCTAGTTTTGAATCTCGGGGAAAAAATAAGTCTGATCAACTACCCACTAGTGTGTAATAACGAGCTTTTAGAAGTCGAAGTGTGTAATGTAATCTTGTTTTAGTTGACGATTTGTCGTTCTCTGAACGCGCTTCCCAACTGGCTCGACGGTGGATGTACGAGCCATGGGTCTTTATGGCGCCAGGTGAAAAAATCAACAGGAGAAAATGGCAGAATGTTAGGAACAAACGGGTAAATTATAAGTTAGGGATAGGATATAAATGTATACATTGACTTCTTACTATCGCATTCTCCATGACAAATCACCAAAAGTCATATTTAAACCTGAGCTTTCTGTTATCTGGAGTAAGTATTTATTAGATGTACAGATTGATAGGAAATCGCTGTTCCGCCCGTGGGGCACGTGGCGAACACATTCTGTGTCTGTAAGTAGTCGATCATACTTTTGTTCCCTGCCCGACCAATTTATTGTTTCCATGGGATTCGAATCCAGTGCCTTTATAGCTGCAGGGGCGGTTATCCATCTAAGAATTCTTATAGAAGATTATAATTCGTTTACTATGTTAATAATAATAATAATAAACTCTTTATTGCACAAACATAGACATAAGAACATGGATACATAGAATTACATATACAAAATAAAACATGTTTGTGCAAAGGCGGCCTTATCGCCTATGGCGATTTCTTCCAGGCAACCTTTGCATGTAGAAATAAGAAATAAAAAAGATAATTTTGGAAAACAATCAAAAGTCAACATAAAAAATTAAATTATACAATAAAAAGATAATATAAACTGGAAATTAACACCAAATTACTAAAGCTAAACATACTTAATAGATAAAATTACACACTTAAAACCTAGAGAAGCATATGAAGATCCTAAATATGATTAATTCTAAAGCCAATGAGGCCAAGGCTAAACAGCATTACCAAGAAAGTATTGCTTGACCCTGACCTTAAATATAGTGTGACTCTGTGACAGTCTGACTGTAAGTGGTAGCTCATTCCATAGGCGGACAGCCTGTACCGAAAAAGAAGAGTCATAAAACTTTGACGAGTGGATCGGCATGGAGAGAAGGCGGTTGTTAGTAGAGCGAAGGTCCAGTTCATGGGAGGAACCCATAAATATAAATCTCTGCTTTAGGTAGGAAGGAGTGCGCGGATCAAAAAGGATAGAGAAAAGAAGACAAAGGATGTGAGTATTGCGACGAAGTCTTATGGGGAGCCATTTAAGTTTTGAGCGGAACTCTGAGACATGGTCGTACTTCCTGAGACCGTAGATAAAACGAATAGCAAAGTTTTGGAGTCTCTCTAATTTATTAAGCTGCTCTTCTGTTACGTCTAGGTAGCAGACGTCGGCATAATCAAGAACAGAGAGCAACAGCGATTCGGCAAGTAGTGTCTTGGTGGGGATCGGCAGGAAATTTTGTAAACGTCGAAGCATGCCCGCAACTCCATACACCTTTCTGCTGACCTCCTGTATTTGTTTATTCCATGACATGGAACTATCGATATGAATCCCCAAACTCTTCACTGTTTTACAAAACGGAATTTGGGCACCGTTGATCAAAATAGAGGGAATGTTACTCCAATCTACTCTCGCCAACTGATATGAACTTCCAATAATTATTGCTTGGGTTTTGACGGGATTAATAAGGAGGCCGTGAGAATTTGACCAATCTACAACTACTTGAAGGTCGGCGTTTATGGAATTGATACCATCAACAAGGTTTTCAATTGTGGAATGAGTGTAGATTTGAAGATCGTCGGCATATAAATGATACCGACATGAAAATTTAGAGGAAATTGAATTTATAAAAATAGAAAAGAGAAGAGGAGATAGCACACCGCCTTGCGGCACGCCAGCAGTAACTGTAGACCAGGAAGATGAAGTATCACCTACTCGAATGCACTGCTGACGTTCCGTCAAGTAGTTTTTAAACCAAGTAATAGCTGTAGATGAGACGTTAAGAGAAAATAATAGAGCAAGTAACACATCAAAATCGACAGTATTGAATGCGTTGGAAAAGTCAACCAGAGTCAAAATTGTGAGCTCCCTGTCATCCATAGCCATTCTTATATCATCAGTTACTTTAAGCAGAGCTGTGGCTGTACTATGACCAGATCGAAAGCCGGATTGATATGGATTGAAAAGGGAGTTTTTGTTAAAAAAGAGACACAGCTGTTGATATATAAGTGTTACATTAATGTTCATCAAAAAGTTTTTTTATTACAACATTTCAAGAGAAAAATGTATGGTCTGCAATGACCACTATTCTTGGGCCCAATAAAAATTTTCATCTTTGTTATAATTTTCTCTATTAACATATGAAAATATGTCATGCTCAGTATTCATCACTTCGGCTTCACGGTCTTCCACGTCACATCCATATTGTCACATTAGAACCATGGAAAGCTGGATCGGTTTTGCTAAGGCTGGAAAATGCGTTGGAAAAAAATAAAGGTAGCGTCAAAAGTTTTTTTAATTCTTAATACTTACATGTACTATATACAATCTTAGTGGTAACAAAAACAAAAGTTGAGAGGATTACTGAAAATTTGTTGTATATTTCCCGTGGTCACGGGGAGACTTTAGTCTAAACTAAACTGTTGTTTAAATGGCACTAATCGTTTGTGGATGTAGATAATTTATTTAAAATTGAATTCATTAATTCCAGGCTTAAAACCAGATAAAGATGTACCAGACGACATAACAAATTCCCACATTTCTGTGGACCTGCAGAAGATATTCTTGCAGTTGAGAATTAAAATGGTTCGAGAGACGACGTTAGGAGCCAACCAGTGGTTGGATGAAGCTAGGCAAATGGATTGGAGCACTCGGTAAGATTTTTAATGGTGTTACTAAACTACTTCTATATATAGGCTATATTCTATATATATCGCACTCAGAGCTAGTTTTTAATGATAAAGGAGGACAAAGAGTTCGCTTGGTGGTAGGCGAAATACCCGTATAGCATCTAAACAACATCTGTCGACCTTTTTTAGCTTTAGATATTTAGAAAGAAGAGTCCAAAAAGGAATTTCGATATTCAGTATCCGCTACACATACCAATATCCAGATAAAATGAACCCAGGCAATGGATTCAGGAGCTTCATGAACTAAATCAATTTGCAATTCTTCAAATCAAATCAAATCTAAAATCATTTATTCATCTAGATACGTACACACATATGAACATGAATACAAATAAAAATTATAAGCTCTAAATTTACATTTTCTTCCAGTTCACAAATTAAGGATGTAGAACGAACGAGAGGAACTGTCAGAAAACTCACCCCCACTCATTTTATTGTGAAATTATTTGTTACCTCACGCACTTAATGTGTTCATATTCTTCCTTGTTAAAGAGCATTGCTCCAAACCGAAAGCATTTAATTATTTAAATATTCAATCACGTTAATAATAACCCATTCCAAATGTAAATTAAGTTTATAAGGTATTATAAATCAACAACAACAAATATAAATATCTGTAAAACAAATGCCTGATATTTAACAGATATGTTTACGCCGGCGGTGATGACGGAATTTTGCCAGAAGACAACCCCGATTATATCCATGATGATAAGCATAGAATGGAAAAGGATTATCGTAAGTAAGAGCTCTTAAGACTAAAAGAAATATAAATAGGAGGCATCTCAGTTACATTAAATAAAACGCATTTAACAGTGTAAAACGTAATGTGTTAGTTAATTACTAAACTTATTTACAAATTATTTAAATCTTATCCGATGTTTTGGAATGCTTTGCAGTAGCCGTAATCACGGTAAGACTAAAGATGGAGGTTGTCTCTAATGTTAAAACTGCTAACGGCTAAACCTCTAGCGCCATCTGTTCCATCGTAGTTGTTATTTGGCTAAACTGGCCGGGTCTATGCAGAACTGACCAACGGCGACCTCGCATTTACTTTTAACGTATAATATATTTCGCGTTCCAAACTGTTAAAGTGCTTTATAAATGTATACCACTCGCGTAAACTACAGACAATGTTTAACTCATTTACAGCTCAGTTCTCAGATGAGGAAACAAAAATTAAACCACTAAGTTATGAACACGAAAAGGGTCAATACAAGAAACTCAAATTTCACAATAACAATAGAAGAAAGCGTGAAACAGACAATATAAATATACCATCTGAAGATAACACAAATAAACCAAATGTGACAATAGCTAAACCGATTATAGTAAAGAATAACAAGAATGAAAGTAGATTTCAAGAATACACCATCACGACTAGAAGGCCGAAATTCAATTGGGACCGAAATAAGTTTAACGTAAGGGATTCACTAGAAGAAATTCTGACTAGAAGAAGTAAGAAGGGAACTGGAGATTTGAATGATGAAGATGCTGGTAATAGATTTAATCTATACGCCACAGCACTAACCTTTAGATTTTTTCTTTTTTTAAACAACTGCAATATTATCAGCCTATAAAAGGTACCCTTCAGACAGATATTCTGTAACTAATTTAAAACAAAGTCGCTTTTATCATCCCCACATTTGTCGTAATAGGTGAAATGGACCAGCTCGTGTTTTCTTTGGTATACGATTTAAACTAACCCGACCACTTAATTTAATCTGTATAGCGAGTGCTTTTGGTGAACGCACAACATAGATAGATCAGATTAATTTGTAAAATATATTTTCTTCTTACGTAATATTTTATTGTTAATATTAAACGATCAACATGGTAAAACTGTTTTTGAAACTATATCTTTCGTTAGTTTATTTTTTACTATGCAGAATAGAATTATGATAGTTGATATTAAATAATTATAGGAACTGCATACTTAAATTTGTATTTACATTCTATCTTAGATGTAGAAGGATACACGGATCAAGATGATGGAGTAACGCGTTCAATATACGAAATGTACTACAAATCGAAGCCCAAGTACAAGCGCTTTAAGCCGTATTTGAGAAATACAGAGAGGGTAGAATCGAAAAAAAGACCAGCCTATGATGATGTATTCATCAGCCCAGACGAATACTCAGAGAGAAAACGGCGGGATAGTAAGTCTCTATTGTGTTTAAATAAAACACTTTTCACGGTTTCCTACGCGAAATATATTAGTATAGCCCACTTCGGATGCTCTGCGGCAGCCGTCGTCACGGGGAACAAAACGTAACGAAACGTCAGGCTCTTAAATTAAAATTATTTAACTCGTACATTTCGCATTTTTAACCGTTAAAAATTAAAATGTATATAGATAAACCTTCATATTATTGTTATAATTATAAGCCAGTAGCATTCTTGAGGATTTATCCGAGGGAAATATATGTACGTTACATTCGTAAAGGTCATAGAAAGCTTTAATTATGTTTTTCGAAAGAACACACATAGCCAAAGCGTCACAATTTACGGCCGTCTATGGTTCGTATGACCCTTATGAAATCTCGATGTTTCTACCACCCTTTCATTGACAAAATGTCTAATTTTATTGGCGAATTGCTTAACCTGATCCGATCCTTTTTTGATCTTACATTGCTACTATAAAGCCAATGAGCCCAAGAAAGTGGACAATACATAGCTAAACGTACAAGTCTACTACAAAGATGTATGAAACAACTGTACTGTACAAAGTTAAAGCAATGAAGATTATATGTATACACTGTACACTGATGTACACTTTTGCAGATGTCGTATTCGATCCAAAATACAAGGTCTATCGTTACCCCAGCTCAGAAGAAACGATGGATACACCGAACAGGTATCCAAAGAGAAGACGGAACGCGAAAAATCCCGAATCATACAAACGGATGAGGAAACAGCAGCGAACCTTGAAATATTTGGAGAGCAAGAAGCGTATTTCAAATGGAGCTGAGATACCATTCTTTGTGACGGAGAAGACTGTTAAAGACTTGAGGTTTGAGGATAGCGAAGAGAGAACAAAACAGAATCGAGGGGATGATAATTATAGAGGTAATTAATTTCACTGTTACTCGAATTTATTTGCCTAAAAATGTAAAGTTATTCGATAGTCAATGAAACTTGTTTATACTCTTCAAGAGATATTAAGTACATAAATAAGGCTTTCAGCCATTTTGGAAAGCTGCTTTTTAGCCAGCGTAATTCAGAAATGCTTCGACTTTTCACCACCACGACAAATGGCATCACCAACGAATATAAACGAAAGTTCAGTTTGAATGCGAGTTTAATTACCCAAGGTTTATTTACATATTTTAGGTCCGTACAGAAGGGATTTCATCAGTTTGAGATCTGCCAAGTTCAAATTTCCCAGTGAAGAAGCTTATGAAGATATCTCGGGAGATAGAATGAAAAGGTATTCTGATGTTTGATAATTTTAACCTTTGCACATGATGGCAATATACGGTAGATCAATTGGTTGGAGCGTCAGTGCAAAACGCGATAGCGCAGGTTCCTGCCAGCATCGTAAATATTATTTAAAAAAAAAACGAAAATAAATTTAAAATATTTTCGACTCGGGCGGGACTTGAACCGGTGTCGTCAGCGTTCCGTGCTGTTGCTCTACCATTTGAGCTACCGAGTCCTACACCTCATCGTCGAATTTTTTTTTCAACTTATTGATACATGCACTTCAACCTTAATTATTTGTTCCATCTTTAATTTTTTAATATCATCTCCGATTTCCTAATCATACAGTGAGAAAAAGAGAAATTTAATTGTAATCGAGTATAACCTTATTATCCTAATTACTGTCAATTGTATTAAGACAAAGTCGGTAGTCTAAATGATAGTCAAAATCTCTTTTTCAGATCAACGGTTGACGAAGGTAGCTCGGAAGATAAAAGTGAGACAGACTTCGTTATTACTCTACGCCCTACTCAAATACGTACTTTTATAATTTGGTTTGAAGATAAAAAACCCTACGTCATATAGTCGAAATTGTTTCTGAAGCGATCACTTGCAAAACTGCTTTGTTATGTTACGCGTTACGACGCCAATCGAGCTTTCAATATTCACCTGCGTGTTAGAAGCCGTTCTTTCGTACATGCATTAGGAAGGTAGGTGTAAAATTTGCGTGCATTATAATTTTGTTCTATCTTCAATTTAACAAACAGTTATGTGATTCGTTCAAATAAATTTATTTCGCGTAATTCTAATTACTACTCAGTTCTGTGAAAACTTTATTTTTACAATTAATTATTATTAATGAACAATATTTTAAATAGATATTTTTAATTTATTTAGATCACGTTTTATTTAGATTCCCTTTTTACTTTAGTTTTATATAAGGCTTCATACACGAAGAGGAAATAATTTTCGTAGATCCGGTATGCAAAGAAAAAAGTATAAAAAGTAAACAATTTATTTAAGTACAGCCTACATAAATTCATAAAATAAGATTTCTTAGCATAACATATATTTTTTAGGCAAAATTAAGTACATTTCCTGAGTTGCCTTTGTAAAGCATGCACCATATGGAGGTAGTTTATTTCTTCAAATACGAACTATTAATATTTCTACGAATCCTTTTTGAGACGAAGATTGACGTAGCTCTGAAATATATAAAAAAAATGAGAAATATTGTACAAGAAAATTTCTTACATAAATGCTAGAAACGAATTATTATTTCAACTAGGCACGACGAATGCTAGATCTCATGATATAAACATACGAACCACTATCCCAACAAGACAGTTGCACTAAAGAAGTAATAACATCTCACCTCTTCCGCCATCTTGTACAGTATAGCAGCAGATTCGGATCCCGTCTGTGCAACTAGCGACTTGAAAATTCCCTTCACTTTACTGTCATTTGATCTGAAATCAAAATTCAATTCTTAAGTCTTGAATCGGGAAGTTGCAAGGCAGTTAGCCTAGTTCTTAAAAGTGATCGAGCTAAACACAAACTATTATTAACAGTTAACATATTTTAACATCTTTTTTTATTAATATACAACAATTTCATTCATTTAAATAAGACGGAATATAAGTACATAATTAACAAAATTATTATTTTTTATTTTACGAAGTGTTAAAAAAAAGTTTTATTTAACTAAGCATTAAATAACGACTGCGTAATAGTCAGAGAAGTATAAGGTAATTGTTAATGTCATCTTCAAATGACACACAATATAGGCGGGAATTTTCAATGACATTTAACGAAATGTATACATACAAATATAATGTTTATTATAGACAATTAGAAGCTACCTATAGTACGTACCTTTGAGAATGATCACCCAACATTTTCTTAATTTTGTTCATATGGTCAAAAGCATACCCCGTCCCATCGTTCTAAAAAAATCAAGTACAAAAATTTTACAAATATCACATTTAAGTTGTTTACATTAAAATACTACTTACACGAATATCTTCAGCTGAGGAGAATATTTCGTCTTGCAACAGTTCGTAAGGATGTCCAGATTCTACTACACGGCCTCTGTTAACACATAAAATATGTTTGTTATTGCTTTATCTTATGCATAAAAAAAACAAAATCCAATCAAGTGGATATCGCATTTAAATAAAACACTTTAACGGTTTAAAACGCGATATATTAGTTAAACTTATTTAGAAATGATGTGAACGTCTCCCCGTGACCACGGCTGCTGCAAAGCATCCGAAACGTCGGGCCGAAGTTAAAAATCATTTTTAAATAAGTTTAACTAATATATCGCGTTTTAAACCGTTAAAGTGTTTTATTTAAATGTGTACTACTCGCGTAAACTATAGACAGTATTTGGATATCGCATTGTCAAAAAAGTTGAAGGGGTTTTAAAGTATTTATTTATTAGGTTTTTACACAAAAGCAATTGTTAAAAGACATTTAAAAATATTAACAACAGATATCTACTCTTATAAGGCAGAATAATACATCTTCATACCACAACAAAAATATTCTCTAACTCTCTATACAATATACACAATAATAAATTAAATAGCCTCAAGAAACTGCATATGCCACAGCCGCGCTCTGTTCTCCAAAAGGAAAGAGGAAGAATAAGAAATAAGACAAACTTACTTATCCATTACAATGACTCTATCGTAGTCCATGACAGTGTTGAGTCTGTGGGCGATCGTCAGAACTGTTGATGTCGAGAATTTTGTGCGAATCGTGTTCTGGATCTGTTTATCTGTTCTGGGAATTCAAATGTTAGTTTTAGAAATTGTAAACGTATGGTAAATAAGGATCTTAGTTGAATAGATAGATATAATTAAAATAAAAAAGAAAGAAAGCGAGTCTAAGCAAATCTTAACACGTGTGTTACAATTTCACAGTTATTTTTTTTAAACCTCTTCTATGGTAAAGGTTACAATTAGAAAAAAAACCTATTTTGTCCAATTTCACCTGTTTGTCCAAAGTCCAATATGTTTGAAAAAGATTATAAATTGCTTAGAAATGTATATAACAGATCCGGTAGCGATCGAACCCACGGCCAATGACCGACAAGCCCGCCAAGTACCTACTTGAAAATGCATGCCAGGTATGGGGTATGCTATTAACGAAATTTTACATAAGAACACACAGATTTAGTAATGACATCAATCATGTAAATGCATACTCAGTATCAACGTTAGCTGTTGCCTCGTCCAACACAAGCACAGCTCGTCGCGCTAACGCTGCGCGAGCTAAACACAGTAGCTGTCTCTGTCCAGATGACAGATTGCCACCCCCATCTCCCACACGAGATGAGAGACCCCCAGCCAATCCTGTTACTAAGGATTCCAATTCAACCTGAAATTATTAAATAAATATATAATCGAGAACAACTAACTACTCGCTACTTACACAAACCTTTAAATCTCGCTAACTAAGTATGTTAGCTTAATAAAATTGTGTTTAGATAACAGAGCCGTTTGAGGTCCATATTACCGGACAGAATGTGGCTCCCCCAAAAACTTCCGTATGACCGGTTGGTCGCTATTTGAATCCAGTATTTTCCAGACTTGACTAAGTCGTCCACCTGATATCCTCAAGGTTTTCTACGTTCATCGTCTCCATTCCAAAACCTTTATTATTAAAAACATACACAAATAAATATACCTCTTTTAAAGCTGTATGAATTTGTGCGTCACTGTACTTCTGCTCCGGGTCCAAGTTATCACGTAGCGTGGCTGCAAATAAAGCTGGTCGCTGCGGTAAGGCGAAGAGCCTCGATCTCCAGGTGCGTAGACCGGCCACCTCAGCGGTGACTCCATCTACTGTTATCGAGCCTGTTATTTTGTTTAATCTGCGGTCAAAAATAAATGAACATGAAAAATTCTTCAATTCTGAAGGCAATGGACAAGATTTGAAAACGTTTGAAATTTTACACGTGGTGATGACAAAAGAAATTTACGTTGCGCAAGAGCACAGAACAGCACGGAACGGCAACATGTAGTGCCCATGTCGTATTTAAAAAAAAAATCTAAATTCGATTTTTAATTGAACATACGTACCAAAAACTGTTAAAACGTCAACAGCAGCAAATAAATACAAATATAAACATAAAACACTTTTAACAGTTTAAACCGCGAAAATTAAGCGTAAGTTATAAAAAGCTTGCGTTTAATAACTTACGACTCTACTTTTCGGAAGTTATCAAATTAACTTAAATATTTAGCGTGTTTTATTTAAATGTACTATTCGGGTAAGCTGCAGACATCTATCTATACTTATTAATATATAAAGCTGAAGAGTTTGTTTGAACGCGCTAATCTCAAGAACTACGGGTTCGAATTGAAAAATTATTTTTGTGTTGGTTAGAACATTTATCGAGGAATCGCTGAGGTCTTAGCCACGTCAACAACTAAATACAAAACAGATGCGAAACTCGCCAAAAACAACCATACCATTTCTTTATTACCTTGGAAGAGTCAACAAACCTAAATAACGCAGCGATCAAAGAACTCTTTCCGGCTCCAGTTCTGCCCACAACAGCAACTTTCTCCCCAGGTCTGATCTTAAAGGATACGCCGCGTATTGCAAGATTATCTCCCTTCTTCTCTTTTTGAGGGGGAGCCTCGTATTCTAGGAATACGTCTTTGAATACTATTTCTCCTAAAAAGATAAGTGTGTTTAATATTATATATTTTCTGTGCAAAGGTTTAGTAGGACGTCTCTCAAATGCCTGTTATGGGGGAAATGACATTGCGCAAAAGTTGTATGAATAAATGGATTTAAGAAATCCATAATGATTTAAATAAAACACTTTAACGGTTTAAAACGCGTATAACCTAAAATTATCTTTAACTTCGGCCCCACGTTTCAGATGCTTTGCAGCAACCGTGGTCACGGGGAGACTTTAAACCGTTAAAGTGTTTTATTTAAATGTGTACTACTCGCGTAAACTATAGGCAGTATTTAATCCATAATGATGACGAGTAGAGCACAATAGCTCTATGATAGATCAACGGCAGGTAGTTGATCGTGTATTCTAGACAGAAACAAACAGATGAGCTGTTTTATTTTTTCCTAAAATTAGTTTTTATTTTTATTTTATCATGAAAATAGTCATTTTGAAAGTACATATCTTTTACACTAAAACTACAAAATGGATTAAACCCAACAATTGAAAAATACACGTATTTACCATTCAGCTCAGGAAATTAGGAGGGGATCTTACCATTTTCCGGCCAAGCGTTGAAGTCCAAGCCCGTATGGTTCTGTCGTAAGGCTTTTGTATCAGGCTCAGTTGGTTGTTCTGCTGGTAAATCCGCATATTCCAATATCCTTTCCACCTATATGTTAATAACAATTTATTTAATGCGTTTATTTCTTAATTAATAAGGTATCTAAGGTAATTCGGTTTAAAACGCGAAATACCTTAGATACCTTATTTTTTTCATTGATAACATAATTTTTAATTGAACCAATTAGGACTTTCAATTTAAGTTTCTAAAGATGGTACAAAAGTTCTTTATTGACAGAGAAGAACGCTACTTCGATTCTCAGAGGGGCCTAGTTGGGGCTATAGGTACCCTTGTACGAGATGTATGAGAAAATATAGTTTTCTCAAACATGCTCGTAAATTTGAGCATTATTTTGACAACCTTCTTCGAGAGAAATCGAAGTTGCTGTACTGGTCGAGCAGCGGCCGGCAATAGTTGTATGTAAATCCACGTCTGTCGTGTTTAGCGGACAAAGAATTACTATGTAAAATCATATCTGACGTGTAATTTAAAAAAGGAACGATCTTCTCTACAATATGGCGACCAAAGAGTTTACTTATCAAAGCTTGAACTTAAATTTTAAACTTGTGCATGCCGCACATAGAAAACTTTAAAAGAAAAAAATATTTTGGCGCGTAAATATCTATTGTTATTAGTTTAAAACTGTTTAAAAGTTAGTGTTAAAGTTCTGAATTGTTCTACTTAGTTTTAGTTTCCATCAAGGTCCCTCTTGCCGGCCAATTCAGCAATGTACTATGTATAATATTATTTATAAATACATTTATTTGTTTAGATTAGAACATAGCTATGCTTACAGACGTCATCTGATTCTCCATTTCTGCAGTCTGTCTCATTCCAAACTGACACATTCCAACTAAACTTATTGCTTGTGTTATGGCAAGGCCGACGTTTCCTCCAAGTGTATCTAGATAACGATATATCACCTTAATTTTGCGCTTTCTTAATAGAAACTTTTTAACTAAATATAGATAATTGAATAAAGATTCAATTCGGTCGTAGTTTAAAAATTATTTAAAATTTTAGGAAAGTAGAACAATGTAAAATCCAGTTTCTCTAATATTGAAAAGGAAACCAGTTTATACAAATGTGTGTTTGTTTGCTAAACCATAGAATATCCTTATTGAATGTTATTTTTAAAATACATATTAAAATATATAATTTCTGGTTTTAAGCTGTACTACCCATCTAAGATTGTCTCATCCCAGATTTTCTTTTATTGGTTTCTGACGGGCCTGTTGATTTTATAATGGCATGGAATCAACAGGTCGTGAGTTCGTTAGCTATCAGTTCCAACGTGTTTTAAAAAATCATTATTTATCATAATTTTTCGCCATTTTTAAAGCAAACATAAGACGACAGAGCATCGTGTATAAATTTAAAAAGAGACCTTTCATCCAGTTACATGTGGCAAAAGAATGGAATTTATGTGTCATACAAAATTTCGCTTGCTATTATGTCCTAAAAACTTACCACCCGTCACAAAAATGAAGAAACTAAATGTGACAGAAGCGAGATACAAGCAGCAAACAACATCCATCCAGAATCCAAATGCTCTGTCCGTGGTCAGTTCGACGCTTTGCGCCGTAGTGTGCAAGTCTTGAAGTTTATCAAATTCCTTGGCCAAGGTTTTCAATTGATTCTTCACTGAACGGATCGTTGGTAAACCAGAGACGGTCGAAGTCGCGTGGTTGAGACTCAGACTGACAGCTATAAATAAGAAATCTGTGTCTATCATTTTATATTTTACGATGTTTGTTTAAATAAAATATTTTACTAGATAGACCTTAGGAGTACTTTCGCAACGGTAACATGTAGACAAACAATTTAGATGTAAATACTGTCTATAGTTTACGCGAGTAGTACACCTTTAAATAAAACACTTTAACGGTTTCAAACGCGATATATTAGTTGTGTACTACCCGCGTAAACTATAGACAGTAGGTATTTAAAGAAATTGTGTTAAGTATTATGTTTTGACATGTTTGCTATTATTACACAAAACTTACTTATAGCCTGAATTCTTTTCAGTTCCCTGCTCGTAGTGAGATATAACGAACGTAACAGCCATAGTAACGCCGCCACGGCCGCAGTGGGAAACAGAAGCCACCAGTTTACCAAGCACACCACAAACAGCACAGCTACGACTTCTAGGAAGAACTGAAACGGTGTCAAAATAAGAAGATCATCAGAAGTACTGATTATTGTCCAGGATTTGAATGTAGAGAGGATATAATAGTTTCCAGAGTGGCCTATGCACAAATATAAGCTATGGCTGTAGTTTTCGTAAATGCTACATTGCAATAACAAAAGAAGGTCTAAGTATTTATAAAATAAGGAAGCAATTAAACATATTTACTGCTAGAGCAAAAAGATTCACTGTTTCATGCATGTTTTTTAACGTCAAAAACACAATTCTGTTGTATTCTTGAGTGTCCTTATATCGTTTCAATTGTCCTTGAATGTCAAGCGGTTATTTTTGTTTTAAATTATTATGCTCAGTAGTTTAAAAATACTAATTATGTAAGTAAAACTGAATGAAAACTTACAGATAAACATTCCGATAGGTTCCAGTGCAACATCGTGTCGACTTGGCTGATATCATTCGAAAATCTATTCAGGATTCGACCTGAAGGGTTGTGGTGGAAGAACCACATCGGTGCGTTTGTGACTCCTCTATAATAATATTATATATTTATACTATATGTATAGTAAACATTTATAGTTTCATTTGTTTCAAAATAAACTTCATTAAACTTGACGTTTCATCTGTGAACTCGTTTGTATTCCTATCACCTAATTAGTATTTAGACATTTCAGACGAAGTGTTACACTTGTGTTTCAGAAAAATTATAATTTGATCGTTAATCGTGGTCTCGGTGGGGATCAAATCCACGACCCGTTTATTACACCACACATTGCTACTATTACACTAAGAAGCCCGTCATAATAATTAATAATAGTATTTCATTTGATAGTTTAAAGTAAGTAAATCGAATTTCTTTATTTATTTTACTGGTTTTGGCGGTTGAGCTAGCTAAAAGAAATATCTATAATGAATGGACAAGAAAGACACACAAAATTTTGTATGTTTTCACTGAAATTGAAACAAATGCCAAATTCACAAACCTAAACATAGCTTCGTGTAGCTTAATAGATGCGCGGAGGCAAGTATTGTAGAAGTACAACATCTTACTCCATGTTAGAAAGAGACAAGCGACGATTAGAGTGACATAGATATATACGTAGACACTACGGGATATATGCCAGGTGTTCTTGTCTAGATCTTCGAAGTCCACTGTAAATGAAAACTCTCCTTGAGGATTTTTATAAAAAGAAAAAAAAAATATGATGTTTTCTATGGCTTTGAAAGAAATATGTCTTACCTAGCGTAGAGTTTAGTAATGTTTTGTTGTCATTAGAAATTGATGTGTTATCAAGGTTGATTGCACTATTAGCTTCTTCCACGTTCACCCTGAAAATTAGAATGGTGAAACACGAGTCGCAATTTAAAAAGAAAGGGAGACTGACGATTTACATTACAATATTTTTTTAAAGTGCTTACAGTTTATTAAAAGAAGAATACTCTACACGATTCAAACGAGAATCGTCTTTGGAGGGCGGGGGGTGGGGAGAGGTGCTGGTTCTAAAGATGATGGACAGCTTGTACTTACGTAAAGTACAGATACGACTAGCATCTTTTTTTAATAACTTTTTTAAATTTAAATAAAATAATTTAACGGTTTAACGCTTTAACGCCGTGGTCACGGGGAGACTGCTGCTACAAAGCATCCGAAACGTCGGGCCGAAGTTAATCATCATTTTCAAATAAGTTTAACTAATATATCGCGTTTTAAACCGTTAAAGTGTTTTATTAAAGTATTTACTACTCGCGTAAACTATAGACAGTATTTAACTTTTTTAAAGTTTATAAATTTACATTATTTTTATGGTAAAATATCGATTTGTATCATACCAGCATATTTGGATCAAAAGGTCTTAATAGTTACAATTTTTCAAATATTTATTCCAATCTAAAATTAATGCATAACATTTATACAATAAGTTACACAAAATTAATTAATTTACTGAATATAACAATTATTGTAACACACTGATATCTTACGATTTTCTTCACGAAATTTCCTATCATGATAAGAAAGGTAACTTTGAAAATTTCTTGTCCTAATTATTTTATTAATGTTACTGTGATAAAATATGTTTAATCTTAGTTAATTATAAACGAGATTGTCTTAAAGATAACAAGGCCGTCGTGTTTCGCTCTATTATCTTATTTTTTAATCTACTTTCTGGTACATTTTTATGGTGACAACAAAGTAATTATCGTCTATCTTACCACTTAGCAAGCCACAGATTAGTCGATGAATAAAACGATTGTCCTGCTACGAAGAGCATTAGCAAAACGAACAAAGCTATTTTGCCACCACCACTTGTTATGTACGAGATGTATACACTACTAGACACAGCGCCTTCCGATTGGCTCTCATCTGCAAAGTAAATTGAATAGAATCTAATAAATAAAAATGATATAAATTTAGACGAAATCACCTTGTAAATAAAGATTGTTTCCCATAAAACATACCCATGAAAAGGGTGACATAAAACAGTGGCGCCTTTCAGTAAGGAAAACAGGATCAAACACTCAACTTTCGGGGTCAATAAGTTGGTAAATCAATTTTCGATTCGTTGAATTATTTCTATCATTAGACCAACAAACTGTCAAATATTTTAGACATTAAAAACCTACCAAGCTATGTTATTAAAGGAACATCGTGTTTCCATGTATTCTATTTGAAGGGCAATAATCAAGTATACTAACCTTTATGTTGCGGCTCCTCGTCGTTAACATCCAAACTGTTGACGGATTCGCTCAAAGATTTCTGCGTTTTTAATGCTTCGTTCTCCTTCTTCTCCGTTTTATCTTCTGTGGCTTCTGACATCTGTTCCAACTCTGTTACTGCTGTTCTTAATTCTTGGTATGTACCTTGAGACACGATCTGTAAAGACAAACCCTTATGAGTATCGTTAAAAAAACTTACGGTTTAAACGGTACTTTATAAATTATTTGAACAAGGTTCTTTTTTTCGGAAAAAAAACGGCCCTGGGCCCGGGGAGACTAAAGATGGGGATGTCCCTAGGTACAATGTACGTTAGCCTCAATACTGTCTTGTCAGTGTAGTTATTTAGATACCTGGTGGCAGACACGAAACTTAGTTATAGGTTCCTATACCTTTAATAGCTACATGTTAAATTATGGTGCAAATGCACGCCCAGGCATTTATAAAGTGTGGTAAATGGCACATACAGTCATGGTCGACTTTTGTCCTTAACAACCCTTGGGGGGGGGGAGTCGACCAGAACCACTAAGTATGCCACCAGCCCTCTACGGTGCTTTGGTTGGATACCCTGAGAACACTTTAGTGCGACTGGATACAATAGCTAAAGATATATTTCGTACCTTACCGCCTCTGATAACGCAAATATTATCAGCGTATCTAGCAAACTGTACGTGATGCGTCACCAGGAGCACAGTCTTGTTTTGGAGGAAGCCTCGGATGCAGTCCTGGTACATTGCTTGGGCCACCTGTATTGAGAATATTAATTTCTTAATCTTTCAATAGAAAAGGTATTTTTTAATGATAGACAATCATTGGTTCACCTGATGGGAGGTGAAAAACCCCAGCTGTATTACATCTACACAAAATGTGCTGTCGACCTATTTTGACTTTCGGATAATAAGTATGACTGCCTCATTAGTGTAATGGTACACTAGAGTGAAAATCACGAGATGCTTAATACTTTAATCTGCTTGTTAGTTCGAAATTTAAATTTTTCTAAGTCCAGCCAAGTATAATATGCATATAAATAAAACACTTTAACAGTTTAAAACGCGATATATTAGTTAAACTGTTAAAGTGTTTTAATTAAATGTGTACTATTCGCTTACCCGAGTAGTACACATTTAAGTAACAAATAACGACTATAGACAGTATATAATATGTTTAGTTCACGCTATTCAAAGACAGTAACCGTGAAAACCCATTATCTCGCACGGTGCAGCGTGATAGGACTAACTCTTATACCTTCATTTCTATAAGGCAGAAGGCTAGCCCCTATAATGTATAAGTTGAAACAATTGAATATGATATATGAAGCTTTAATTGCTTTCACGGTACCCTCCATAACTTTTATACAACTACCTACCTGAAGGTGTGAAAATGTAGTTGTAATTTTAGTAATGTTTTACCTTAGCATCAACTGCAGCTAATGGATCATCTAATAGATAAACATCTGCGTCTTGATACACACAACGTGCTAACGATATGCGCGCGCGCTGCCCGCCTGACAATGTTACTCCTAAACACACAAACACTTTTTAAATTGGAATAAAGAGTACCTATAAAATTCACTCAATGAAATAGATTAGTTTCACTTTGTCATTATGTTTCTAGTTAAATAACTTTACTTTAGCTTATAAGTAAGTATATTGCACATGCTGCAAATTTTCTTTGGACAAATACGCTTCTAACTTCTTATTTTTTTTATTATCCTTCTATGTATATCTGCAAAAACGTCCCTGTACCTTAATAGTTAACCACAAGGTCTAGCGTTGCGTGCACGAGTTCAAATCTCAGGGAAACGCAAATTATTACGATGAGCAGGGCACAGAAGTCTCATCATCTACTTGCCTGTTAATAAATTTGATCACCGAAATCCCCTCTATAGAAGAAAGGGGACTTCACTCACTTTTTACATACAACTCCTATTAAATATTATTTACCTTTCTCTCCAACGAGAGACTGATCTCCGTGCTGGAAAGCCTTAAGATCGGTTTCCAGTTGACAGCACTTTACCACTTTTTTGTATCTAACTGCGTCAAAGTCTTGACCGAATATTATATTCTGTCGAACCTGAAATTCAAAGAGAGTCGAAATTTGACAAAAGATAATTAATAAGAAAGTTAGTTTTAAGTTATCATAAGAGACTGTACTGTTTAGTTTCCTTAGTAAATAAATAAATAAACTAATATATATCGCGTTTTAAACTGTTAAAGTGTTTTATTTAAATGTGTACTACTCGCGTAAACTACCTATACTTACTGAAGCGTCAAACAGCCAAGACTCCTGCGCAGCGTAAGATACGGTACAGTTCACTGCTAGTTCTCCACTGCTTGGAGGAAGCTCTTCCAATATTGACATAAGAAGAGTAGACTTCCCCGATCCCACTGGACCAATTATTGTAGTGAGAGTGTTTGGTTTTATCTGAAAAAAAATAGGGCCCGCGAAATAAACAAAAAGACAACGTTAAGCGTGTAGCCTAACAGAAATTTTTATGACTTGATTTATTTATATTTTCATAGTCTAAAAATGTTAATCTACAAGAGAAAAGTGACCGACAATTGTTAACATAATTCTGAAACAACTAATAGAACAAATTCACTTTCGCCTAAGTCCATAGCGCATTTTTATATACATAAAATATATAGCTATAGCTTAGTAATTGGTTAGAACAGCAGCACAGAACGCTGTGGATGACGGTTCAAGTCCCGCCCGGGTCCGTATAAAAAAAGTGTTTTTTTTTTGCTTCCAGTTACTGAAAGAGGGGTGACAGTGTAAGGTTGTGTTTCAAATATGAAAAAATGATCCATGAACATTATTGATGCACTTTTGACTTTTGATTTTAAATGTATATTGTAAGTGCTAGCTAACCGTTAAGTTAATATCTGATAACGCCGGTTGTTGACCCTTCGTTTCTTCACTATTACTCCAACTGGCTGTAAAGTCTTTAAATTTTATTAACTCAGCACGGGGTTCCGTTTTCAATAATGATTTTCCTGCACTATACCTGAAAAAGAAAACACGTTTTTAGAGTAGTTTATCATTTCATAAATCGAGAAAACGGGAAAAGGTGTCTTTGTGATATCCCAATATTTTATATTTGTTGTGGTAGCGGGAATAGAACATAAATACATATTTAATAATTAAAGATATACTTTCTTTATTTTTTGGTATTGAATAAATTCGCCAATGAAGTGTAGGACACGGTAGCTCAATTGGTTAGAGCAACAGCACTGAACGTTGTGGATGCCAGTTCAAATCCTGTCCGTGTCGTTATTTTTTTCTATTTATAATTGAATTTTTGGATCTACCTTTTGTACGAAAAGGGAACTGTGACACAGACGACTTATTTGCCCCAAACGTGGCAAGTGATAATCGGCCAAACAATTTTCAGCGAGAAGGAATGACCCCCAAAATTTTAATTAATAGAGTTATAGCAAGGAACATACCCATTTTTATCATCGCCGAATATCTTCCACAGATCAACATTCTTCTCAACTTCAGGCAGCAGCAGAAACTCTTGGATCCTCTTAACACTGATATAGGATTCCAGGACCATGGTTATCGACATGGGGAACGATTCCACCATGTACATTCTGATGCTCTCATAGTAGGATATGACGACGAAGATTTTCGCTGCAGTGATGACGTTTTCGAACGCGATGAACGATAGGATGCTGATTATTAAGGCTATTTGTGTATTCAATTTGGAACACGAGAACATCATTGCGTAGAGCCAGGTTAGAGTTCTTATGACGTTCATTTCTTTTCTGCAAAAAATAGTAAGATAAGTCTCAATAAATCTACGACGGGTACATGGTTTAGGTACGTGCAGGTTCCGTTTTTTTATGAGAGAGGAAAATATTCAAGCATGAAGTTCATTTCTTGGAAAGTGTGATATCCCAGCTATATAAAATCTAAGCAAGATGTGCTGTTGACCTTTTTTGCCCTCAATAAAGAAATCCATACAATAAAAACGAAATGCGATCTTGACGGCTTTTTCGGTAGATGGTGGTTTGTGACCCGGGCGGAATTTCAATGATTTTAGCACCCACTTTATGTTCTACATTACCCAGATGAAGTTCACGATATTTCAGAAACTGTGTAAATTGCTTAGAAATATGTTGGACTTGATAGGAATCAAAGCCGCGATCTTGTTGATTTTCAACCGCATATTGCTACTAATAAACCTAATTACCGATTACATGTACATAGATTTGACAGACTATAAAAAACAAAAGTGTATAATAAATTCTCACCTTCTAGCGTTCTTGATAATTTTCTCAAAAGCATTCTCCCAAGCGTACATTTTAATTACTTCTATACTCTGTATAACCTCATTCATGAGTCGTATTCTGTTATCTGTGCGAACTGTCATTTTCTCTGTCAATTTACTCGCTATTTTACCAAAATAACCTGAACAAAGAGAATAACATAATACTTTGACATGTGCTAAAAGAAAATCCGTTTTAAAAAACTTCAAAATCTTAAATAGTTGTTAAAGCAGAAAGGAATAAAGAACCAAGAAGAAAGTAGTATGAATTCAAAATCGATTATAAATTTAAAAAAAAAACGACACGGACAGAATTTGAACCGGCATCAACAGCGTTCCATGCTGTTGCTCTGACCTATTGAGCTACCGTGTCCTACACGTCGATTTTCTTCAATTCATAATTGGTTTTCAATTTATATGGTGCCATTATGTGAAAAACATTAAAGCTTTCAAACCCTTAGTATGGGTTTTTTATTAGTACGAATTTAAGGTTTAGAAGCTCAACATAGTCGATTGGGATAATAATAAAACTCATACTAGGATCACAAGAATACAAAGTACTTACTTAACAGTGGAATAAATAATAACAAGAAACCAACTCCAAAGATCGCGGACACACCGATTTGTCTGTACATCAAGTAGACTATTACAGTCGTTTCTATCGGTATTCTTACTAAATCTATGAGGTAGATGCTTGCCATTTGAAATCGTTCTGTGTCTATTGTTAGTAAGTTTACTATGTACCCTGTGAGGCCTTCTGAAGCTTTACCACCAGCTGCTAGATTGATGCGCAGGAGCTGAAATAACATCAGAATTTTATTGTCGATAATTAATTTAAAAAAGCTGCAGAATAGCCATTGGTCATTAAAAAAGAAGGGAGAGTAAAGAAAAATGCACATTGTGGAGTGCAAAATAAAGATTTTTTTCAGGCATATAACTAGTCTATAAATTGGAAATTGCAGCGTTAAGCCATCGGTCCTGGTTAATCACTAATTTAATGGCAGTAGCCGTTATATCCCACCAGCGCACATTGAAACGGTGTGGTGGGTCTAAGATGTTTACACCTGTGCCCAGTAGAAAAGCGATATATCTAACCTATGTATATTATATTAAATTAAAAGAAACAAACCTTTCTATAGATCAATGAAGAACAGGCTTTTGTTAGTATCATGCTACTTTCGAGTTGAAAAAGTAGCATTGAATGCGTTAATACTGCGCTTAGGAACATTAATCTGAAAATAGAGAATATATACAATCATTATTACAATATAATATATATAAGTCGAGAACAAACATCGATATTTGTATTAAATTTAAGGATTTATAAATTAATTATTGTAAGATCACATACAAGTTTTTAATAAAAAAAATTATATTATGAATAATTCAATTCAATCCAACGGATTTGTTACACCAATGGTTAACAACCAACTGGTCGTGGGTTCAATTTCCTCCGGGTCTGGAATGGTGAGATGCAAAATTTACATTTTGGCTTATGCCCTAAATGGATGTAGGAATATCGAAAGTACGCCTGCATCCACACATCCACACGTGAAAAGCCGAGTAGTACACATTTAAATAAAACGCTTTAACGGTTTAAAACGCAAGATATTAAACTTATTTGAAAATAAGAACGGCTGAAAGCCGTACGTCGGGCCGAATTAAAAATCATTTCAAATAAGTTTAATAAATATCGCGTTTTAAACGTTAAAGTGTTATTTGCATTTAAGTAAGTCTGTAGATTTTTATATATCCAAGTCAGTAGAGTATCTTGTCTGGTTAATGGTTATTATGGTCTGTATCTGGGACATGCCTATATTCCTTCGTCTTAGAATATACTGTATGAAACTGAACTGTAGATACTTACCCTACTATGCCGAAGGCGTATAAATAAGCGCTAAGATCAGTCATTCCGGAATGTAAGGGCGAAAAATAATTTATCAAACCCTCGAGGCAGATCGGTATCGTTATTCTGAAAAATAATTATACAGAAATAGGCTATTAATGAGGTAATACATAACTGTTAAAATCTATTAAGAATGAAAAAGAAATTCTAGTATTTCTTAGTAAAAATAGAACTCCTACATCAAAGATAGATTTGGAAGATAGCTTAGCAAGGTTTTTCGAATAAAAATCGTAATTAACATATTTTAACATTAACGTATTTTGACGTGCTCTCGGTCTAATGTATGGCTAATAATCCTGAGTTCGATTCTCATCGGGGCCAACATTTTTCAAATAAATTAATAATTTTTCTGAAACATGTTGGACTTCGTCTGGAAGTCTGGATATTGAAAGGTGAGTGGTCCACAGATGAAAATTTTTTATCGCGTTTAGATTTCAGTCTGTAAATCACCGAATATCCAAAACCAACATAGGTCGATAGCGTATCTTGTTTAGTTTCTGTGGCTGGGACATTTAGCCTACCATCAAGTGACCTGCTTGTCTGTCCTCCTCTATCGTAAAAATAGCATCTTTATCTTAAGTGGGTCTAACAGACATTTCTTAACTGACAGGTGAACAGCTGATCAGACTCCTGTAACCTATTAATAGATATATGATGCATATTGTTCTCACCTAAAACAGGAATCAATAAAAGCAAAAGTGACGTTAAAAAGTAGGAACTTCGGTCCGTATATCCTGAAAATTGCGTTAAGAAATGACGGGGTCCCGCCGTTCTCTGAAATAGAAATTTCAATTTTTAGCAGCACAATACAAAGTTGATTTCCTTTTAAAAAATATAATGGGCGTCCTTAATTGTAAAGACAAAATCTGTGAATAGTAACACATTTGCATCACAGATCTATAAACAAGATAGTGTATCTTGATAAACATTTAATTTTTTTACGATAGTTGTACACACAGTCTTTCGTACCTAATATACAATATGAGGCCGCTAGAGGCAGAGTGGCCAAACCGCGATTTTATGACCTGAATTATTTATATTTTACAGAAATTTAATAGAACTTTAACGGTTTAAAACATGAAATATATTTGTTAACATAAACCCCCATGACTACGGCTGCTGCAAAGCATACGAAACGTCGGGCCGTAGTTAACAATAATGTTCAAACAAGTTTAACTAAAATATATCGCGTTTGAAACCGTTAAGTGTTTATTTGCGTATAACAGTTATTCCTTTACGAAACATATTACGGAGTAGCGATATACTTTTTAACACAAGTTTGTCTGGAGGGTCACTCAGTTCATGATATAAACTTTTGTAGAGAACTAAGCAATTTATTGTGTCAAAAATTGTGGTTCCATAGCTGTCCATAGTAAATGGCTACTCAGGGAAAACCAGGACATTATCAGGATCATAAGGAGCCTTTAAATAAAAGACTTTAACGGTTTAAAACGCGATATATTTTAAACTTGTTTGAAAATTAGTTTTACCTACGGTACGACGTTTCGGATGCATTGCAGCAGCCGTGGTCACGGGGAAACTAAAGATGGAGGATGTCTCTGACGTCAGTGTTTTATTTAAACAGAAACTACAGACAGTATTTAATTAACCACAACGAACCTTGCTTTTTTAATTCGTCCAGCCATTTTTCCGCTAGTTTATCGCCATGTAACGCGGCTCTATGTTGTGGTGAACATCTAAATAAAACAATGCAATAATCAGTTACCATAAATAGGTACAAAATTAAGACAATATTCAAATAAAAGTGTAAATTTTGAAAGCTTTGCAGCTCACTCGGCTGTTTAACAAACCATCGAAGTACAGCTTAGCATTGCACAGTGACCTGTCATGAAACATTAGAATCCATTTGTCACAGACGCCGGCTTAGCAACAAGGAAAACGGAAAGTAATCAAAATTCTTCGATAGTTTGTAGTTGTGGAACCGTAAGCAAGTGAATTAACGCCATCTTGATTTCTTTATATCCTTATTGCGTATATCTTGAGGTCGGTGATTCGGTTCTCCAAAACATATATATCTCATCTTTTTATTTATTAATTTAGTTTTGACAGACTCGTTGGTGTAAAGCAATGTGGGTCTGATCCCCACCAAGTCCAACGTGTTTCAAATTTTTCAATTTATCATTTTTCTGAAACATCTGGATATAATGGGTCGTAGGCACATGGAAAATCCGTCCATGCCACGAACCACCGTCCACAGATGGATAAACCGTGAAGTTTAATCACGTTTCAGGTTCAGTCTGTGGATTTCCGGATATCCAAAGCCAAATCGACTGCGCATCTTGTTTAGATGGTAGAGGGGTATCCTACTATCCAAAACTCAAAAAAAAAAAAAAAAAAAAAAAAAAAAAAAAAAAAAAAAAAAATTTTATTTTTTTTTTTTTGTTTGGGTGTTTTTATTAAAATAAAAAAATATTTTTGTGGAAAATTAAAAAAAAAAAAAAAAAAAAAAAAAAAAAAAAAAAAAAAAAAAAAAAAAAAAAAAAAAAAAAAAAAAAAACCCAAAGGGGGGGGGGGGGGTGGGGGGGGGTTTTTTTGTTTTTTTTTTTTTTTTTTTTTTATATAAAAAAAAAAAAAAAAAAAAAAAAAAAAAAAAAAAAAAAAAAAAAAAAAAAAAAAAAGGGGGGGGGGGGGGGGGGGGGGGGGGGGGGGGGGGGGGGGGGGGGGGGGGGGGGGGGGGGGGGGGGGGGGGGGGGGGGGGGGGGGGGGGGGGGGGGGGGGGTGGTTTTGTTTTTATATAAATAAAAAAAAAAAGAAAAAAAAAAAAAAAAAAAAAAAAAAAAAAAAAAAAAAAAAAAAAAAAAAAAAAAATTATGGGAAAGGGAAGATCGTCGGGGGGGGGGGGGGGGGGGGGGGGGGTGGGGGGGGGGGGGGGGGGGGGGGATTTTTTATTTTTTTGTGTTTTTTGTTTGGGGGGGGGGAAAAAAAAAAAAAATATTAAGGGGGGGGGGGAAAAAAAAAAAAAAAAAGGGGGGGGGGGGGGGGGGGGGGAAAAAAAAAAAAAAAAAAATTGGGGGGGAAAAAAAAAAAAAAAAAAAAAAAAAAAAAAAAAAAGGGGGGGGGGGGGGGGGGGGGGGGGGGGGGGGGGGGGGGGGGGGGGGGGGGGGGGGGGCCCCCCCCGAGAAAAAAAAAAAAAAATATAATTTTGGGGGGGGGAAAGGGGGGGGGGAAAAAAAAAAAAAGGGGGGGGGGAAAAAAAAAAAAAAAAAAAAAAAAAAGGGGGGGGGGGGGGGAAAAAAAAAAAAAAAAAAAAGGGGGAAGAAAAAAAAAAAAAAAAAAAAAACACACACCAAAAAAAAAAAAAAAAAAAAAAAAAATTTTTTTTAACCTTCCCCCCAAAAAGGGGGGGGGGGGGGGAAAAAAAAAAAAAAAAAGGGTACCCCCCCCCGAAAAAACGGGGTTTTAAAAAAAAAAAAAAAAAAAAAAGCAAAAAAATTTTGTGGGGCGAAAGGGGTTTTTTAAAAAGTCGTTTTACGGCTAAAAAAAAAAGAATTTGGTAACATTGCAATTACATCGCGTGTAAGGAGAATGGAAAAATCGAAAACAATTATCGACACGGTAGCTCAATTGGTAAAGCGACACCACTAGTTAGTGGGTTTTAGTTCTAATATATATAGACTAGAAAAAGGCAATATAATTCATATTTACAAAACTATTACGTTATGTTTGTTGACTCATTTACGGCAGTACGCTTTCCAGACACATGCTGTTTTATGAGCTTAGCTGTTAAGCTAAAAATAAATAAGGACAAACAAAAGATTATAAATGACGTACGATTTAAGATACACCGGCTTTGGAATTGTGCAATAGATTGTAAGAATATTGCACAATTCAACCACATCGAAATAAAATAAAGGTTCTAAGAAAAACTTTATCGGAGATTATGTGCACTAAAAACTGTTTCCTTCTGGAGGAAAAGCTTAGTTTTTAAATATCTGCTGTTTACTCATTTTAGTTTCAACCGAAAGGCCAAGCTAAATCGAAACGTGAACGGTAATTTTTCGACCGGGACTGTATTTCGATATTTCTACTAAGTATTTAATGTTTAATTACCAGAACAAATATTAGAAAAGTACGAGTACAATGCTCAAAGTTGGTCAACGTCGAATTCTTGAACAACGTTTAATAAGATTGTGCAAAAGCTTCAAATATTAAATTTAGTTTACGTTTCCGCGAGTCTATAGTTTTTCTAAATACAGCTAAATTTACCTCTTGTAACTTCAGCGATCAGACAATACCTCTCAAAATCGATTCAGCCGTTTCGATCTTTACTAACACACAATTTTTGTCAGTAGACATGTGCTTTAATAACTTCTTTTATTTGTTTATTGTGTTTAAAACTTGGAGTTTGATTATCGCGCAAGTTAAAGGTCAATGAACCTAAGTGATCTACAAAGTTTTTGTTCACTTCCACTTTAAACGAAACGACGTTTAGTATTTAATACTTTATAACTTAGTTAACTTTCTGCCAAATAAAGGCTTATCCGTCTTCTGTGCACTCAAAATTGTATCGTCGATTTCGTCTAGAAACTCGTATTTAGGGTTCCCAATAATAAATGCTATGCAATAGTAATTTTGTATAGACTAGAATGATCCTTAGTAAATAAATAAACAATACATTATCGCCAACAGTTATGCAAGTGCCTCTGGTTTGAATTCTTGGAATTGCACGACACGAGACTGTAGACTTATTAAATAGGTGTTAAAAGCAGAATTATAACTGTTAAATGATAAAAAGTTAAAGTTTTTATTACCTACTGGTTCTCAATTGATAGTAAGAGACATATTTCGTTTCTGAGCAATTAACATGCAGTAACTATTTGTTATAAAACAAAAAATAATTTAAATTCATTTTCACATATAAGGTACCATTACAGAGTTCCACGCCAATTTTTAAAGTGGAAAGATGATAAAATGTCGCAACTACTGTCATGTTATAATTACTATTTAAACGATAGTACGTTTCTTAATAAAATAAAAGTGAACTTAGGTTAGGTTTTATAACTATAAAAGATATTTTGTAGAGTTACGATGGACACAACATAACACAAATGATTTTCCAATACACCATTTGCCGTCAAAAAAAAATAAACACAAAACATCAAAAACCATTACTAGGTATGTATTTAGAATTAATATTTTTTTTTGGAGATTAACCGAACGCGCGAAGCGACATCATCCTCGCTTTTACGATACAAAACTGAACTGTCTGTCTGTCGGCCTTGAATTTTGTGAACGTTGTGTTCTATTGGGCAAGTTATCGCGCGATACGAACCGATCTTTTATGATAAGCTAGCTGTTTCAGCGACTTCGTCCGCGTGGAATAGTTATTTTGATAATCCAAATTTGTTGTATCTCATCTTTATACATTTAAGCTGTGACACATGACGTCGGTCGCGTCCTGTTTTTGCAAGTTAATCTTAAAAGATAGACATTATTTATAAAAAAACAAAAAAAAAGGAATCGTTCTTTCGTACACATTTTTTGGGTATCTTGAACCGTACGCATCGAAAACCCACGAAGATTTTACCCATTATATCCATATTGTTCGCTGTTTCTTCGCTTCTATTACTTACAGCGTAATGTTTTATAGCCTGAAGTCTTCCTCGATAAATGCTCTTACTTTTGAATGAAACGAAACTTAACAACCGGTCAAGGTAGAGCAAAATAATCAACAAGATATCATCTTATAGCTTAAAAGTAGAAAAATAACCTCGCAAATTGAATTATTTGTGCCATTTAAAAGAAGCTGCCAGAGGCAGAGTGGCCTAATAACATTAACATGATTTTCATAAAGAGGAAGATGAAAAAGCGCGGTTAACTTAAGCGAAAAAGAACTTGTACGTTTATGTTAACAATTTTGAGTTACTATGCTCTATGTAAATTAACATTTAAAGACTAAAAATAATATTGCAGTTAGGCTACTCTGGCTCTAGCGGCCTCAAATAGAAATTGATGATTGATTTATTTAATTATCTTTTACTCGATATTATTGTAATCTCTAAATTCCGAACCATATCATCCAAATTGACTCCTTTATCGTTTACATCATATTGTTCCAAATTTACGCCTATGACTATAATAAAATGTAGAAATAGTACCTACGGCAAATAAAAGATATGTAGAATCTTCTGAATTTGTGTAAGATTTAAATATTTCTGCGACAAATACGATAAGCTTATCATGACAATTAAAAGTATAACGTCATTTAATACCCTCGTCTTTAAAAGCCATTACACACTGTCAACCAGTCGCCGGCGATTTGGTCTTTCAGCGACGAAAACAGAGAAACACAAATGACGAGCGACAATGTTTTAAGTAAATCCGTGCAGAATAGACGTCGATTACTAACGCTTCTAATAACAATAAAAAACCAAGAGAGTTTATATACATCCTATGTTACAAGAACGGAAATCAAAAGGAATGTTTAAAGTATGTTATCAAGACGTGAGAAAAAACTTTTGTAAATCCTTTTTACCTCGATTATAATATTCATGAGACAGTAAGTCTCAAATTGCTTTTCGGGATTTTTATTTTCAATATAATATTTCTAAGTATCGAAGACCGAAGCCGACGTACGGTCACGACAGTTGCCCGTGTGTGTCGACAAAATATAGAAGCCTCTATTTGTCGCCGAGTTGCCTGAGCGACTATCGACGAAGTATGTAAGCGCCCATTTAGTCCGTAGCAAGTGCGTAATAGCGCTAAACTTTAATTAACTGGTCTTATATTGTGAACACTTCTACGTGAAACATGTAAGAAATTAAATTTCACTGAAAATCTACAAGTCCTTTACAGACATGTTATTTAAAAATCTAGAGCATTTTTTTACTAAAATAAAAATTGCCCGCATCACCAGCTCGTGCGTAATGCTGTGATTATAATCTTGGAATAAACTTTGCGTAACATTTATGATTCATGTAATTAAATAATTACTCTTTATATAAAATACTAGAAAGCAAGACAAAATTTACTTCTGATAAAATATTTTCACTGATAGCATGCAATCAATCAGGCGACATTCACTTTACAATGAAACAAATCCCGACATGCTATTTAGGACATTTCTTATCTTTTTAAGGAATCGTAGTTATTTTTATATACTTCTTCAATTATGTGGGTCATGGGCGAATGTTTGCGTGACTGAAAAGACGCGCCTATTGATTCCTATCATAGATCAATGTATATATTGTCCATCTTAAGATAGTTAAGCACTAAATACCATTTTTGTCTGTAGCAACCCGCTAATGCGTTGTTTTTAATGAAATGAATGAAAAACCCAAGCCTATAGTATCTAAACAAGATGTGCTGTCAACCTATGTGCGCTTTGGATATTCGGATATCCACAGACTGAAAGCGAAACGCGCTTCGAAGCTTTTTCATCCGTGGCCGGTGGTTCGTGACCCGGACGGAATTTCGATAATCCTTCCATTTAATTCCAGATTCAGACGAAGTCCAACATGTTTCATAAAAATTATAAATCGATTAGAAAAATGTTGAACCCGCTGAGGATCGAATACACGGCCCGTTCATTATTAGCTTTACACGCTACTATTACACCAACAAGATCGTCTACATTTTGTTAAACAGATATTCAATTCTGATAATACATATGTAATTAATCGGAAAGCGTTATTTTTATAGATAAATGTGATAACGGTAGCACATAAACGCAGTACGACTTTTATTAAACTCGAAAATTTGATACTATTGCAGTTTAAATTCTGTCTATAGTTTACGCGAGTAGTACACATTTAAATAAAACACTTTAACGGTTTAAAACGCAATATATTACTTAAATTAATATTTAAATCTTTAATCGCGTTTTCAACCGTTAAAGTGTTTTATTTAAATACTATTGCAGTTTATTTTGTAATACTGAATACTTTTTTTTACTTGGAGGAATCGCCCCCGCCTGGCCACATCAAGTGGCGGGGGGAGTGTGGGGATCAGCCAGCTTGGCTACTACCCACTAAACCTCCAAGAGCCCACGGGAGACTTGCCGGACGCGAGCGGGCGGTTAGTTGCCCTTGACCCACATGCCCGCGCCCGTCTGTCTCGCCCTACGTTGCCAGTTGATGGCTACGTCTCCTAGCTCGGTCCTAAGATCGAGCAGTCGCGCCGACGCCGGGCGTAGTCGCGCCGGCGCCGCCCAAGTCTCCTTCGACGGAGAGCGGGGGCGTCGGGAGTAGTCTCCCTCGCCCTCTCCGCTTCCTGCTTTCGAAAACTGAATACTTACCTTTACTTACCGGATCCGAAGCCAAAGCAGAGATGACGTAAGATAACGCTTGGATGACGCTTTATCGAGAAACATGGAACGCTTTAATTTTTTTTTTGGCGGTCGCACTCTTTTGCAAACATTTTTTACAAACAACGAAAGTTCACAAGCCTTTTTTTTCTTGTGTTACAATTGTTTTACCGCCTCGTATGCACTGACTTTATTAAAAATAATTTTTTCAACCGTCACAATATTTATTTGGTGTGATTTTTTCTTGACGGTCCCCTTATTTTTTTTTTACTCTTTGTACAATATGCCATACATCTAAGCCAGTAACACATTCGATAAAACTAAATACTAAATTACCTTAATTAAAAACCTTAAAGATAGAGCAAGGAAAGAAATGTCTATGTACAAATGGGCAATTTTTATCATGCGGTCACTGATATTGTAATTGGAAAAGCTTCAAATATAAAATGGTACGTTATTTCATTATATGATAATTTAGAATTAATCGAAACATAATTTTAAAATTTACAATAACATGGTAACAAACATCTCATAGACGTGAGCCAAAATTACCCATTTTGTTAAAACTACCCTAAACAACAATAAAAGAATCTATATCTATATGCAGATAATCCACACGATAACAAAACAAAATAACTGTAACTTTTAAACGAGTATATTAACATTACTTTTAGTAGAATAAATTATAAAGCAATGACTTTTGTGGGTAGGAAGATAATTAAATTACCCGCCCAACGATGTAAGCCGTGGAAGGCGACGAAATCGGTTGGACGTTTCACAAATGCTAATACACTCGTTACACAATTACTAGCACGACTTAGCGATAAATAAGATCAAAGTGTACTTTCTAAGCCTAGATAACTTTATTTATAAAGCGTGAAATAATCATGCTTTTAACATTCCGTTTCAAAATCATATATGTACAAGTCTTAACTAATACAATTTAGCATATTGTTTTTCGGGCTGTTCGGCCGACGTGAGCGAGAAGAGGTTCTCGGACGTTTCGCCATCACGAGCGGACGACATCATCAGATGTTAGCTCCTCGATTGTTCGAACAATTAATCTTTCGACAAACAAGATAATCGATAATCGAACGATAGCCGTGAAAGCCTAACACAATTTATTAATACAATGTTTTAAATTGTATCGTGTACTTTTTAAATCGATGTAGACCATGATGTGTAGGTCCATTTTGTATGCATACGCATAGAATAAGATGGTTTGGTTAAGTCGTAGATTAATTATTTATTCACGACTTGTATCTTCCGTATCCTGGTACTAGAGTACTGTACTAGATATGTATGTAAAATTTGAGTAATTCATTTAATATAATTTAATTGTATAGTTCAGTTTCACGATTTTAATGTATAAACACTTAATTGTTACTAAACCACATTCTAAGTAATCAGCACGTCCTAATTGACGAAGAATCGTGTACATTTTTAAGTCGGAACTAAGTTATTTCCATCAGACTTGGGACATAAATTGAGTGGGAAAACATTTAATGCATAACACGTTCGTATTTGAAACAAATAAAACCCCACTTTTTTTCTTTTTCCCGTTATCGGTTTTTAACGAAAATTCTCTGTAGTCCGAAAATTCGCCAATTAGGACACTTAACTTTTTAAACTGTGCGTATGTAAATAACGCCTATACTAACTATAATGTATTGCTTTTTATGAGGTACGAGTTACCATAATATTTAGTCACGACAATAATTTGTACGTTATTTTAATAGCTAAGCCTTCAATAGAGTTAGAACTGTGATTAACTTTTTAATTGGTTACGTAAAGAAATTTTAATTTCTAATTGTGAAACTTGTAAGTAAATCTCATTTTTTTTAAACGGATTTTTGTAAACAAAGGCCGCATAAACACAATTGTCGAATCAAAGGTCACTCGTACGAAATAGACTGAAACGGGTGAAAACTAGTCAAAAACTGAAAGTTTCATGAAAATCCGTAAGCGTTTTGTTGCTATGTAACGGTCAGCCTAATTCTAAGTGTAACACTACCTATGTTTATAAAGCGTTTGTAGCTATTTTAGAATAATTTACTCTTAAATATATTCGTTACTGTATAGTATATAATAAATAATGTTATATATGCAAAATGTATCCCAGTCACTGTGACAAAAATCACCGCGACCAATCGCTGTGAAAAAAAGTAAAATACTGTCTCATAAGAAGTATATCGCAGCATTTTAGAGGTGTTTTATGTCATCTCCGTTTAGAAGGGAGTTGCCATTAAAAGAACCTGTCAATCACAATCGTTGTCAGATAGTGGTTACACTGACATGTCAATGCCATGTTGAATGTGGCCGTGATTCTCAAATTCCCACTGCTTGGGACACCGTTTGGGTCAATATTCGCCACTATTGGTGGTAAAAACCGTTACTGACGGCTTAGCGGCATTTCAAGTATTAGAAACCTGGAATTCAAACTCAGGACCTCGCGATCTGTACACTAACTCGCTAGACGACTTGGTGTTTGTAAATATATACAATATTCTTTTTAAAGATATAATTAAATGAATTATTGAGTTTTAGTTATCGAAATCTCATTTATCTTAGTGGTGTAACTTGTCATTCGCCTTACCGTGAAATAACTCAGCAAAAGATTGTGTGTCTGAGATAATTTTGCTATTGATGATAATCGTCTTATATTTCTCATTGTCACAGGTATATGGATCACTGTGACGAAACACTGTCGATATTGGCTCATTGATATTTGTCAAATAATTAAATATTATCGTAAGTGGATGTGGATAGTTATAGATATTTTACATTGGAATAATGACGTTATTTTTAATGGTGTAGTTGTATTAACTTCTCACATTGAGTCAGAAGAAGCTATATTGAAAAAGTGCAACGTTAATCCGTTGATTACAAGATTTACGATAAGACTGTAAATATATTATTAAATTTTTGTTAATCTAGAACGAAATACTAATTAATGACCTTGATAGTTGACCTTGACAAGTCTTTAAGTAAAACCGTTGTCACACATTTTCAAAATAACCAACAACCACTATTATCGTTAAAATTATTCATAATTTAAACAGCGTACATTGTGCATTGCAATTAAAAATGCTTTGGCATCGATTAGATGTAATTTTGACATTGACATAACAGGGGAATCCCCAAGTTGCAATGCATAATATACACTCATGGATATACTAATAAACGTAGCGTAAATAAGAACTATACAGTTTGTCTCTGTCGTTTTAAAGTTGAAAGAAAGAGACAGAAGTTGACTTAGTTATTATTTACAACGCGTTTAATGTCGCAGATGTAGTATAAAGGTGTGAGCACACTGGATTGTGTCGCTAGTCGTGCTAGCGGCCGGCGCAGCGTCAACGTCGCCACGACCTGTCCTCGTCTGCGTCATCTTCGTCTTCCTCGTCGAATCGGAGCAACGAGTCCTCCGACTGCTCTTGTTGGTTCTATCGAAGTAAACGTATTAGATGGTTTGGCAACGTCGCTACGAAACTTTAGAACATTAGTCTTTCCAACAATAAAAGACGAACTCACTATTTAATAATATTAAATTAGCATACATATGTTGAAACAATATTAACTATCGAATCACTGTTAAATAAAACACTCTTAACGGATTAAAACGTGAAATATCTTAGTTAACATTTTTATGAAAAAGGACAGAGAAGTGTGGTGCTCGATGGATTGCTTGGCTTGATGCTTGGGATTCGCTTGATGGTAGTTACCTACCCACGCAATTCACATCTAAACGAGATGCGCTGTCGGCCTATTTTGGCTTTGGATTTATCGTAAATGTTAAATGATTAGTTTGTGTAACAGTATATGGTAACATATTGCAAATATTATCAGTATTTTATCCCTTATTTTGGACAACGATTGCGAAATACAGTCAGCAGTATTATTCCTAGATCAAAAGTCGAATACTCACCACCTCCTATAACAGTACAATAACATAGAGATTAGAGATCCTATACTCTAAAAAACTTAATATTTGTTGGTAACCTTTGCCTTAAATGAAAAATCATTAAGTAAATACTGTCTGTAGTTTACGGGAGTAGTACCCATTTAAATAAAACACTAACGATTTAAAACGCGATATGTATTAGTTAAACTTATTTAAACTACGGCCCGACGCTTCGGTTGCTTAACAGGAACCGTGTCTCCCCGTAATCACGTAACTAATATATATTTTTAAACCGTTAGTGTTTTATTTAAAAAATCATTAAGTAATCATGATGTTAGGTCTTACCGGGTTATCCTTACTACTGTCTTGGGCGTCTCCGTTCTGGGCGGCGTTGGGCACTGAACCGGTCAGAGGCTTATTATTTGCTACCCATGTTATCTGAAAGGAAATATGCATTTAATATCAAGGTCCAGTATCACCACAAATAAGAGGTATCGTGTATTTTTTCTAACTTGGCAAAAGATCACAACAAATATGGCCGACTTCAAACCATAGAGAATTACTGATGACCTTTATAGAGTGAACTTGTTGCCACAGATGACATTACACTTGACCAAAAACCTCAATTTTCAAAATCACTTTTGACATTTTTTTTTTATTTTTGTCATTATTGTTTAAGTCAACCTTTGTAACGCTTTTCAGCGATCGTGCATGAGTGGGACTGCTACCTTCTATTGTCGTTGACTTTGCTTAGGTACATCCCATCCTTATGTATATGACAAATGAAAATTATAAATCGATCGATGTCGGACCCGGTGGGGAACATGCTACCACTAGGCCAATGGGCCAGTCAAAATTTCCCGCTCGCTAATAATTCTTAAACTTGTCAAAATAAATACTTACACTTAGCGTTCTGTCGTTATAGTTACGGCCACGCAACATCGCCATCTCAGCCTGGGCTCGAATCTTGTACTGCACGGTAAGCTCGGGCACGGACATATTGAAGACTTTGCCCACTATTTCGCCGAATTTCTGCAACGTAAAAAAACACCAAGTGTTCAAAAAACCATATTTGAGTGCAATTTTAACGGTCTAAAACGGGAAACTTAACTTAAATTAACTTATTTAAAATCTATTATAACTACGGTCCGACATTTTAAATGCTTTGCAGCAGCTAATACCTTTGCGTTTTATACTGTAAGTGATTAAAAATAAATTTATATTTAAAAAAAACGACACGGGCGGGACTTGAACCGGCATCCACAGCATTCCGCGCTGCTGCTCTAAACAATTGGGCTACCGTATCCAAAAACAAATAAAAAAACAAATACTTACCGCAAAGTGCGTCTGAACAGCCTCCAAGTCATCCGGTTCGAAGCCGGATATGAGGAGCGTCCGCGGTCGATGGTCAACCGACTGGTTCACACTGAACGCCTTGGGGGGCGCTGGCGTCGCCGCGTTGCGGGTAAAACGCATAGCAGGGTTGAAACGGCCACCCCTTTATGTAAACATATATAATTTACTATATAAACTGCACCGAAAACTACACTTTTCTTAGTTGTACGTTCTGAAAACTTTTTTATCTATGCTATAAAATTGTACAGCTAAAGAGTTTGTTTGATCGCGCTTATTTAGACAACCACGGGTTCGAATTGAAAAAATATTTATGTATTGGATAGACCATTTACCGAGAAAGGTTTGGGGGTATAAAACTGCGACCAATAGGGCCCACGAAACACGGAAATGTGGGTAAAATTATTCATCTTTGAGGGCTCCCGTTGCGGGCGCTGCACTAACGGTTCAAGAAACCAAAACATATTCTTCTAGATTCTTCTTGAATTATGATCCTTTTTTAATTTGTCTCTAAATGATCGAGTGATTTTTTTAAAGATTAACAGACAGGACGCACGAAGTGGTGGATAACATCTAGTATATACTAACAAAATGCCAAAATTGCCTGTTATAACCAAAACAGATAGATCTAATGTTAGGCTGAGCCATTTCTTGGGATAAGTAACTTGCCCAATACTAATAGTTGAACGTATCTTACCGAAGTCTTCTCTTGATCATACGGTAGCTTGAAAAATATAACATTGTACAGTCAGCAACGAAATGAGTCAACAACTGGGTAAGATACAATTTCAAAGACCAGCCTCTACCAGAGCCAGAGGCAAATCTATATAATTAGGTTAAATAAGATAAGTAGTAATATAGATGACTATTAGTGTAGAATCCTTTAAAAGCAAAGTATCAGTTACTTCACTCACCTAGAATGTACTCTTCTGACGCCAGCGTGCGTAGGAAACTGCAGCGCCATCTGTCGTCTCATTTCAGCTATTTTCTTCGCCAACTCGGTCACGTCTTGTCCCTCCTAAATATCAAAATTATTTGAAGTTTCATGTCATGAAAGTAAACCATAGGCCAAACCTAACAGTAATAGGATTTACGAGACAGACACATATAAATAAGCTTAATTGAAACAACTCGGCAAAACATTTTTTTAACATTTTTTTTTTTTTTAAGTTATTGCATATATACACTACATGTATAAACAATCTATTATAGATTACTAAAAACTATAGGCGACTTACAAGTACTTTGTTTTTTCTTATTTTTAACTGTGTTCTATCTTTAGGATTGAAAAATAGTTATATGTATATACACTACGCGTTTGATAAAGTGTTTTATTAATATATGATATATTTAAATAAAACACTAACGGTTTAAAACGCGATATATTAGTTATACTTATTTGAAAATGATTTTTAACTTCGGCTCGACGCTAAAAGTTCCCGGACCACGTTGCTGCAAAGCACGCAACGTGGAAAAAAAAAAAAAAAAAAAAAAAAAAAAAAAAAAAATGGGGTTTTAGGCGGGGGAGGGGTTTTATTTAAATGTGTACTCACGGGGACACTATAGACAGTATTTAATATAGATCTAATTTTCTTTATTTATCGAGTAATAAACATAGCTTTCACGCGTACTGGTCACGGGGACACCAGCTATGTCTGTTTTATTTAAATGTAAGATCGTCATATTGTCAGTCTTCAAATTGTCATTTAAAACCTCACCTGTTGTTTCGTTATAATGTCCAATTCAGCGTCCAAGATCTCCTTTTGCGCTTCAGCTGCCGTTTTAGGCTTCTTGACGTTCGCCTGTAGAGAAACATACAATCAGGTTGGCTATATACAAGGCGATGAAGATTATTTACATTAAGTCACTTGGTGCTGTATGTAAATGTTAAGGATGGCGTTAGATTATATTTTTTAGTGTTTAAAATTAAACAAAACAGTTTTGCGTTACTAACTTTTATGTAATTATTTTAAATCGTTGGTTTAATAGACTATAGAGAGGTTCCGGGTTCAAATATTGGGTAGGGCAAAATTTCGTCGTCATCAAGCCTCGGAGCATGGGAAATCGCGGTCCCGGTTACTAGCACCGTTATTCGGTTAAGAGCCCACCAACCCGCACTGGAGCAGCAATGTGAATCTAAGCTCTTGACACCCATGCTAGTGAAAACCTGTTCCCAGTCGTGGGACGTTGAAATGGAGCAATTATATCTGTATATTATTCTGTTACGAGATTTCCAAAGTTTATATCATTTTTTATGTAAATGTAAGTGATATGTTTGAACAAAAGAACAACTTATTATGATGGAGGATGAGGAGGACAGACAAGCATAGGGCTCACTGGATGGTAGGCGAAATACACCAGCCATATAACATCTAAACAGGATGCGCCGTCGACCTATTTCGGCTTTCAATATTCGTCAATGACTGAAAACCTTTACATAACTATGATGCTAAAGTACAAATGATTAATTACGATTGTATTTACAAACTAGTTAACTATATATAAAAGATCTACAATAATATAACTAAGTAGATACATAATTATCTACGTACATGTATACAAACAAATTACACTTTACAATATATTGTACAAAAAATTGCAGCGAATGTTGGTGCGCGAGCGATATGGCAATAGTGTTTGAGATTAAAAAAAAAAATCGAACACAAGTTGAAAAAAATTACGGCAAAAACTCGGGCAGGACTTGAACCGGCATCGTCAGCGTTCCGTGCTGTTGCTCTACCAATTGAGCTGCCGAGTACCGAGATTATATTTAATTGAATGTTAAAAAACATTTCTAATAAACAAAATTTAATAATTTCTAAAGGTTTTCGGAATAGAAGACAAAGGGTCGTTCAGTGTTGTGTAAGCACTGTATATCTTGCTTTGCTAATTTTTATGACTTTGGGGGATGAGAAAGTCGTCTCTATGGCGTTGACAATTACTTAGCATAAGTCATCAGTAAGTAACCTTATATTATTGAGCGATTTTATTTTGTTTAATTAATATTTACGTAAGCATGACAGGAATAATTATAATAAATTTCTTTACTTGCGAGCTTAAAAGATGCAACGTACTTGCACATAACATAAAGTATGAAGGAACAGATCAAACGAACACAAACAAAAATGCATCCATGCAATAAATACATTGGTAATAAGCTCTGCCGTATGTTGTCATGGACACAGCTTTGAAACAGAGTTAGCAGCCGGAGCGACAGCGCGTATAGCGAAATCGGCCTTTACAAAAAAAAAACAGTTTGTTATTTTATCACAAAATCGCTACTTTGAACACTTGAAACGTTCCAAAATATTAATTACATTAAACTTAAATACTGTCTATAGTTTACGCGAGTAGTACACTTTTAAATAAAACACTTGAACGGTTTAAAACGCGATATATTAGTTAAACTTATTTGAAAATGATTTTTAACTGCGGCCCGACGTTTCGGATGTTTCGGTAAGTTTAAATAAATACAACGCGTTTTAAACCGTTAAAGTGTTTTATTTAAATACATTAAATTTCTAACGCACCACTAATATGATTGTAAGACATTGTTACTTCTATGTCATGGTAAAATAACAAATTGTTTTTTCAGGGCCGGTTTCAATATATGCGTACACGATCAGGGGCCACTAACTTCAACTCCATCTTTGAAACCCTATTAATATTAGTGTTTGAAAACCGCCATTTTTTACGCTGTTTTGAATTGTATACTACACCGAATGGTGGGTCATTGAATAATGCTTCCCATATGTATGAATGTCAATTAAAATTATCCAACGTGATAGCCCTATTGAATGGGTGCGAAACAAAATGCAAACAGTGTTAACACAAAAACGAATTATGTATCAGCGTGGGTAAATGTGGAAAATGAGGGTAGTTGCACAATGCACATAAACGCCGCGCACTCAACATTCCTGTACCTGATTCAGTTGTAGCCGAGACATCGAGCGGGACACATTCTCCTCCTGTTTATTATATTAATTTTATTCAATTTCTGATGTTTTCTCTAATATTATTTTTACTTCGATGTTTCTGTTAACGAAACAGACTCATAAGAAATAATAGCAGGGTGTCCCTTTCAACAAAATAAACAAGGCGTACACAAAAACATACATATATATTCATTATATCATCGATTTTTTTTATTTATATTGTTTTTTTTTACCCTACCCTTTAATAACGTCTAAGTACGTCAGACTGATTATTTGCGTTTTTTTGTAAAAAAAATAACAACCAACCTGTAAATGTTTCATCATGCCATTGTAAGCGACCAGCTCCTTCCTCAGCTTCTCGATACCCTCCTGAGCAGCGTTTATCGCCTCCATCAGTGCTGTTTTCTGCTGCTCGCTGACATTACCTGAAAATCTCATCTCATTTTATAAGCTGATGATTTTGCTCATATATATATGATAAAATCTATAAAAAATTATAGGTAGAGGAAGTAGGTAGTCAATCGAACAGCATAATTAATTATTAAGAAATTAATGTAAAACTTTACCAAAATAAGAAACAATGACTCACCACTCTCAAGTTTGTTGATGAGGAGTTTCTGCTGAGAAAGTTGCGTCTGAAGCAGCGCTTGCGCACGTTTGTGCATCTCCATTACTTGCTTGCTCTTGTCCGCTGGCTTCGGAGCTTCTTTTGTTTCCGTGTCACCGTTTGTCGTCTCTTTTAATAGAGCCTAAGGAGAAGAGAGTAGATAAAATACGGCGAATAGTCTTTTGTTTTGTGGCAAAGTCCTTCCAGAGGAGAATGTCATAATGTCTTTATTTATAATTTATTTGGGATTTCAAACTAATAAAGATATAATAAATGCAAATTAATAAAACACAAGACTGAACTTATATTCATTGAAACAGAGAATAAAAAGATAATTTAATCGTAACGATATAAAAAAATTGTTACTCCATCCTTCCTAGCGCAGAATATTTTTATTAAACTATATATTTGACTACAAGTAAACTATTATGAGGGACTATTGTAGTTAGTTACTCAAAATAATTCCTGAACCTTGTCAAAATAGGCACTTTGTCAACAAAATTGAATAATTTTGATGATGTTGTATTTAGATAGTCACATATTAAACTAGGATCCAAAAACATGAATTATCTACCTTTTCCTTCAACTGTTGTTTGTTCTGCTCACTGGCTTTGATGTTGTCCTTGTTGATGTACACTTTGTTGTGCGACATAGGATTGCTGTTGTGTCTGTTGTCGTGTTTGTTGTTCTGTTGTCCGCCCGGTGCTGTATTCTCTTGTTGCTTATTCTGTAATAGAAAATAGATAAATCAACAACCTTTCTTGTATTTATTATAAACATAGTTATTAATACCACATAGAAAAAATCACTTTGTAGTACATATTTAAACACGCGGTTTGCCCGTGACCACGGCTGCTGCAAAACCGCCGAAATGTAAGACCGTAGTTAAAATAATACAAGTTGAACTACTATATTTCGTGTTTGAAACCGTTAAAGTATCTTATTTAAATAAGTCAATGTTTAAATAAAAAATCAATGATCGAAAATTCGATGACACGGGCAAAGCAAATATTCAGATATACATCTAAAGGACAAACTCACCTCAGGGTTGTGCCAAAATAGTTTTATAAACCGGTTGTTGAGCACCGCTTCTGTACTCTTGTACGCTACGTTCGCTTCTGTTGGATTCGAGAAGGTAATAAGAGCCGCCTCTGGGTCGCCTTCGAAGCACACCTAGAAATAAAATCACTTTGAACCTCGCTTCACAAGAGACAGAAGACTAAACAGTTTGTTCCCTCGAGGTGTGGTTATACTGATGGGTTATTTGCTAATTTAGTGATTAACTAATTAAGTAATAACAACGTTTAATAATAGTTATTTATTTAATCTACACTAATGTTATAAAGCTGAAGAGTTTATTTGAACGATACCTCAGGAACTACTGATTCGAATTGAAAAAAAAAATGTTTGGTGATAGATCATTTAGGGAGGGCTTTAGGCTATAAAACACACTGCGATAAAAATGAGCGAATAAACAGTGGGAAATGTGGGGAAAAAACGGGGAAAATTATTCATGATTGAGGGTCTGCGTTGCGTGCGTTGCGAAAACAGTTTAAAAACGAAAAAATATTAATTATTTTTCTTTAAATGATCAAAAAAACCGATTTAATGGTAATTAAATTTGGTCGAAATTAACGCATAACCAATTATTTTGTTACAATTTTTTCAACATAATATTTCACCCGGACGGAGTCGCGGTCATAGCTAATTGTCATATATAAGAGATATATTCCACATTAAAATGGTACCAATAAATTTATTTCATTAAACAACAATTAACTTACCTGAATATTGACAATCTTTCCAAACTTGCTAAAATGGTTATTGAGGTGTGTGATGTCGTTTAAGCCGTGGGGCACTTTTTTAACTTCCAATGAGCAATTCGCTGCTTTTGGCGGTAGTGGGGGGCGAGGTCCACCTTTAAATAAAATATATTGAAAATAGATAAAAACGAACTTGGATTAAACTTTGTAAATATTGTGTTGTTTAAATTAATTGATAATTCTGGAGATCGTCTCTGTACTTAAGTGGAACGTATTGCCTTACAATGCGTTAAGCACTAGAGGTTCCAGAACCCAGGTTCGAATCCCTGGGAAAACAATAAATTCGGTCGGGTCGAGCACAGAAGTTTGATCACTCACTTGCCTTAAATAAAAAACCGATCAATGAAACGGACACAGAAATGTGTTTGGAGTTCACACACTTTTTGGATAATTCTTGTACAACCAACTAAAACAGCTATAAAATTAACATTTGTAAAAATAAAATGGTTAAGCTAACAATTAATATGATTATTTATTGTACAATAACTTTGAATCACAGAACAACAAAGGACTGATATAAATAAAAAAAATATTGTATACAACTTACCCAGTCTATTATAGTCAAAGTTCTTCTTAGACGGCGGTGGGTGTCTCGGTATGGGCGGAACAACAGCGCCGCTCGGTATTTCATGACGTACTCTAAGATAAAATTAAAATAACTGAATTAGTATCAATGTAATGGCATTATAAAAAAGAATCCGCCGCCTCTGCAGCCAAATGTTTAAACGTATTGCCTAGCATTGCGTTGAGTCCCAGGGTAACAAAAGAAAAAAAATCGGTCGGGCAGGGCACATAAGTCTGATCAACTACTTGCCCGTTAAAAGAACGAATCAGTGAGCGAGGGGGAAAGGGCCTTTCACTTTTTTTTAAATCGATTTTGGTTAAAAGAAATTTCGACACGGGTATATCAACCTTAATACGAATTATACGTATCAAGAGAGTTAAAAAATTCGGCGATGACATGTACGACTCGGTAGCTCAATTGGTTAGAGCAACAGAACGAAACGCTGTGAATGCCGGTTCAAGTCTTGCCCGGGTCGTGAATGTTTTTCATTCATATTATATTATCCTTGTCTTACTTGTTTTATTTGTAAAGTTTAGAAATGTTTAATGTGATCATAGGTTTGATTCTCGGTAGAGATGAGTTGAGTCGAATTTTAATATTTCTTCTTTTTTCATGTATGTATATATGTTTTAAAATTAACTATTTTATATTAATTAAAATATACCTCGGTATGGGGACTAATTCCCGCGGCGTAAGGTGGTGCGCGGGGGGAGGGTGCGGTGCGGGTGGAAACGCGGCAAAGCCGCCGCCCACCCAAATATCAGGAGTTGCTGGATTGTATTCTAAAAAAAAGATAAGGATATCAAATTTATAACTGTGTCTACTGAAAGCTTTTATCACAAACAATAATAATCTATTGAAACTAAAAAAAGCAAATTACATATTAAATGATTACACTGCTAAAATTTCTTTATATGTATATAAAAAAAAAACAAGTTTTATACCTGGCACCGGGGGCGGTAGAGCGAGCACTCGAGTCAAGGCCGCGTCCTCCAACACGACTGGGTCCACACCGTGGTCCCACTCGCACAGGTCGCCACGCATGCAGTAGCCCTTAACTGAAAAGGTAAAATGATGATGTAATTCTTCAAACTACATTGTTTGGTTATCGAAAATTACATGTATTATTTTTTCTATCAATATCAAAACTTCAATAAGCACGTTGCCTACCAGTGCGTTAAACAAGAGAGGTTCTAAGTTCAATTCTAGGAGACACTGGTTTCAGTGAGGCAGGCACTGACTGATCAACTACTTACTTTGAATAAAAGGAATAGGGACCACTACAAAAATGTCTGTTTACTTGCCCTTAATGGGAAACATATACTTTTTATAATAAGGATTTTTTTAAATAATTCGACAGACAAGGATCGTGTTCACTTAATAAAAAGTGAAATACCTTAACCATATAACATAAAACAAGATGCGTTATCGACCTATTATGATTTTGGATATTCGGATATCCGCAGACTGACACCGTAACGCGATGAAAATATTGAAGACGGCATTTCATCGTTCCATACCTAGACGGAATTTCGATATTCCTACCATCCAATTAATATATGTTTTAAAATAAATAAATTGGTATTAAAAACATGTTGACTAGTTGGAGATCAACTCACGACCCGTTGATTATTACACACACATTGCTAGCATTAGATCAACGAGACCGTGAATTTCACAAGTCTTCATTTAAATATCCCTCGCACTACTTACCATCGAAATCTCTACACCTCCGCTTGTATGTGTCCGTGTGTTCCAATCTGTTGTCCCCGTGGGGGGAGATCGATCTATCGCGTGACCTATCGCGGGACCTACTCAAAAAAAGTATAGATATTAAACTTAAATTATTAAAAAAAATTGCAATGACACATATATTAAAATCTAAAACAACGAATTTGAAGGTGTTAAGTTTTAAAATTAAAATAAATTATAACTCGTCGCCCAACGCCTCAATACGTCAGATTAACACTATGTGAAAAAACCGTTTCAAATGTTAAACTCTGTAATTTCATTTTTAATGATTTTTTAAGCTACAAAGCATAAGACAGTGAACCTTAATAGGCGAGAGTTAAGGTTGCAATTACATTGCGCAAGAGTTGCATGTATACACGGTGGCTCAATTGGTTAGGGCAACAGTACTGAACGTTGTGGATGCCGGTTCAAGTTCTGCCCGTGCTGTAAATTTTTTGCAATCTAAAATCGATTTTAGATTTACATAATGCCATCATCTGCATAACATGTTAAAGTTTTCAAATTTTTAATTTAGCAAAGAGCAAATACTAACCTATCCCTATCTCTAGAGCGAGACACACGGTCCCTATGCTCTCTGTCCCGCGACATTCTGTCTCGCTCCAACTCGCGGGCCGGACGCATTCTTTCTCTCTCGCGCTCCAACTCGCGTTCCCGCGCGGCCATTGGGGATCTTGACCTAAAATATAACGTATATCAGTTATTAATGCAGATTAAATGAATTATTTATAGAAACATATATATTGAAATAGAAATGTATTATGTTTTTAACCCGTCGTTAGTACAGTGAAAATATATTACACCGATAGTAGGATAGGGTCTCAGAGACCCGTAAAGAAAATAATTGTAATATATACACATAAAACAATAAGATATTCTTTTCTTTTTTTAAGTTCTTTTACTTCTTCTTCTAATTTATTGTAATAATTATTACAATATTTAAAAAAGTAGTAGTAGACTTCGGTTAAATAAAAACTAAATTTTTATTATAATTTTTTTAAAACCACTAACAAAATTGATAATACAGCCAGTAAAATTGAAATATACCCAACTGTGCTCGGGTTTTCTTAAATAAAATCCATATATGATTAATGTTTTATAAGATTTTGACCATTCATAATTACATATGTATATGTAGTTCTTTCAAAAAAAAAATTCTTTTCCTCCAGTGGAAAAACGAAGCAGTACATTTCCGTGTTTTTTTTAACTAATCGTTATTATTTACAGGCACAATATTAAAATACACTTTTATGTTCTACCCGACCGAAACAAGTTGTTTTACCGGAATTTGATCCCAGAACCTCTCATGTGAAAATTACTTATTAAGAACTCACCTAGACCGGCTAGGTTGTCTATCGAGCACCGCAGATGGTGGGCTTCTGTTCCTGTAGCGGCCACGGGGGGACGGCGAGCGAGATAACGGCCTCCTAAAAATGAACATTTATGATTTTGTGTATGATTGTTTATGAAAATAGCTTTTCCAAAGTATTTACAATTATTTGTGAGGTTATGTGTAGTTTGCGCGAGTTGTAAACATTTAAATGAAACACTTTTATTGTTTTAAAACGCGAAATATTTGCTTCGAGTCATGGGGGGGGGGGATTTGTTGTTCAAAGCACGTCAAGTAAAATGTCAGGCCCTAAATTAAATTAAAAATAAGTTAACTAATCTATTTCGCGTCTTAATCAGTTTAAGAAATTTTGTATTGCTGTTTTTTACATATGTGTCTTTACAAAATAAAATATATCAGTTCATTCTTTTTTGTGATGAGAAGATGTTTTTTAGCCGCCATGGGAACTGGATCAAATCTGCTCAGAGATTTGCACATAAGACCGCCTCTGTAGCTAAAGGGTTAAACGTGTTGCCTAGAATTGCATTAAGCACGAGAGATTGTTTCGGACGGGCAGAGCACAAATCAACTTGCCTGCACATAAACAACGGACACAGAAATGTGTTTTACCTGCGCCCCACGGGGTTAATTGCATTTCACCTTTTGACACATTAATGTTTTGCCCTGTTTTTATTACGTGAATTCATTTGTACCACTCGCGGGAACTAAATACGACCTTATGTATGAAAAGTATAAGAAAAGCTATCTTTTGATGCGAAAGCTCATTTCGAAAGATGAGGAATGTTAAACAAAAAGCCAATTATGATGATAAGATATGAGCTTAAGGTATATTATGATTATTTTATTATTAATTGAGGGCTTCCTTTGCGTTCGCTGCGAAAACGTTTGAAATCCCCAAAAAATATCTATAAAAGAATGATTCCACTTGAAACACTCTAAAAAATATTCGTAACTGTATGCCCTGCAGGAACAACTGGACACTTGTCGCGGGTAAAAGCTAATTTATAAAGCTGGCGAGGTTGTTTGCAAAAATAAATATTATGATGGCCAAAACAACAGTTAAACACAGCTGCAGTAAACTATAATAAGTCTCCTCCTGTTTTTACCACTTGCCTCGCCTCAAACATGTATTCAGACACAGCTGTGTTATTATTGTTATTGCAAAATATTATTGCAAAATATATTATTATTGCAAAATAATATTATTTATATTAAAATATATTATTGCAAAATAGTTATTATTGTTAGTGATGAGCGAAATGAAGTTAGTTAGTGTTAGTTACCTCTTTTCATACCGTCTATCTGGGTGTTCGTCGCGGGGGTGCCGTCTCGCCCGCGACCGCCTCTCCCAAGAGCGCGATCTGCGGCGCCTGCGGTCATCCTTGACTCGGAGCTGATGAGTAAGAGAACAAATAATTTTAAGAAAATGAATTACCTTTTTTCAATGATAGAAGAGTACAGACAAGCATTGGGGTCCATAGAGTGAAACCGAATCGTGATCAAACCTAACTTTTTCACGTGTGGACGATGGTTCGTGACCCGGACGCAATTTCAATCTTCCGATCACCCATTTAATTACCAGATTTCCAGACAAAGTCTAACATGTTTTAGAAAAATTATAAATTGATTAGAAACTTGTTGGGCCCGGTGGGCATCGAACCCACGACCTGTTGTTTAATAGCCGTACATTGCTACTATTAGATCAATGAGCCCGTCGTACTTTACTTATTATTTACAACAATGTACGTCGTCGTTACTTATTGGTAGAGAGTTATGTGAAAATATACAACCCAATTGCAAAGATTATCTCGGAGCATAAGCTAAAAGAAATTCTAAGAAAAACAATCACTATTTATGTGTACATAATTGCCAAGATATTTTTGAAAAACAAAAAAACTCACTGAGTCACCCCTTCTATCTCTCCGCCTGGGCGGTTCCACTGGTTCTTCTAGAAGTTCAGTTGGTAGGACCTGTGGCATTAAAAAAATACTTTACTGTAAAAAAAATATATGAGAAAACATTTGTTTTGAAGATATACTAATTGATTCTTTAGATGGAGTTATTAGAATAATACCAGCTAGTTTTAAACCATTAAATGTGTTCTTATATATTTATATTCTTATATGTTCTATTGTAATTGTATGTATAGAAATGTCTATTGGTTAATTGTAAGTGTCTAACAGATACAGCCAACTATGCTATATGGATTTTTATTGAAGGCTATGATTCGCATAGGATATTCTTAATAATGCTACCTTGACTAGCGTATGTTCTTGGTGTGGGGGTCGTCGTGGAACCACGACGCGATGACGAATAGGTTCACGGACGTCCGCTGGGACTGGGGAACGGTTCTGAGGGCACTCTTCTGCTGGGACTGGAGCAACTGTAACATATATATTGGCATTTATTTCCTACCCTATATAATGCTGTTCCAATAAGGTAACTACTAGAATGCCACTTTCTTTTGGAGTTAATATTAGCATTATGCTAAGTATGAACATATATCTTATGTTTGTATGTAGTACAAACTTAATCAGAAATTTTAAATTACCATGATTTTCAATCTGCAGTTCATCTTGAGGGAGTGGTGGATTCTGATCCTCTGTTGTTTCAATCAGCTCTGGCTCCTTCTTTTCAACCTCCACAGGCTTGAGATACTCCTGGCTATCGAGAGCTTTGAAAAGCATGTCTACGAACGGTTTAGTTTCTGAAAAAAGAAGAGAATCTGAGAATTTTTAATACAAAAGTTTCAATAATTGTCCCTACACAAGTAATCATTTGATTCAATACAGACAATTTTAATTAGGATTTTCCTGATATTGGTGAGTTTAAAACACATAACAGTACATGTCATTATCAGTTTAAGTAGTAATATCTTCCAACTAGATTAAGCTATTTTTAATGATGAGGAGGACAGACAGCATGGAGTTCACTTGATGGGGGGTTATGTACCCCAACCTATAGCATCTAAATATGCTAAAGATGCGCTGTCAACGTATTTCGGCTTTGAATATGGAGGATGTCAAGCTGTGACAATGTTACAATTACTAGGAGCGAGTATTTACCTTGTTGCAAGAAAACATCAAGTTGGTCCAGCATACCATCACGGAGCTCTTCCAGTGGCTTATCTTTCTTGACTAAAGCATACACATACTTAGCTAGCGCAGCTGGGTCAGCGTCGCATCTGAAATTATAGGAGTCAAAGTCAAAAATCATTTATTCACATAGCTAACGTAAAAAACTAAAGACTCTAAATCTACATTTACTACCCGTTCTTAAATCAAAGGCGCTGAACAAGAAGAACTGGCAAGACATTCCCCGCCCTAATGCTATAACTTTTATTTCCTAGTATTCACCAACTTTAAGTGCTCTACATATTTTTTCTTGTTAGAGTGAATTCCCCCAGACCCCAAGCAAGAGTGTGGTAAGAACTTAAATCAAAAAGTCTTAGTTTATATATTTTTTTTTATGTTTGATGATATCAAATAGGTATATTAAGGCATTGCTAGATTTGCTTAATATTAACTGTTCTCTTTTTCTGTCTTATTCCATTAACAGATAACATCTTGAGCCCCATTATTAGAATATCTTTACAATTTACTGAAGATTATAGTGATTTTACCACATGCATTGCTTAAAACATATGTTTAGTAACTGTGCAGTGGTCTTCTTAAAATAGATTTCGTCAGTGCTATGAAATCTCTGTATGAGTTAATACTTTATTAATAGACTGGAAAATAGTCAATCTACATTTAAGCAATTATTAAAAATGTGTATAGGGATGCATATATATATATATTTCTAATAGCTTTATTATTTATAACACTTTTATATTCCTCATTAAACTAAATGGTTTCACCAGACTAAAACCCTCTCTTCCACTCTTGTTGACAAATTAATTCTGATTATATGTTAGTCAAAATGTAAAATTTACCATCATATAGAAATACTAAAATTATAATAAGATATCAAATATTAAGTTGAAAAAAGAAAATCACAAGACCTTTCTTACTATTATTAAACAAATTCTCTAAGAACAACTGATATTACACCAGAGGAGTACAAAAATTCTTATCACCATTTTGAAGAATTTAAGGTTATGAACTAGCTATATATTAAAGAGTTTTATTGTGTTATAAATAGGATAAGGTAATAATAAACCTTTTCCCTTACAATTGCTCTAAGATTGTAAGACATTTGTGATACGTATTTGACGTTAGTCTTTGAACATTATATTCGTGTAGAGTTTAGGTAGGAGATAAGAAATTACGAAATGACTGTAACGTGACACCCATTTATGACACAGAATATATTTTTTTTATAAGTATAAAAATATATCTATTTTACTTTGTTTTAATATTTAAAGAGGCAAATATGTAATAACAAGAACATATTTTCTTATATCCAAATAATAGGAAATGCAAAATTAGACTTACAGAGGTTCCAATATGGACGTCAACCATGTTTTGAATGCATCAGGATTTTCTATAATCATTTTTACTATCAAATACAACAATCACAATTAAATATCCATGAAAACACAATATTTTATCACAAATCACAATTATAAAACGCTTATTTTAGGTTTATTTCGCAGTTTAATTCACAAGTGAGAACTTTCACGTCCAGCTTGCTTCAAGTTTGCTTTTTTTTAATTAGAGAACACAGAGCTTAAATTTTATTATACGTGTTTCATATAAAACTATAGACGCAAAATGTTTATGCCTCGTTTACTCACATTCTGTCTATGCTAATAATACGATTTGACGATTTACAATATTATTATTATTTATATTATTAGTAAATTGTGATCCTTTGTTTTATATACAAAAGTAACGTATTTTCATCTAATAAATGTCTAGCACTTCACTAAATAGCAAAACCCATCTCATTTATTTTCAACCAAACCAGAAATGTTGAAATAGAATGTCATTGTCTGTGAATATCTATTATATTACTAGATGTTGAACTGAATCTGTGAGAAGTTAAAAAAAGAGCAACTATAAAGTCAAGAAGTTTCTGAATGTTTATAGCATTTTTAAATATTTTGAGTGAAGTTGAAATTAGTGCCGATAACTTTGAAAATAATTGTATTAACAACGAGATAGATATTTTTAAACTATTTAAACATGGTAAGTTCGGCTCGCCATTATATTAAACAGTAAAACATTAGAAATGGCGGTAAAGTCAGGTTATGTTTTTACAGTCCCACACAATACTTTTGGTACAACCGGGGCTGAGACCTGAAACTAGGACATATTCTGATTACGAGAGCGTAAATGACTGTATGGAGGGTGTTTGCAAGATTTACGAAGAACATTTGAAGAGACGGAACCCGAATACTCCCACTATTACTTACGATATTTCGCAGCTCTTCGATTTTATTGATCAAGTAAGTGCAAATTGAATAACGTTTACCATCTCCCATCACAACACATAGACACTAGGCATGAACAATATTGCTTATACTTTTATTTTCGAATGTAAAGAGATTTTGTTTTACTGAACAAATTTAAACTTTTTATAATACTGTGTACAAAGATCCTGCTCTGATTATTTACATAATTTACTATGCTCTGTTTAAATTAAAGATGTTTGTTATGAGCATATCTGATAGATTTCAGAGCACTCTGACTAAACTCTAATATTTGCCTTGAACACTGCTTGGTAGATGGTCTAACAAGCTTAAGTAAACCATATAAAAGCTTTTTTATTATTAAAGTTTGCGTTTTCTCTTGCAGCTAGCAGATCTCAGTTGCCTAGTGTACCAAAAGTCTACAAATACTTACGCACCATACAATAAAGATTGGATTAAGGAAAAAATATATGTACTTTTACGTCAAGCAGCTGGTCAAAGTGATTGAGTTAAGATATAAATAGGCAAAATAGGTTTGTAACGCAACAACAAGAGATGCGGTGTGTATATAATTTATATTCATAAGTATTTCACATAAGCATTTAGTTGGTATCAAAATGCTTAGTTTTAATATAACCTTAAACAAATTTAACATTATAATTTTTTTATTACAAACCTATTATGCTGCCTTATATAAGTTAGTTAATTAGTTTTGTAAGGTATCAACAGAAGGATATGATTATTTTGTAACATAAAAAATTAAGGTATTTTCTTGAAATACAGTACAAATTTAAATAAAACACTTCAATGGTTTAAAACACGATATATATTAATAAAACTTATTTTAAGTACAGCCCGACGTTTTGGATGCATTGCAGTCCTGCTGCAAAGCATCCAAAACGTTGGGCCCTAGTTTTATTAATATATACCGTGTTTTAAACCATTAAGTGTTTTATTTAAAAGGTATTTTTCTGTTCAGAATATTTTGTGCACATAATATGCACCATGCAACTTTATATGCACTTTTTGTGTGCTGTACCTATATCTAAGTTAATATAACTATCAAAAACTTCTTTCACTAACACCCTATATAATCTTTTTTTACCAACAGTGTAAGCTCTTTATAATGAAGCTCAAGCAATCTTTTTCTATGTAGAGTTTATAGTAATAAACAAAGCACATCATCTTTTTCATTAAAGGTGTTCAGAATAAATGTTCATGTAAACTACAATAATTTTGTAATACAACAGATAAGCAGGAGTTTTTTGTATGGATCACTGTTTGCTTAAATTTAAGTACATATGTGATTAAAGAGTTAATTAAGGTTATAAAGTTTTATTTCAAAAGATTTTCCCCTTATCTATAAACCCAATACAATCTCATGAAAGCTAACAGTAAAAGACTTGAAAAATTTTAAATTCCAACAACTCGCAGTAGATATTATTGTAGGGGACTCTTTGGCTTATGTATATAGCAGATAACATCATATACAGTTTTCAAGGCATTGATAATCATCTATCTTTTTTTCGTAATTGGCGCCTGATTAAAATAAAACAAACCAAAGATTCAATAAAATTTAATAGAACAAAATTCTATGACATTGAATATTTACAAAAATTTGGTAATAATCTTATATTCTAAATTTATCATAGAAATCGTGAAAATACTTTATACCTAACAACAATACTCTGGAATTAATGAAAAACGTGTGTTGTATTTTAGATAATGCCACTTATACACCTACCATCTTATTTATAATCATGTTAACTCTTCTATACTTATTGTCTCTTTTCCTCACATTTAAATAAGATGCGTTAGAAAGAGACGACATTAAAACAACACAATTACTAATAAGGAGGTTAATATTTGCCATATTTAATTAGCCTAGTGTTACCATCTTTAAAACTATCACCAGTAGTGATGAGTGTTTCAACCAATAATTAATAAGAATTAACTGTTAAACGTTTGTTTCAAACGGGGTGAGCTATCTAAATAAATCCGTTTAAAAATGTGGTCAACTGACCTAGGAAACAGGATGTATTGTGTCAACTTTGTTTACAATTCTTAACGCCACAAAAAGTTTATGCATTTTGTTTTGCAAGCTTCATTTCTAATAGGTTATAAATTATCGAAATACAACAGGAAAAATTGCATTCGACGGACGCCAAATTATAAAAAAGATAATCATTAACCATTTAATAGATCCCACAACAGATTATAACCAATTTTCATGCCGGTTTACTTCCGATATTTTTCTTTACCGGAGAATTCATGTAACATTGTAAAAAAACAATTATTTTAAGTCGAATTCGAACTTCTAATGCGCAAATACCAGTAAATTTGATGATAAAATATAGCATTAGAAAAAATGGCGGCTCATTGCACATATTATGACGACGGTCAACCGTTTGTCGTGCTTTATTTAATTTCTTTACAGTTATAATATACTAAATAATAATAAGTTTACTGTTTATCTTAAAAGACAATTTTCCTAAATAGCATTGTTTGTTATCAAGATAAAAATATAATTGATCTGCCATTATAATACAAGTTCAGACAAACATGCATTACGCCCAATTGATTCTAAGCTGTTATTGTTTATGTAAATTAGCTTTAAACTACTTAAAACGAACTACCGCTATAAAACGCTAAAACTTAGTATAGTCTTAATTACACAGATCATAAATTTCTACTATATCTTAGGTAACGGTATATAAAAACAAATGATATGAAATAATTAGGCGACAAGTTATTTACACTGTTTCCAATAAAACGGAGTTTTTGAGCCCTGATCTTTGCAATCGAATTGATTTATATAAAAAATACAAATTGATGATTTACTTACAAGAAATACTATAGTTTTTAGAATTTGTAACTCCCTTCGCAGTGTTGCCATACATTCGGAATGTCAATTGTCAGATGCCAAATGCTGCAATAAGTTTGCACTAAGGAGGTATTACACCTCAAACAATTCCAAATTTATTCCGAGTAATCGCTGTCGGAATTCTTCTTTCTCTTAACTTTGGGGTGGACTTTATACAAATGTTTCTTCAAATCTTTGAGTTCTATGAACTTGGAGGAGCACAGTTTGCAGGGGAACTTGAAGTCTTCCGGGTCGCTGTGGAGACGCAACTCGTGGCGGTCGCGGATCGACTCTTGCATGAAACAGCGGTGGCAGGTCCTGCATTCGTAGGGCTTCGTGGCGTTGTGTGACTGAAATACAGCATAATAATTTAAATACATTTTATTGTTATAAGATTATTAAAAATTGTCATTATTTAGTGTCATGGTTTACTTAAAAAAAATATCTGCATTAAAATGATTTAGCAGATTCTTTACTAGTTAAGTTTCACTAGTAAAGTGATTGGTTAAGTATTATAAACCTATAAGAATAATATAAACATTATTTTAGTACTAATAAATTTAAGCAGTATATTCAATAGGGATAGTAACATAAAACTACTGGTTAAATATAATCAAATTAAAGTCGAAGTTAGTTAAACTATCACTTATTTTTAAGAATTCAAATACTTCCTGAAATTAATATAAATTTAGTTTCAGAGTTTCAAAGTATACTCACAACTTTCAGATGGCGCTTCAGGCTCGAGTTTGTCCCGAAACTTGAGTTACAAATGTCACATGTAAATGGTTTCTCATTACGGTGCGTACGTTCGTGAGCCTGTTAAGATATTTTAATAAGATTACAATGTTTAAGCATAAACCCCCTTTAACTCATAAAAAATCAAGTTCGATGGTGTAGTTTAAAAGTCACACATAATACGATCCATATAACTCTCTAAGAATCGAGTCTTTAAACTTCGTTATACCCAGTACCCACGTGTTTATAATCTGTGGCGATGAAAATGTCTTTGGTTGTATTTTTTTTAAATTAAATACATATAATGACATACAGAAGCTTTGAAAGTCCGATTTATAAAAGAGCGAGAGACGGTCCATACAACAAGAAATGTTTTTTTAGAAAGAAATACTGGCTTATTTCTGTTTAAAAAGTATTTAATGACTTGACGTATAAAATAAAAATAAAACTTACCGCAAGACTAAACGACTCAAAATACCCCTTCCCGCAGTACGTGCAACGGAACGTCGCACCGCGAAGCATTCGCTCGTGTGTTTTCATATGAATATTCAGCAGAGTGACCGAACCGAATTTCTTGGGGCATTGTGAGCACGCTTGAGTTTTCTCCTAATGATAAAATATTTAGTTATTTATATTTGGTTTACATGTTATTAGCACATGAGACCGTCTCCGTGGCTCAGTTGTAAAACGTGCTCTAATCTAATGGACACACGAACCAATCATCGTCGATCATGAAGCACTTTAAACGGTTTAAAACGCGAAATATACTTTTGTTAGCCATTTAGTGAATTGCCATGCAAATATTTATAAGAAATGATTAATTTGTAATATATACTATTATTGAAAAAAAATTTTGCAATTAGGCTATATAACGATATATAAACTTGGCTACAAATGATCTCCCATACATGTTGATGTTTAGTCCTTATTTCTAGAACTGGTCGTAACTCTCCACATATAGACATCAAGAGAAAATTTAATTTCCACGTCAAAAATGTACATATTATAATTATGACAGAGGACAAACCAGCGTGGTTATTTTGATGGAAGTATAAAAATAGTGCTGTCAAAACATTTTGGCGGGGCTGAAGTTAGCACGGATGGTTGCGCAGAACAAAAAATCAGGTATCAGTTGCGACAAGAGAAGTGCGCGGGTGCGGGGCGACTCGACTTTTTGCTTAAAATTGACAGTACCATGCGCAAGATGGCGGTCGCGCTAACTTCAACCCGGCTAAAAAGTTTACCATACCATACCATAGCCATTTTAACTCCAAACCTCCTAAATTACCTTATGTGTGTCACGGTGTTTAGCCAGTGAGTGGGCATGTTTGAATCTCTTGGGGCAATCGGGGCAATTGTAGGTGGACTCCTCGTGGGTGTTCATGTGCTGCTTCATCGCGAGCCAGCCTAGAACACTCTTGCCACAGATCTTGCAATTCCTCGAACGGGTCGGATGGAACCTGTGCAATATATAGTATCTAGCAGACAAATTGACAAGAGCAGTAAAAACTTATTAAACAGCTAGCTGTAAATCATTCCTTGATACATATTTTTTTGGTTACTTGAACCACCTTCGCAGCGCACGCATCGGAGTTTGTTTGTTTGAACACGTTAATCTCAGGAACTACTGGTATTTTAGTGACGGTTAGGATATTTATCGAGATTTTATGTCTATCCTTTATGATTTACTTGCAAAACCGACGAAGCGGAACTGACGTCGTGGGTACAGCTTAAATTAATATAGATGAGCAAGAGGTTTACAAAAAGAAATTTTGAGCTCGAAATTACAATTTCTACGCGGACCAAGTCGCGGCCACGGCTAGGTTTATAATCATATAATAAATCCAACCAAACGTTAAATAGGATATATTACTTTTGTCTATGGTTCTTCAAGCTGCTATAAGTGTTGAACTCTTTTTGACAAGTGGAACATTTGTTTGACCCCTCCTGCTCCTCCTTTACCGTGGTGTCAATCTGCTTCTTTATTTGAGTTCTGAAATACAAGCACAACTTTAAGCATTATACTCCAAACACCATTACTTATGTCATCGATCCCTTACAAGCTGAAGTTCAAATAAGTAAAATATGATGTCTCTCTGGTACAAACAATGTTATATATGGATTAAAAATACTAAAAATTTTAACTGGTAACATTAAATAACTAATGCCCTTAACTCAATTGACAATGTTTTTTTAATTTTATTTATTTGAGTGTGATGTTCCTATACTATTCCATTACCTATACCAATACTGTTGGTGTAGAAGGCTGGTTGCCATAGAAGACTAATTGTGATTAACACAGAATTGATAAAGACAAAAACAGACTTTATGGACAAACAAGAATTGCCTATGAAACTGTATATATTGTTTTTTTTTTAATGATAGCGGATCACAGACTTGACCCTAGCCTGTAGTATCTAAACAAGATGCGCAGTCGACCTATTTTGGCTTTGTATAGTCGGAAATCCACAGACTGCAACCGAAACGCGATTAAGCTTCACGGCTTTTTCGTGTTTTTCTACCACCCATTTAATATCTAGACTTCCCGACGAAATCCAGCAGGTTTCAGAAAAATTATAAATTGAACAATTAGAAACATGATGGACCTGGTGGGCATCGAACCCACGACCCATTAATCATTACATTGCTACCATTAGACCAATGAGACCGTGAGAGCCTTGTTCGATGTATTAATTATCAGACTCTTTCTGGGCCTTCTTCATGGGGCCAAGTTCTGATGGTTATTTATGTCTCCAATCTTACGTGTTTAATAAAGTTAAATGAAATACTGTCTATAGTTTACGCGAGTAGTACACATTTAAATAAAACACTAACTAATATATCGCGTTTTAAACCGTTAAAGTGTTTTATTTAAAAGTTAAATTAATGCAAAATAATAAATTGAACATCTCTTTGGTATACTCCAATAAATAAATAATGCAAAAACAAGTAAAGGTTTACCTCGCTTCTCTTTTCATCTGCTTCTTCATTTCCTTCTCCCTTTGCAGCTCAAATCTCTTCTCGTTAGTCAGACCGAAGGAATGCCACTTGATGTGAATCAAGTATCTCTTTGGATGATTAAAGTAAAGACTACAGTATGGGCACTCGAAGTAGGATTCAGATGTACCCCCTGAAAGAAAAGAGAACTTGAGAAAAAAGTTTACATCTTCATAAGAAACAGAAAAATGTAAAAAAAAAACTGAAAAAATAAAACATCCTTGTCTATATGTAATATCTACCCAACTACCTTCTAGTATAAAAGATATGTATGAAAGAATCATCTCTCTTAAATGATCTAAAAAACATTTTGCGACAGTATATGCCTATCTTTTAACATTAAGTTGCATAACGAGATCCGACCGAAGTCATAAAAAAATTGGGAGGTTTGCAAAAATAAATTTGGATGCCCAAAATAACTATTCTGCAGACGAAGTCGCTGACACAGCTAGTATTACTATACAAATACAAATATTATTTATTGTCACAAAACAAAAACAAAAAAAAATATATATATAAAAATTTATGGAAATTGAGGACAAACGGCGACTTTATAGCTAAATAGCTATCTCTTCCAAGCAACCGTGATAGAAATGAAAAATTCAGTAGTAAAAAAGGATTGCGTGACAGTAGAAAAGTCTTAACCTAAAACTAATAATAAACAATAATACAAAATGAGCTTAACCTAAAAATCATTAAATTACTCTCTTAACTATATTATAAAAAACTAAGTTACTTAATTAGGCATAAATAGTGGGACTTGACAAGATTCTTGAAGGAAGCGAGATTCTGGGCTTTTCTTATATTAGAAGGTAAATTTTTCCAAAGTTTTATAGCTCTGACATGAAAGGATAAATTATAGAATCTAGTTGAGTGAGAAGGAAAAGGAAAAGGCCTTAATCTCCGGTCAGGCTTTCGTCTGACCGGAGATTAAGGCCTTTATCGGAGAGGAACTCAAATTTTTCTTTCAGGTAAGTTGGAGTCTTAGGATCGAAGAGTATTTGGAAAAGAAGAGTAGATTCCTGCGTAAACGAATAGGGACCCAGTTGAGGGCGGAGCGAAATTTAGAAACATGGTCAAATTTACGAAGGCCAAACACAAATCTAATTGCCATGTTTTGTAGACGTTCCAATTTATCAAGTTGAATAGTCGAGAGGTTGGAAAAACACACGTCAGCATAATCAAGAGAAGGGAGGAGAAGGGATTGAGCGAGGGCAATTCTGGTGGGAATGGGGAAGAAGTTACGAACACGTCGCAAACTGGAGGCCGTAGCAAACATTTTCCGGCTTATTTCGTTTAATTGTGGGTGCCAGGATAAGGTGACATCTACATGCAACCCAAGATCTTTGACGGATTTACTGTAGGGAAGAGAAAATCCATCGACAACAATGGGAGGCAGTTGTCCAGTTGATCCGATTAACAAGGCTGGGGCTACCGATTATAATTGACTGTATTTTTATCGGATGTATTTATTACTATTTATGAGACTAAAGAAATCTGATTAGAAATAAATTGAATATTTCGTAATATGTATTGTGATATAAATAGCATTCAATATTTCAGTAATTATATACAGTTAATTTTCTGATGAAAACCATTTTGGATAGGCAGAGTCCGAACCCGCGGTAGCAGTTGTTCCGCACTAATAAACTGCCCGCCTGAGTTAGCAGAGCAACGATATGGAACACGACACACGAAACGTGCAGCAACCAAATGTCGCGGTTTCGAGTCCCGCCTGTGTCGTATTTCATATTATGTTTAAATAGGTTTAAGTTTTACAGTTACAGACTTATTGAAATATATAATTTCATAAATAGGGGAAATCAAAAAAACTGCTCTATTACTTAAGGTTGCCACCCAAGTTCAATGGTATTGTTTCCTAGCAATGCATAAAGCAAGAGGGGTCCTGGGTTTCTATCCCAGGGTAACAATTAATTGTTTCAGTCAGGCTGGACATTGTAAATGAAGTCAAGATTTTAAAAGAATCCAGTGAAACGGATGCAAGTTTGCATACCTCCAACCCCATACAGCCCTAAATGGGGTTTCACACACAAACTTATATACATCTATAAAAACAAGCAGCAACTTTATACATACCCGATTTAATCAACTCTTTTGCAACAGTGATAGAATTCTCCGAATCATACACGTGATATCTAAACACATCTTCACTTTGGAGACCAAATGGATCCCTTTGAAATGGATTCACCACCTCCATTGATAAATTCTCAACTTTTATTTCAACAGAATTGCAGGGTGCCTCTTCTTCTACCTTCTCAATTTTCACTCGTTCCACTTGAACATTTTTGGGTACTGGATCTTTTACACGTATCGTAGGTTTCGGCTTTGTCACAGGTACTTCAGGAGATTGTTCACTATCAATATCAGCTGGTTCAACTTTGTTAGGTTTAATTTCTTTTATGTCTTCAACCAAAGTCCTACTATATTCAGTGTTTTTTGAGGTATCTGTTTCATTTTGCCTCCTTGTATTAGTACTATTAATGATGCTTATTTCTAGCATCTTCAGTGTCTTTTCTAAACTTCTTTTACGAGAATCTGAATCTTTAAAAGTCCTAATACTGAAACTGTTATCATAATTTGTATTGTCGTTAGTTTTCTCAACAAGTTCTTTGACAGTATCACTTTCCCTGGTGTAAGTTTGTTTTGGAGGCTCATCTGATGCTGTTCCTGTAGTCTTTTCACTATCTAAATAATCTTGACTTAAACAATTGGCTATAGGCTTTGAACTTTTGCTCACATCATTTTCACTGCTTACTCTAACACTTAAATCTGTATTACTTTCCAAATACTGCTTCAGTTGTTGTGTTTGATGTTTGTCTACATTTTCATCTAAATTTTTGCTTGCAGGTCTATTTTGTTCATTGAAAAATATTTCGTTGTTTTGCGCGTGATTGTTTGGAATTACTATTTTGTATTTTTGAGGGATCTGTGGTACATTTAACAAAGTGGCCTCGTTTTGATAGGGTTTCTTATCAAAGGGTGCAGAGAACGGACCATTCTGCATGTTCAAGTTTATTGGTAAACCACTAGGCTGCCAGGGCAGCGATTGCGTTATGCTTTGAGGAACTGGCTGAAAGTTGGGGTACTGGCTCATACCTGAGTTCAAGTTCAAACCGTAAGAATACTCTGGCACACTGAATCCTGGATTCATAGGTTGAGGCATCTGATGTGAAGCTTTTCCTAGATTATTATGTGTACTTGGATTCATTTGCTCAGACGTCAAATTCGTGTCACCCATTGATACATCGTTTGGTTGAAATTGATTGTTATTATGCAACATATTGACGAACACTCACTGTACGGTTTAATTCATGCCAATTGGTCTATCGCAAAAATTAACAGAATATACAATTTTATATACAAATAACATTTTGAAATGAAAATAATACAACTTTGTAAAAATAACAACCTTCGACGAAGGTTGAAGCTAAATCATAGACAAAACGATTTCACAGTCCACCACAGACATACAACAAAAATGGGCACAGACTCAACTTTGCCACAGAGTAAATGTATTTGTTTCTATCCATGTATACCAAATGTGAATCCTATTATTTACATCAGTAGAATATCGTATTTCATTCCTATACTCTATGTATTTGTGTTACATCTGTGAATACTGAAACAGTGATCACTCTCAAATTTGCGAAGGATGTCATTATGTGTGTTGTGTTTATTGAAAATGTATTTTAAATTCCCGTTCAATTAGTTTCAATGAGCGCGTTGAATAGTGAAGTCCTCGTGTAGTTTGCAAACCGTTTTAAAATGAAGTAAAGTTTTATTAGTGTTTACAAAGGCAGGATACAAAAATGGCGTTGAGCGCTTTAGCGGAAGAGTACTTCAGTACAATGAACCCGATAGCTGCAAAAATACACGAAGATATTGTGGAAACGCGGAATTGTTACGAAAATATCTGGGAAACACTATCTCACAAGGAAAAGGTATTTTCAATACTGTTGTGTTTGCGCATGTTTCATACAATAGACGAATATCATCAAGGAAAATTTCAATTATTTTTTTTCATTTTAAAAACTACTCTAAATTAATTTTTATTATTCTACTATCTAATCTAATTCATAAACATAATAATAATAAGTATAGTCCCTATTCTTCAATATTTCTCATTTACGAATTTTAAAACGATATAAATTAATCTCATATTTTTAACAATACTTATTAGATAATTAGAAAGTAAGTAATGTACATTAATGAGTATTTAATAATTTCCTCAACAATTATAGATGTGTGCAAGTATAATTTATACAGTTATTAGGTAATTATCCTCATGTAAAAGTTCTAAGTTACCTTTTTAAATAGAAAACAATAATTATTCATAATTAGTATGTAGCATCCCTGAATATATGTCTCAGTAGTTTAAACATTTTTAACATCCCTTTCCTGAATGTAATTGTTACACACAGAGTATTGGAACTACTAGTACTGCTTTGTCAGTGTTTACTTAGGTCTTTTAAAAGGTCCAATAATAATAATGAAATAATAGTTAACTACTACAAATAAAATAATAGTAATATTCCTAAAAATGAGCCTATAAGTTTATATATACAAAAACCAATTTAAATTGTTTATTAATTCAAAAGCTGGTGAAATGTAGCAAATGACTCTTAAAATGCATGTAGGCAGACAAAAGACAACACTAATTTCTTGCGGCATAAGTAATACTGTCTGTAAATAAATGAGTATGTTACAATGTCAAATTTTAACAGAGACCACAGTATAATTACATTGTATACATTTTTATAATTAAAGTTCTAATGTGGAAACATTTTCACCAATTCATGTATAAGGCAGACATAAGTATGTACCTTTCTCATATAAGATGTCATGAAACTAAATGAAGGCCACTTTTTTTTAAACTAACTGCATCCATAGCTCAATATTTAACGGAGTAACCTAAGCATATGAAGCCCTGGATTCAAATCCTAGGTAAAGTACAATATAATGGATACATAATGTTGCTTGTCCCACACATCATAGGGAGAGATGAGATTTCACACTTTTATATAATTAAAATTATACTTTCAGGCAGAAATAATTAATGAGTCGATTATAAAACCAGACATTGCACTCAAATATGCCCTCTTGGATACATTAGATTTTGACTTGAACAACCCACCTGTACACAAAGATGATTTGATGTCCTTCTTTGGCCGAGAGCAGGGACAAAAAGTAATTCAAGATGAGAATGGATCATACAAGGATGAATACTCAGCTCCGTTTCTATATCAGACTAAGAGCCAGCTAAATTTATGCATCTTAAGTGGGAGTCGGAAGTCTAAGGAAGTTCCGGCATCACCACCACCCATATTATCAGAATTGGCCTTGTCTCATTCAAAAGTGGTGAATGAATTAAAGAATGCATTGAAATCTCACGACGCAACTAGATATAAAGATTCCAATAGAGATGTTGTATCGCCTACTAGCTTTATTACAAAGTTTATGGGTAATTTCAAGGGTAAGGATGAAGAAAAGCAATGTCTGGTGTCAACACATCAGGGACAAATTGTCGCATCATCTGATAACTTCTTCAGAACGAGTTATAAGAGTCCACAGAATGATAAGTTTGAGAAGGACTATCGGAGCAGTATTGCCAAGTCGAGTAGTGGTGAGTATTTAACAGATAGGACATTAAATAAAATACTGCTAACGGTTTTAACGACATGTATTAATTAATTGATTGAACTATGACAAATATTTTACTCATGACGTTGAAAAAATATATATATATATTCGAAATGTATGCCACTGGTGTTAAATAAGGCATTTGTTAAGCAGAATAGAGCTATTTGCCTTATGAAGTCACATAATGTACCTTTATCTAATTAACAAATGAGTTATTGAATAAACAATGATAGCATAGACTGGTGAATCATGCTCAGAACAATGGGAGTCCTTAAATGGCTTGTCTCATCATTAAGGTAATATATTCAAGTGGATATCTTAGTTGGGATGACTACATTGTCAGAAGCGATGTAGGTGGTGGTTTATGACTCACTAGTTGTACCCGCGACTTCGTCCGCGTAGAATAGTTATTTTGGGCATCAAAATGTATTTTTGCAAACCTCACTCTTGTTACCCAAGACGTAGTCCGCATGTCGTCGTTGCATGTTGTTCATAAAAGATAGACATGCTGCCGTGCCGCGTTCAAACAAACGAACAAATTCCTCAGCTTTACAAGTACATAGACTAATAAGAAATGCTTATATGCCGTACCCAAAAATAAAAATGACACCTCTTTATTACAAGGACTTTCCTGTCTATTTGATTTGTGTGTTTCTTTTTCAATTACTGAAATACTAGAAAGACGTTATCGATTTTTTTAAATACCTCCTGCTGTTTACATAGTTAATAGTTCAGAACCATTTCAAGCAAGAAGTATTGAAAAATGGATCCAAAAGCCTTCATGATATATGTATATAAGATATCTGTAAGTCCTAATGCAAAATAAAATGTTTCCAGACATTTCTGAGGAGAACCGTGGCCTCCTCTCCAGCCAAACATCGTCAGGCACAGACTTCCACTCAACAGAGACTCTCACCGAATCAGCAATGCCAAAAACTGGTTTCGATTTTTTGGACAACTGGTAATTTTGGAGTACGACCTGAAATATATGGATAGTCTATACATACATTGAATTTTTTGTAGTTTGACCCTACAAATGAAATATTATACTACTGTTATATAACATTAGAACTCAAATACCTTTTCTTATGAAAGAGGAACGCCCATTTTATGCCACAAATGAGTGAATAAAAATACTGAAATGATAATTACCAAATGTATAATATGCGTATTCAGATAGTATCTAGACACCATGACTCCTTTTTTTCTACTGTATTATTGTAAGATCTCATATTGTAATCAAGATAGAATTATTGAGTAGTAAGACTGTATGTTGTCTTTTTTTATATATATATGTTTATATTATTGGACAAATTGAGTCAGTTCGTCTCATTACAATTTATATTATATGTTATTACACTAATACATATGGATATTAATATATAAATAACTACCAAAATATATACTATTTAAATTTACATATATAACACTAGCAGTCCTATATGAAATGTATGTAGACATGATTTGTGTCTGTAGTTTACGCGTGCACATAAGTAAAACATAACGGTTTAAGCAAAAATATTTTTTATTTGAGACAGCAATAGGTCAGTTTATCAGCTGAACACTTCACCAAGTTGAATATTTTCTCAATGCCTTGTATTGTTTGATATAGATTTTAAGTTACACATTTTACATGGAAGATTTAATATCGAGGTGCTTCTATATAAGAATCTCAAGATGTACAGTTCTCTTCAAACTATTTGGACTGAAGTTAGCACGACCCTTATCTTGCGCATGGTATAAGTAGCGGCACGGATCTTTAGCTCTGAACGAAGGTATATAAGATGTCTTTCTCGGACCAATACGACGCATCGCTTGCTTCTCGAGTACAGTTAGGTTTTCCAATCAATTACGTGCGCGATTGTAAAGATGGGCAACTATCCCCTCTACTCTTTCGTTCAGCGCTAAACATCCGTGCCGCGACAATCAATCAAAGGAATTCAAATCCTTATTGTTCTTAAAAAAAAAAAATTGTATGAGATTTTTACATCTTTTTTTTATTTACCAAATGGTATTATATAGTCTAATTTTCGCTCTCAATTGCATTTATCTTGTACGCTTATTTATGTTTAGCGAGTTAATAAACGAATGTAATAAATACATGTTTTATTTTATAAATTGTATAGACTGTAGAATAACAAACAAACTTGATTCTTATTTGAATAAAACACTTGTAACTGTTTAAAACGCGAAATACAATAACAGTACATCCATAACTACAAAGCAAGCAAAACGTCGGGTTATATTAATTATTAGCTAACATATTTCGCGTAATAAACTGTTAAAAAAATTCTTACTAACGAAATTTTATTTCGTCCCTAAGAGGTTTTGCTTACAACGAAATCGTCAAACATATCAATAGCCGGAAATGATCATGCCCTTTTCTACTTGAGCAGATTTTTCTTTTCCAGCCAATAATTCAATGAGGGTCAAGCCAAACCAGTATGCTGTACCTGGGCCCTGAAAATTCATGAAAGGTAAATAATTTTTGAATCCGTCAGATAAGATTGAAAGCAAAGCACAAAAGTGAAGTAGGGCATATTAAATATCTGGTGTTGTAGCTGCCTTGTTAGGCTAGCTGCAGTCAACTGTAGATTACAAAGTCGAGACGAAATATTGGGCTAGGCTTCAAGCCCTGAGTTTAGGTATAGGTGCCATCTCTTCTTGCCTGAAGCATTTTAATGAGACCCATTAACCTGGCTACCATTACTAATAAAGTGGAGAGACATAAACCTTCCTAAGGCACACCAGAGAAGAGTTGTCAGTCTACATCATAAATGGCTTAACCCTTTTTCGTATAGGAGGATATTGTCAGTCTCTTTCATTCATTCTTTTTTCTTTATAAACCTATTATTATCAAGAGAACATCCCCATAATAATAGAAATGTTATGCTAGTTGGAAATACTTACTCTGCTTGTCACAATGTTGCCATCAACAACGACGCGTTCTCCCTCTATGTATGTGTAATCTTCAGTGATTTTATCTTTGGTTGTTGGATAAGATGTTATTTTCTTTCCCTTGGCTATACCATGGGCTACAAAGGCTGTTGGTGCTGTAATAAAGTGGTAAATTGATGTTATTTTTAAGTATAGAGGAGGACAGACAAGTGTCGGGTTCAATTGATGGTATGTGAAATACCTTATATCAACAAGGTGCACTTTTGACCCATTTTGGTTTTGGATATTCGGAAATTCACAGACTCAAACCAAAACGCGATTAAACTTTTTGGTGTGTCGTCTAGTCATTTTTAAAAACTTATCTGTTTTAATAACATTCACTGTTTTTATCAGACCGATGACGAGAGCTAATTACTAAGATTCTACCTGCACAGATTGCTGCAACAATTTTTCCAGACTTCTCATGCTCCTTTAGCAGAGTTCCAACTGCTTCAGATTTGGATAGCCGTTCTGATCCTTCTAAGCCTCCAGGAAGAATTACCTAAATCATGAAAAATGTTTATAATAGACTTGCAACGAATAGTATATTCGGCAGTATACCGAATACCGAATATTCGGCGAGACCCCTGACCGAATAGTCGAATATTAGGCAAAAGTATTCGGCTGGATTTTTGCTCCCAAAACTTTACAGAGTATTGTTTCGCGCTACTTCGTTTTGTTCTAACGTACTCGTTATTATTATGTACCAATTACTACTATTATAGTATTATGTACCAATGACTACTTATATGATTATAACAGAAATAAAAATATAATATATAGTAAGAACGATTTTAATTTTTCATTTTACCAATTATTTCTCTATACAAAATAATTATTAGTATTCGTTATTCAATAATATAATATGTATGGCCGAATATAATAAAAGCAGCCGAATAGGCCGAATACCGAATAGTAACCGAATATTCGTTGCAAGTCTAGTTTATAATAAAAAAAGGAATAAAAAATAAATTTTATTGACTTGATCTTTTGAATACTTACACAGACACTTTTGCGTTTGATAATTAAGAAATATATGAATGTTTGACTATGCAAGAAAATATTTAAATAAATACTGTCTATAGTTTACGTGAATAGTAGACATTTAAATGTGTCTGTAGTCTGATCATATACTTACAGCATCAAATTGAGGATTATCAGCAAGGGCATCAGACAAAGATTTATCAGGCACTAATGTCACTTGTCTGGAGCACAATACCGGTGCATCTCCGTCTAGACCGGCTAGCGTAACTGTCACCTAATTAAGTTGCATATTAATAATAATTTTGCAACAAGAATAGAAATAATAAATTTAGTAACTAAAGTCCCAACTTACACCACCCCTTCTTAACATATCAACAGTAATAACTGTTTCCATTTCTTCTGACCCTTGAGCAAGAATTACTAACGCAGACTTGGACATTTTAGAAGAAAGATTCCTGTAAAATATATGAATAAGAATAAAGATCTTAGCAAAGTGTCGTGTATATTGATAATAATAACAATTTTACCGGACTTTTATCTCTTTTAGTAAATTAGATGTCTTAAAAATCGAGTTATGAATTAGAAAGGCTTTATTCGAGAAAATTCTGCGAGCCGCGAAAATAAACATAAAGATTTCGAATTTTAAGTTTACCTTTTTTAATTATAACAATATATTATTCATGTTGTAATTCATAGACTACAGAAAAGGTCAAGATAAAGTCGAAAAATTACTAATGTCATTCAAAGGTCATCTGTATATTATACCTTTTGTAGTTTTTTCCTATTAAATTTATTTTAATAATATGTGGTGTAAGATGGAAGTTTAAAACATTGTTTTTAAATCCTTTATAATCGCTTTATTATTTTTTAGAAATGGTAACTCGTGCAGTATATTTCGATTGATATTTGACAATGTTCGGTTTGTCTATGATAAACCTTTCTGTTTTACTGATTAACGTCATTGAAACAAAAAAAATCTTTTCAACTTTTCGTTTTATTCCTTTTAATAATCTTGACCTTTACGCATGAATCATGTAATTTTTTATACATTTACGATTGCTTGTATTTTTCCTAAGCTCATAAGTGTAGCATTAAATAAGCAACTAGAAGTTAAACAATGAGGTTAGAATTTGTACGTTATGAAAATAACTGATTTTTTGTGACTAGTTTTTGTGAATATAGAATGGATTATGTGAAAATTGAGGACCATGTTTTGTTAGACCAAGAAAATTATAAAGCCTACATGGAGAACGTAAGTTAATATGCATTTGTTGTAAATGTTTTTGCGGAAAAAATTAAAAATTGCACATAGTTTCCATGGCAACAGATTTTGCAGACCTTAATATCTCTTATCAATGAAGATAAGAAAATTGTCTGATATCTAGAACAGCTGTATCCAGGCACTCTAATCTAAAATTTTCCTTTCAATCACAATGTTTTGTATCGTAATATACATATTTATTTTAATTACAACTCCCACATTTTGAAAGTACAAAGTACAGTTGAAAATATTGTATTAAGCAAAAAATATACTTTTTATTTCAGCTTCAAAAGTCTCATCAAGTCGACAGTATGGACTACCAGCACAATATAACTTTGGAGCAAATCCAGATGGCAATGCAATCTTCCTTGAATCCCAATAGCCTTGTACATAATTTCCAACTTCCGTTATCTCCACGACAGATGTCCACTCTGATGCTCAAAACTAACCATCTAACAAGGACACTTAACTTTCATGAAATACCAGCTCATCTGCAGAAAAATGAACTAGAGCTAATGAATGAACTTAGGCATGAAGAATTAATAAACCAAAATATTAACAGAAATTTGGAGCTATGCAGGAGTGATTTGGTGCAAAATTTAAATAGAAACGATTTAGCACAGAACCTCAATAGAAATATAGAATTAGCTAGAAATGACCTTGCCCAGAATTACAATTGATATATCGAAACGATATTCAAATCCTCAATAGAAATGTAGACATAAGAAGTGATGTGACACGAAATCTTGAAATAGTGCAAAACATTAATAGAAACGATTTAGTTAGGAGTGAGGTAGAAATGCAAACGAATTTACCTATAGATGATATTAATGATAATATAAATAAGAATCTTGGAATAGATAATCAGATTTTAAGAGAAGAATATGAGTTTGAAACGCATATGAATAGAATAGAGAATAAATCAATGTCAAATCAAGAAGAGTTACGAGGACCTATACAATATGATAGTCAGCTACTGAAACAGCATCTGGATAGATTTGACTTCTCAGTGAATCAGAAAATTGATCAAATTTTAGCACAGAGGTTTGAAACATTAGGCCAAAGGTTAGATCCAAGATTGGTGAACGGTTTGGAGCAAAGAGTTGAGCAGAGTGAATTACCAATGCCTTTTTATATCAAGCCAGAGCAAGAGGAAGACTCTATGGTGTTTTATGATAATGTAAATCAAGGCCTTAATGTTAATGGTAAGTTTATATTATTTACATATATCTAAGCATCTACTTTCCATCTTTTAGATATTTCTAGCTGTTTTTGCATCTTAATCTGTGTGCAATATCATTATGTTGGGCATCATATTGTGCCCCGTCCTTCTTGTGAGTAATTTTAAAAGATATTTAAAATGTTGAATCTAATCTAGAAAACATCTTGTGTAAGACTTAAATATTTAAAACATAAGACATAGCAGATTATATGGAATTATTTTGCGTTAAAGCAAAATAATCCGAAAAAAGTATCTGTCTGAAGTAGCAAAGTCTGAATATAGTATACATTTTTTAAATGAAAACAATTTTATTATATATGCACTATGCAGTTATTGGTGTGTGATATTTAGAAATTTAAATGTTTTGTTGCTCGTGACCTGTTTTACATGTTTTTTAATTGTACATGTTTGAAGGTCATTCTTTATAGTGACCATTTCACACCTGAAATAATGAATTTTTTAATCAACAAAGACTTTATTTTAACTCTTATCAAAATTAGTGTATAATCCAACAAGTATTTTTTTCTTATACAACAATATGTCATTTATCTTCATGTGTGTCATGTTTCGTAGCGAATAAATGTTCTAACCAAAACAAAATTGTTCAATTCGAACTAGTAGTTTCTGAGATTAGCGCGTTCAAACAAACAAAACTCTTCAGCTTTATATTATATTAGTATAGATTAAATAATACGATTATCATAGTTATAGCAGGCTATGCAATTGAAGCTCCATGTTTCCAGTCAATAATAACCCATGGTTAAGTTTTACCTTCGTTCGTGCCAAAAGTAATATAAATTGACGCGCCTAAAATAACGTGGATTCGCTTTTTTAGCGCGCCTGCGCAGTCGCTAACGCCTATCGCGGTTTGTCGATACTGTTGTAAGTTTTTCATCTAGTGATACAATAACAAGTGGAGTGTTAAGTTTTTCTCGATAATAAGCTTTGCGCTGGTAGTTTTAATTAATTAGTTAGTTTTATAGTCTGTGAGTTTATATTGTAATATTTGAATCTGTTGATTTGTGAAAACAATAATAGTAAATAGTCGAACATTTAGAATGAAAATTAAACACTGAAGTGAGCATATTTTGTTTTACTTGGAAGTGGAATACCTAGACAATATTGCCCGAGATGCGTCGTCGACCTATTTTTTATTTTGACTTTCGTGACTTGTACATAATGTTGTTATTTAATTTGACTTTAGCAACTACTGACATTGTTCGTGGTTTTCGGTGTTAAGAACCGTGAATTATCTACAGCGCCAGGGTCGACCTGAAAATCATTGTAGCGTTTTCTTCACTAGGTACTTTGTTGAAGGCTGGCCCCCTCTTGCTAATGTAATTTGTGAATATTAAGGCTATGTAAATTCTGTTTTCTCATTTCTAATATACCAAATTCGAGAAAAAACATACTATGTATGTAAAAATTGCGTCTTGTTTTCTTTTCTTGTAACGTCTTTTAAAAACCGCTCCGCACCGCAGGGGCCTAAATCCACTGATTTTTAAATGCAGTCATAATTCGCGATTTTAGGAACCAGTCTGCCCCTGTGACCTTTCTATTTTGACATTATCAACTTTTATAGCAGAATTTGTTTATCTCAATTCACGATGCAAATTATCTAACCGCCTTTGATTTATGTCTAGAGGGAGATTTTAATTTTTCGTCGTTCATATCACGACATACAAAACATTTAAGGAAGGAATATTACTTTTAAATAAAACACTTTAAGGTTTAAAAGCATATATATTACTTATTTGAAATCTTCGTCCGGGGGGGGGGGGGGGGGGGGGGGGGGCGGCGGGGGGGGGGGAGGGGGGGGGGGGGGAGAGGAATAATATGTCAAAATATTGAAAAACTTTTGTACCTGCAATACTGATCTATCGATATACTATATTTATAAAGCAGAAGTTTGTTTATTTGTTTGAACGCGCTAATCTCAGGAACTACTTGGTTCGAATTCGAAAATTCCTTTTGTGTTGGTTAGAGCACTTATTGAGGAAGGCTATAAAACATACGCTAGTCACAGCGTAGGAGCGAAGAAACAGCGGGAAATGTCGAAAAACGGAGAAAATTATTCTTCCTTTTGGGTTCCAAGAATTATTCCTCTTTAAATGGTCTAAAAACAGTCCCCGACAGTATTTGTCTATCTTTTATGATTAACTTGCAAGAACAACGGGACCCGGACGACGTCGTGGGTTACAGCTCAAATTTATAGAGTTGAACAGGGGGTTTGCAAAAACAAAAAATCGATCTCCAAAATAATTATGCTACACGTACGAAGTCGCGTGACTTAGCTAGTCTTTAATAACTATGTTTGTAAAATAGGTTTTTATATCTCTGTATCATTCGAAATGTAATCTAATTTATTATTATTTCGTTTCAGGTGAAATACCACAGCAAGAATTACAATCAACATCCAATCTCCATCCGGACCATATCTACTCGGTCTACAACAACCTAGAACTATACCAACGCCCCCCGAATTACATTCAAAACTTCGTCAATAACGAAGTGGCCAGAGACGACCCGCAAAACTTAGTCGTTCACAGACAATATGACACTCCCAGTCCGTATGATGACGAGCTCAAAAAGATACGGCAAGACGGCGGCGCCAAATACGAAATGGCGAAACACGAAGACCCAAAGGAAAATCTTAAACCCAACGAGAATAAGATCTTCTATTACGAGAAGAATGAAAATGATTCCAGTCTGAATAACAAAATTTCAGACGACCTATCAATGAATATAAAGGGGCAGTATAGCTGCTTTAAATGTAAGGAGGTGCTGCCGTCTAAACGAGTACTGAAACAACACGCCAAAAGCTGTGAAAACGGCCTAACCGTTGAGGAACTAGAGAAATTAGGGAAGTTCAGCTGCTCGCAGTGCGCCTACAGGTGCCAATCGCCGGCCATTTTGAAAATACACGAGCGAACACATTCCGGGGAAAAACCTTACGCTTGCACCTTCTGCGACTACAAATCGGGGCAGAAGAACAACGTCGCTAAGCACATTCTAGTCCACATGAAGCAGAAACCGTTTCGCTGTCAGTTCTGCGAATATCGCTGTGCGCAGAAAAACAATTTAGTGGTTCACGAACGGACGCACACCGGGTACAAACCGTTCGCCTGTCCGTTCTGTGAGTACCGGACCGTGCAGAAGCCGAATTTAGTCAAACATATGTACTTGCACACAGACCAAAAACCGTTCAGTTGCGACATGTGCAGTTATAGGTGTGTGCAGAAAACGAACCTCACGAAACACAAGCAGAGGCATATAAACGAGAAGGAAGGTGAGAAAATAGACATTAAGATACAAAACAAACCGTATCGTCCTAGACAGAAGTCAGTGAAATGTCCGTACTGTCCGTACAAATGTGTTCAAAAGTCTAGTTTAGAGAAACACTTGCTGTTCAAGCACGGTGAAGGGAAAAGTGTTATAAGTGACGGTAAAAGTGAGTTTAGTGCGGGGCAGAGTGATTTCAATTCGACTACTCCGAGTGATTATAGTGCGGGTCAAAGCGACTTTGACTCTGAGAAACGTGATTTTGGTAATCAGAGTGAGGAAATATGTGATACAATACAGAATTTAAGCGTTAAGAAAGGTTCTCAGTTTGATTGTGTTGATAAAATCGTCGAATCACTGCCAATTCAGTCGTAGTTTTTTATTTAGAGATATGTAAAAGTAAGACAGGAACACTATTTGAATGAGATAAAAATCAATAAAATGCATAAAGTCTAATAACATATATGGTTATGGTTTTGCCAAATCTTACAATGTTTTGTCCTGTCTTATCATTTCAGATGTTTTACTAATCATATGGTCTTAGGTCTGATTTGATTGTTTTTAAGAATATAAAAAAAAAACTAGCTATTGTTTGATACAAGAGATATCTAAAAAAATATGTAACCACAGTTCCTATTTACACAATAATAATCTCTTTTATTCAATAGATATTAGGAACTTAATTTAATTATACCTTTAGGTTTTTTTACTGCATACTACACTTATTTGACTTATATATATACCTATGTATAAATATTTATACTAGCATTAATAGTAATGTCAAAACCTATGTGAACTGTTGTTTAAATAGTTTTAAACATACGAATTATGACCAGAAATTTGCTCTATGAGTGATACAAAATACACAATAGGTACCGAAACACAACGAACATTTTTATATATATGTAAACAACGAAGGAGCTGCCTTGTGTTACAGCTAACAAGCAATTAGTATTTTCAAATCAGACCTAAAGCTATTAGTATACTATCATTTGTATATAATTTTGCTTGCTTGTTTTGTTTTGCAACATAGGATATTTAGGGATCTGTTTCAAATTAAGTTGAAACGAAGGGTAATTGAATTAAAAGAATGAAAGAATGAAGAAATAATGTGTTCAACTGAATTCAGTTTCATTATTTGAAGTCCACAACCAAATTTAAATGCACTCGAAACAAAACTGTGGTGGTAATTCTGCACTAAGTGACGTGAGAATTACAGCGTCGCGAATTATGTCAAATTCGAACTGGAGCGAAAGGTCTTCTTTCTTATATCACATTTTTAGAATCCCCTCCTCCATATTTATTTATTTTTATTACAGACTATATTGTTGCACTATTGCGCTTACTACTGTGTATTTAAGCTGTATTGTGTACTTAAAGTCTAGTCTTAGACGCTATTGTAATGTAACATGCAATGTAATTATAATAGCATTTGTTATAAGCCGTGTTACACTGTATGACTGACCTAAATAAAGACTTTTAATGGTTTAAAACACGAAATATAATTTAAACCATTAAAATTATTTTATTTTTACTTGTTTGTTAAAGCAATTCTCTCGCTGCATCTTACATTACTCTAGCAAATCTAAAATTAATAACGGTTCTGTGACGTCCTAATAATGAAATTAATTTTAGGTAGATGGTATCTCATAAAGTTAAGGATTTTTTGGGCCATCAAAGATGGCTTCGTTTCTAGCCATTTTATTATTACATAATTAGTTTTTGTAATAAACATTTTGACGGTTGGAACTATAATAATGATGTCTTTGTGTACTGCTGGGCCAATAACAGAAGTCAAACCATCCCTTCCATTATCAATGGTCAAATCTTAAATTACATTATCATGTTTGGTTTTATAAGTCCTTTTGTAAAAGTTTTCACATGTACTGCTATCCCTTATGTAAGATAAATTAAATAGAACTTTGGTCTGGGTTTCATTATAGAGCTAAAAAACTCTGAAGCGGAATTTAAGAATTTTGTTTTGCCTCAGAATATAAGGTTAAGAACAGACTTTGACCAGTACTATAGTGAGAATCGGGCTCACTGTGCTTTCTCCGTTCTACCCTCTACTTTTGATTTGGGAGGGTAGTTTTACCCGCTTGTTATGCTAAGAGGGAAGTGTACCGAATAATCAAAGCCATAATAGATCTACAGCGCACTCTGTGTGGATGTTTTATGGCTACCTCCCATCAAGTGGACCCCGAAGCTTCTCTGTCTCCAAAAAAAAAACCTTTGACTTCCAAACTCAGTGTAGACCAGCCTAATTTGCTAATTCATGCTTTAAAGCAATTATTCTTTGATATTACAGATTATAAATAAATATTCCGTTAATTAAGCGAGATTAGATGCGGTGACGTCACGTTGAAATCTGACATCGCAACAGTAATCTCTTACGAATTGTATAATTGATAAACCTAGGCTGTGATGTACTAGAATTTGTTACCCAGAGATTTGAAGTGTACCTTGATGCATCACAACTTATCCTAGTGATATTTTTGTGTTTTGTATGTTTTTTTTTGTAATTAAATGCCGCTTACCAAAGTAATTTGGTGTTTGATTTTGTTTTAATACACTGAGACACGCTGCGGAAACATTTTTGTGTCCGTTTCGCAGCTTATTTGATGGCTGTCTACACTTCATCACAATTACAGACATACAAATCCTACCTAAAAAAAAAAGAGAAATACAAAATACTCTTATAATTCTATACACGCTACTTACAGTCCATCAAACTATACTACTACACCTGGTTTGTTGTCTATGCATCGCCCGGGATTCAAACCCAGGCTTTTCATTTTACAAGGTAAGATTTTCAACTTAGTTACGAAGAGAATCGTAATTGCTTAGTTACATATATTTCGTAATACTTTGGTAACTAATGGTTTAAATAATACACTTTAACGGTTTAAAACGCGATATATATTATGGCGTTTTAAACCGTTAAAGTGTTTTATTTAAATGTGTGCTACTCACATAAACTACAGACAGTATTAATAAACTTTAATGGTTTATTTAAAGATAAGAATGATTCCTCTATATTGAAAGTAAAGCACATAAGTTACCTGTAGCGGGTTCGAGTCCGTTACAAAAAAATAAAATAAAATATGTTCATAAACAACTCGTGTACCTAATTAAAATGTCTCCGATACAATTTTAACCACAAACGGTACTCTCGAGATTGAAGATCAACTTTTGTACCACAACAATGGCCGATACATGCTCCGTATTAAAACCCGCCTACACATCGCCGAACAATGCTTATAGATAGAGCCTTTACATTACTGACCTACTGACATTTATTGACAAGTTTGTAGCGTAGTACATACTGGTAACTTAATGGAAAAAAATCTTTCGAGGATGATGCCTTTTTAGTGCAAATAAAGATATATTATATAGATCTGTAGTACGGGAGTAGAAGACATTTAAATAAAAAAACTTAGCGGTTTAAAATGCCAAAAATATTAGTACTCGAACTGCAAATATTTCAACCATGAGCCTTGTAGACAAACCATTTTTCCTGTCTGGACATGTTTTGTCGTGGAGCATGGCTAACATCTAATTAGGAATTTTTAAAAAACTAAACGAAACAAACAAACAAAAAATACTTTATTTTCACTACAATGTTACAAAATAAACTTAAATAAAAAGAAAACAAAATGTAGCGAGAAAAGGCGGCCTTATCGCTATAAAGCGATTTCTTCCGGGCAACCTTGAGAATGGAGATTTACAATAATACATGATAATAATAAGAGTAACACTACAGCTATAATAAGTTTATACAATACTAAGTATGTTTTCAAAGTTTGACTTAAAATGGTTTACATATATATATATTTAAATATGTTACTAAATAATATAATTAATCCTGAAGGAAAAGGTTTTTTATTTTGTATTTAAAGCTTGATAGTGACTGCGCTTTTCTAATCATAATAGGTAGGGAATTCCAGAGTCTAACAAACTAAACTACCACAGAAACTCAAACCAGTTTGGGTAGATCTGTGGGTATTTATTTCACAAGACACATACAGTATAACAAAATGTACACAATTACATGTTAGTTTAAAAACTGCTTAAAAACATATAATATGCCCAAATAATTTCAAAAGATTCAACAATCCAAATGAAGAAAGAAAGACTTGTGGAATGGTAGACTCCTACTATTAGGTGGTACCTTTTTTTTTAAACTGATGATGGTGTGAATGCCTTATGCACGCCCAGGTCGGGCAAGTGTGACGTGGGGAGAGTGGGAAATCGTATAGGCGACCAGAACCACTAACCACACCACCAGCCCTCTACGGTGCTTAGGGAGAGCCCACTATTAGGTGGTACCTAAGGGTGCCGGTTTCCAGTGACACCCTTTGGGGGGTAAGGAATGACTTCTTAGTCAATCCTTACCACTTAGAGGAACTACAAACGAGTATTAAATGTAAATAAAAATCCAAATTTCATAACACGTTATAATGTTTTGTCATATTTAATCTATGCCACAATTTCTATTCTCCCGTATTATATGGATGACTGGTCGCTAATCCAGGCACATGGTAATTGCCCTAAACAATAGTTATTTGCAAATGGCCCACTTTATACAATGAATCAGAGGATGACATTTTATGCTAACTGTACATCATATCTGATTTACACAATATGAGACAGATGTAACACACCTTTATAGGAGGTTACGTCTCAGGGGGTCCTATTTCGCCCGTTACAAATATTCGGTCACGATCATAATTATGCTAATATTGAGGCCGCTAGTGGCAGAGTAGCCTAACTGCAATTTTATGACTTGAGTTATTTATATTTTCATGGTCTAAAAATGTTAATCTACAAGAGCACAGTAACCATAAATTGTTATCATAATTCTTTCACAAATAATAGTAGGTAGGTACACATTCATTTTCGCCTCTTATAATTTCCATAATCAGGTTTGTAATTTAAACGAGTAGTTGAGAACAAAAATATTTAATGGTTTAAAACGAAAAATATATCCAAAACGAGTCGAGTCGCAGTTCAAAAATCTGATACTTATATTTCGCATTTAAATTATATGATTAGGACAAAATAAGTTGTATTTGTATGTAATACTGAGTGGTAGATTGAGGTTGGAATCTATCAAAGCGCGCTGAAAGTTCCTAGCTAAACAGATGTAACGTGTAAACGTGTTTTAGCAATTTTATCACCAGAAAATTATAATTCACAAAGTAACGTAAATAGGTTGAAATAATTAATTATGATAATAATAATCTGAAAGAAAAAACAAAACAATTGCCAATTTTATAAAATTACATAATGGTTTAACATGAGAAATGTTGTCAACAACTGCATAACATTACAAAAACATTTTCCGGTAAAGGCTTATTGAACTGATCCTTATCATGGCAAAGGATTACAAAATAATACCATCATTATACCATAAAAGAAACTCTTGAATCTAAGTTTTTGAATATATTCTACTATACACTGTCTGTAATTTACGCTTGAAGTACACATTTAATGAAAACACTTTAACGGTTTTAAACGCCATATATATTAGTTAAACTTGAAAATTATTTTAACTACGGCCCGACGTTTAGAATGCTTTACAGCAGGCACAGGGAAACCCGTTAATGTTACATTTAAATATATTCTATTGTTACCGTCTGTCACAATGTTTGGCGCGAATGGCAAAGCGACTATTCGCGCGACTTAGTGGCGGTCGCCGCTGTGCGTCGCTTGATATTTCAGTCGCTAGACACATAAGCGTTTGCATCAGCGAATTTCCCAATCCAATCCAAAAAATTGTTGTTAAAGACGGTATCTAAAACTTCCTTACTTCTTCCACCCACATTGAGGTGGTCCAAGCCGAGACCGATGACTCTTTTAGGGCACACTGGGTCTAGCCGCATGCACGGCGATACCAAACCGCCCAGCTACTTCTTGGTGGCCCCGGGCCAATGCAAAAGTCAATCCAAAACAAAGAAAAACCAATGTTTTAAAATTTCCACCACTATTATAATGACTTCTTAGAAAAATGTGAACTAATTACAAAATGTTAATGAGTACTAATGAATAGGCCTGTTTCTGATGCAAGACGCAATATATTTACATGTGACTGAAAGCCTCCTGAACGCAAACACGTGGTTGGTACGGTCAGCAAAATCACTAACGTTGGGTGAAAAACCCCTTTTAAAATGCTCCCTTTGTGAATTCTCAAGATATTAAACTTTACGAGTGATACATAAGAAGATACATTTTAACGGTTTAAAACCCGAAGTATATATGTAATTTATTTTATACCTAAAGGGTGAGTTAGTGCGCGGGCAGTGCGTTAAAAAGATCGCGTTTCAACCAATTAAAAATTGTATTATTTAAGACGAATAAGAGATACCTATGTCTTTTATTGTAGAGGCTATTAATGGTCATACTTTATTAAACAGACAGAAAAATATGTTAAAAATTGGCGTATATAATGTTTTTTTTTATTATCGTTGCTACCACTACAAAACACACCTCTGCGCATCGGCCTTTGCACATATTCGTATTATGGGTCAAAGTTACACTAACAGATAATATGATAATTTGGCGCGAAAATGGAACATTTGTTAAGGCGGCGATAATCAGTTGTCACCGGTTCAAAGCGGTTCTCCGAGTTAATATCTACTTAAGGCGGTTTTCTCTAAACTTTTTTATATAATTGTAATTTATTCCATATTTTTTCTAATTTTATTTACATTAATACTTGCGTGAAATAAATGGTATTTTACACAGATTATTATAAAATAAAACACTTAACATGCTGCAATCTACATACCTGACGACGTGTCAGAAACTTTTTTGTCTTTTAAACGGTTTAAACATTTTTTAACTATAGGCAGTACTTAATAATTTAAATGTTTTTGTTATTTTATATAATTTTAACTATGGATAGGTACATTTATGTTAAATACTGTCTGTAGTTCACGCGAGTAGTACACCTTTAAATGAAAGACTACCGATTTGCACCACGGCTGCTGCAAAGCATCTGTAACTTCGCGCGGTTGTTAAAATACATTGCAAACAAGTTTAACTAATATATTTCGCGCTTTAAACCGTCAGGTTTTTTATTTAAATTTATGTGTGTTGTATGATTGAACTACAATATCTTTTTAAGGCGATATTTAACATTTCGATATGTTTTGTTCATAGTGAAGTTAAATGGAGGTACAGTTTACCTTTCATAAAGGACTGTGCCTTAAATAAACATTTTTCAAATTTGTATGTCATAATTTACAGAGAAAATCTATGCATACATTTTCGATTAAGATAACGCTGTCTGACATTGGTGCGCATGCGCACAGGGTATTTGTTTAGAGGATTTATTGCTGAATAAATGGAAAATGCTCAATGATTTATATAATGCTAGCTGTGCCAGCGACTTCGTCCGTGTAGAATAGTTGTTTTGGGCGTCGAAATTTGTTTTTGCAAACGTCATTTTTATAAATTGTAACAGTTACCCACAACAACGGTCGTGTTTCGTCGTTTTTACAAGTTAAAAGATTTTTGATAATGTAAAGAAGAATTCTTTAGGTATCTACACAAAAACTCAATTCGAAGTTCATTCATTCAGTAGTTTCTGAGATCAGCGTGTTCAAACAAACAAACAAACTCTTCAGCTTTATAACAAGAGTGCAGATAAAGCTTTAGCTTACGCCGGTATTACACATTTAAATAAAACACTTTAACGGTTTAAAAGGTCTCCTCGTGACCACAGCTGCTGCAAAGCATAAAAATCGTCGGGTAGCAGTCAAAATACTTCGTAAATTAGTTTTACTATTTTTTTTGCGTTTTAAACAGTTAAAATGTTATATTTAAATGTAACATCCTATCCGCCCTTATTTACGAAGAACAGTTATAAGAAAGTAAAAAGATCCAACGTTTGACAATAGATGCATCTTCGGATGTGTCGTCTGACCCACATTGTGGTACATCAATACAGCTTGTGCGTTACAATTTAAAAAATAAACTGTAGTAAGATGAATCATTGCTCTTTTCGCATTCGAAGTGTTAAAACGTTTGTGATTTTTGAATTATCTCTCGCTAAAAATCATTATCGTCATAAATATCGATGATAAACTAACCGATTTCATAAGTGCGTTAAAAATAAAATATAGATTAAAAATAGATTAGCAACAGAGTACAGAATGTACAAAATTATCTTCGTAATTTCCTTAAAGTTGGTTATAGCAAATGTTTATTTGAGTCATGTTGACCATATGGAGTACTATAGAAATAGGACGCGGCCTTCGAAAGCGTTTAACAGTTTTTCCACGAGCTACTTCAACCAGAATTTGTTACCGAAACCTGGAAAGGAAAAAGTGCAATGTGGTACGAGAACAGTGGACTTCACGTTGAGGAGGGGGAAAATCGTTGGAGGTTCCGAAGCACCATATGGAGCTTTTCCTTGGCAGGCAAGTAACATAAAACCTTTTTTAAGAACAGTATTTAAAACCTAGAATCTTTAGAGACAATAATTTCTATATTACGTTTGGATTTAGAGTGACGAGTTTAATTATGAATTACGGGCTTATAATGGTAGCAATCTTCGAGCCCTAGAATGTTTAGAAATATTTACTGTTTTATGTGTGAATTTAGAATTGCATGATTAATTAAGTTTTATGTTTTATATTATTAAAATCGTCCATGTACCATAACTTCTGATAATAAAAAATATATATTTTTTATAATAATGCTTATGTAACGACTTCTTTTAAAACAACTGGCAATTAATGTTAGTTAAGTTCCTTACTACTACTTACTAAATATTATCACGATTTTAAATTTGTCCATAAAAAAATATTCTGAGGATAAGGAGGTAAAAGTTATGTCACATAATCTCGTTACGTAAAAAAACGCGCGAAAATTAACAAAAGCGCGCCAAATGATTTTGACAGATGACAGTCAGCCATGTTGCGTTAACGATGATTAAGTATTCCTTACTTTCACTTTAAAGTGGTTATTTGTTCTTATCAATGGAGCTGAGTCAACAAATGCTCGAATCCTTATGTAATTTTTGTTTTCATGACCCACTAACCTAAGTACTAAGTAATAGTTAGTGTTGAAAGATATGTCTCTCAACATTAACACACTTTGCATTATATATAGACTATGTTTTTATTTTATACATTCGTTCTTTTAAACCAACCACTTCTCTAGTGACAGTTATTTACTATGATTCTATTGGCGATACAAAGATTCGAACTAGCGCCTCAAGTGTCAAAATTTTGAAGCTGTTTTAGAACGACACTCTTCAATAAAATTTACGGCACGTAAAGGTTTATTTATTAAAATATGATTTATGTCTTACTTAGCTGGCTGTTACAATGTAACAACAATGTTTTCTCGAGTAATTGGATAGATTTTTTGAGATAAAGGTACTCTAACTGAACTTTTTGTAGAAAGTTGTCTGAGTCGGTCTGGTTCGGAATAAAATGTCGCACGCTTAGTATTACAGTGACCTAATTAAAAATAAAAACACTTTTTTGGCAAATCGTATAAAACTGATGATGGCGTTATTATAGTAATGTCAGTGCATTTATCTAATTTTACTAAAATTTTTGAGTTAGGTCACTCTAATACTAAGCGTGCGATGTATATCCTTTAAACTCTGGAATATTGAACACTATCTCTTTATCCGATAAAAATATGCTTTAGTATATTCTTGAAGTAGTCTCTCATTTCCTTGCTATAATTTTGTTATTGCAAACAAATTCCTGAATCGCAATATGTACTCCATTGCGAAACGCATTTAATATTGTTTCGATCTTTAGTAACCACAGATAAAAATCTGTATGTAATCTTAATCCATCTGATTGTTTAAAAATTACCTTAGCTTAAGGTAACTTCAAAGGAGTGCCTTCGGGTAACGAATATCGTAACAATTTCCCCATTTAGTATTAATTGTAATTATTTACTTTCTGTCACTGTCGTTTATAATATTGGTTTATTGTGTCTTTTGTTTTTAAATAAAACACTTTTAATGGTTTGAACGCAAAATGTATATGTAACGTTCAGCGCTCATACTAGAGACAATACTTTTCTTCACCTTTTTAATATAAGGATGTTCCACAATAATACTCGTTTCATCGTGCACTATATAATAAAACAAAACAGAATCATAATTTTCTTTTCACAATAAATCTTTAAATTCAAATAAAACACTTTAACGGTTTAAAACGCGATATATTAGTTAAAATTATTTGGAAATGATTTTTAACTCCGGCCCGACGTTTCGGATGCTTTGCAGCAGCCGTGGTCACGGGGAGACAATAAACCTCTTAATGCCAAAATACACATATTGTGCTTGACAAATCATCATTATAATGTTAATTCTAGGTAGAAATCCAAATGCTGGACCCAAATAAGCTGGTCTTCGATCACCACTGCGGGGGCGCTGTCATCGCCGAAAGACTCGTTCTTTCCGCTGCTCACTGTTTTGACAAGGTAAAAGTAAGCACATTCAATCGAATTCATTTAATTAATCAATTAAGCAAATTCCAACACATCACAACAGTTCGTGGGTTAGATCCCCAACGGACCCGATCAATTTATAAATTTTCTAAAACATGTTAACGTCAGAAAAACTTGATATTAAATCCGTGAAAGAAATATCGCAATTCCGTCTAAGCCATTAACCACTGTCCACAGATGAAAAAGCCCTTAATTATAATCACGCTTCACTTTTCGCACGCTGTAAAAATCCAAAATGGTCGACAGCGCATCGTGCTTAGATATTACATGCCTTATTTCACCCTTCATCGGATGAACTTGTTTATTACAAAGAAACTCTTTTTGTTTGCATATCAATTACTTGAATGTGTCGCAACATGATACTTTTAAAAAGAGTACTGCTTAGTTATGGGACATGAGGTGGACACAGTTTTGTGTCGGTTTCAAAAACACCTATTGATTGTTTCCCTGGGATTCGAATCTAGGACCTCTCGTAATTAACGCGATTCAACTTGTTTAAATATTAAGCTATTGCGACAGTACGATCTTGAGGGTATAACAAATCAGTCCGGAGTCCCAGCTGTGGGAACGATAATAATTGAAATATAACGATAAAGAATGTAAAGTTTAATGTATGTCTTGTATTTTAGCAACCATTGGAGTTAGAACACATTCGGCTGGTGGTCGGTGAGCACCGTCTGAAGATACAAGATAAGCATGAGAACAGATTCCTGGCGGAGAAGGTGGTTTCACATCCGGATTTTAGAAAAAGTATGTCGAATTTCGTTAATTATTTTTTAATAATAATAATGTTCAGTTTTTATTTCATTACTTTTAATTATATCGTTTACATAAGTAATACATAAGTAAGTATGTCTATAAGGATGTAAGGGTGAAGAATATCGTAATTCTTCGATATAATATCGAAGAATTATGATATTCTTCTTCATAATTCTTCGAGCAATCGAGGAGTTAACATCTCCTGATGATGCCGTCCACACGTGATGGCGAAACGTCGAGAACCTCTTCTCGCTCACATCGGCCGAACAGCCCGAAAGACAATATGCTGAACGATGGCCGAGCCTTACACAATTTAACATATACATTTTCAATTAAACAAAATGAGAAATACAGTAGGTAACTTATTTACAATATATTATACGTCCCGACGTTTGCTTTGCAGCAGCCGTGGTCACGGAGGGATACAAATTCTAATTTTTTAAATTTGTTCTGTCAAATATATATTTTACGCTGCATAATCTTTTATGCCACAGATACTTAACAAATTTAAAACTACCTTCCTACCATATTTCGGGTGGGTAATCCAATACACGAAGCAGTTGTTCGAGTCTCAAATGTTCTTCTAGATGGGCCACACTCTAACGACATCGCCGTGGTCCTGGTGGCGCGTTCAGGGTCTGGAGTGCAGTTTAATTCGCATGTGCGGCCTATCTGCCTCCCAGATAACTTAGATAACACGGGAAGATGGTGTGCTGTTAGCGGTTGGGGGTACCAGGAAGGTATGACTGGCACCAGTACATTTGAGATAAACCTCTTGAGAAGAGAATGTTCGTCGGTGCATTTTAAGTTAAATTACAATTTCCTTATTTTAAACAAAACACTTTAACGGTTAAACCGCGACTTCCGTCCACCATGTTTCAGAAAAATAATAATTTGAATAATTAGAAAAATGTTAGACCGGGGGGGATCGAAGCCACGACCCGTTCATTATTGTCAGAATTATCAGTTAAACTTATTTGAAAAATAATTTTATTACGACCCGACGATCGGATGCTTTGCAGCAGTCGTGGTCACGGGGAGGCTCCCCGTTAGTGTTTTATTTAAAGTTGTATTATTTGCGTATACTATAGATAGTATTTAATTTTCTTTTTATTAAAAAGGTTGAGTTTTTAAGATGATCTGGATGTTTGAAAACATTAGTTTTCGATTTAGATATTATATGAATGTAGTTTTTCACATTCCACTAAATTAGTTGGTCCACTTGGTAGAAAGTTGCTTGTCTATTTTCTTCTGTCACAAAATGGTATCTATGATATGGTTCTTTTCTAATTAAAATAATTGTTCCTTTTCAGAGGGGACAGAACAAAAATTTGCTCCAGTGTTACGTGCAGCTGCTGTTCCAATATTGGATCTGGCGACCTGCAGGAAGGATCAAATCCTGGGCGGGAGACAGCAGACTATACTTGACTCGATGTTGTGTGCTGGTAATTATATTATTTCGTTCTCATTTGAATTGGTAGCGGTTTTAAATGCAGCTTCACAGTCGTGGTCACTAAAAACTTGGGGATGGGAACGCTGAACGACGCCAGGTGGACAGGCAAGCATGGTATTCACTTGAGAGGTGAAATACAACGGCTGTATAATATCGCAACAAGAAGCGCTGTTGATCTATTTTGGTTTTGAATTTGGTAATTGCACATTGTTTCGTGACCCGGATTGAATTTCTACATTCCCATTTCGGAAAAATTTTAATTTGAAAAATTAGAAACACGTCGGAACCGCTGGAGATCGAACCCGCGACCCGGTCATTATTAGCCATTGTAACCATTAGACCAACGAGTCCATCAAATGCACAACTTTAACAGCCATTAAGCATTTCCCAAAGCTGGGACCCGCAATATAAAGAGATTTTCCCGGAGCTGTAAACACCCAGGTGGACGGCGGTGTGTTTAGTGTTTCAATGCGAACTACTTCACAATAAGCTGTGTGTCGTAAGTTGAAATCCTACCTGTTATAGTAAAAAAAATATTACTTTATATTCATGTACCTATAATTCTAATATCAAATGTATTATATAATTCGAATATTTCCATCAGGTGTATTATCTGGAGGGGTGGACGCTTGCCGTGGTGATTCGGGGGGCCCTCTCGCCTGCATGGCTGGAAACAGGTGGCAGATCCACGGTGTGGTATCTTGGGGGTCAGGCTGTGCGCGGCGGTCCAGACCCGGGGTCTACACCCGAGTCGCTTCATATGTAAATTGGATTAGGAGTACTGCTGCATTCTTGGGTCACAAGTTATAGAAAAGAGGAAGGTTTTGTCGATTTTTAACAAGTTCTTTAGCCGTAAAAGAGTATGAAACATTTATAATCCGTCCATTTTTGATTTATAATATTAGTAGAACATATGTGTAGAGTGTATTTCGATAAATCAACATGGGAAAACGATGGTGTTTCTAATCGTTAGCACACAAAATTTTATCAAAACGTGTTTAGCCATTACGATTTGACAGAGACATACTCATCCATTTCAACAAACTCCGGAGCCTGGACATTTCTTTTTCCTATTACATGTAAACTATAAATTGCTAATAATTTTGAGTAAGGCGTATATTTTAGTTATAAATAAACATATTTATTATTTAGTAAGTACTTATATGTAGTGATAATGCCAAAGATTAATCATTAAGAAAATATATGTAGATATCTGCTAGAGGCAGAGTGGCCTAATAACAAAAGACATGATTTTCAATAAGGAGGAAATAAAAAATGCGCAATTCATTTATACGAAGTATAGCTTGTTCTATTATTCGTGTATAAATTATGTTAACAATTTTTTTATCACAGTGCTCTTGTGGATTAACATTTTTAGATAATAAAAATATAAATAAGTCAAGTCATACAATTGCAGTTAGGCTACTCTGGTTCTAGTGGCCTTATATATAGGTGGTCTACAATACATGTATTTTAATTATTAAGTGACAAGCAATGCTTCTTGGTTTTTTGAGCTTTGCTCAGACATCATCAAGATGTGTTGGCGTCAACCAAGCGAAGACAATACAAGACGATAAACTGGAAGGCACTAGAAGGTTTGCAAAATGGCTGCGAATGCGGCTTTTACAATTGATAAGCAATGATTTATTTGTAATAAATGTACATTTTTATTGATATTTGGTTTATTATTTCCGTCCTCAACTGTACCCACTGTGCTATAGCCCACCTTACATAACACGGTATTGTTTCTGGGTTCAAATCTCGCCAGTGTCATAAAAATTTGAAATAGAGAATAAAAAAAAAAACCGTTAATCTTTGTATATTGAACGCTTTACGTTCAATATACAAAGGGTCAAGTAGCTTGAAATTGTGTTATTTTCATTTTGTGTCGAAAAGTTTATATGTCTTTTATGTGAGTGATTAACGAATTAATGTCTTATATCTACACATCTTAATTAGATGTTATAGGTCATTTCAACTAAACCAAAAACTTTTTCATCCTCCACTTTTATAAAAAGCCTAATCACAAACTTATTTACTTTTAATGGTTTAATATGCGAAATTTATTCACTAACTCATAATTTTCAGGTTTTGAACGGTTAAAAGCGTTTTATTTAAATGTATCACTCAAGTAAACTACAGACAATGCTTAAACTCGATTAATGCTTAATTATTGTTATGTTCTTGGAATTATAAACACACGCGGATCTCCACCTACATACATTTATTTGTACATAATATCTTTATAATGTATTCTCTGAGATATTACTTCCGCAAATAAAACTACTTATTATAAACTATCAATATTCTGTATTATTAGGAAAATGATAAGTTAATAAATACTTTTTTTATTTGTCACCTTAACTAACCTTTTATCAATGACTAGCTGAGCCAGCGACTTCGTGCGCGTAGACTAGTTATTTTGGGTATCCAAAATTATTTTTGCAAACCTCTTGTTTAATTCTATAAATGTAAGCTGTTACACACTGTGTCGGTCCCGCCGTTCTTGCAAGTTAATCTTAAAAGATAGATGTATATATTCTTACATACATATTTTCTGGGTATCTTGAACCGTTTTCGCAGCACACGCAACGGGATAAATAACTTTCCCGTTTTTTCCACATTTTTCCATCGTTTCTTCTTCTATTAGTCGCAGCGTGACGTTTTAGAGCCTAAAGCCTTCCTCGATAAATACTCTAACTAACACAATTCAACTTAAACCAGTAGTTCATAAGATAAGCGCGTTCAAACAAACAAAAAGTTCAGCCTTATTATATTAATATAGATACAAGTGAGGAAAAACTTAAATGTTTACAATAACTTATATTATGAATATTACATAAGTAATTTTTAATTACTATTGTTATTTGTTCATTATAAATAAATGTTAATACATGACATGTGTTCTCCGTCTAATCTTATTCGTTTAGATGCTTATATATTTGAAAATTTACTTGTTTCTCACATAACAACATAATGTCTGTGGCTTACGCGAGGAGTACACATTTAATTTAACATATAAACGGTTTTAAACGTGAAATATAATTAGACTTATTTGGAAATTATTTTATTTGCGGCTCGACGTATGTAGCTTTGCAGCAGCTGTGGTCACGGGGAGATGGAAGGTGTCTCTAACGTCAAAGTAAAAAACTGCTACGCTAGCGCCACCTGTTCCGTTGAAGTTTGTATTTACGAAACGGTGGTCCTTCAGGATTGCCTAACGGTGTCTTCGCTTTTGCCAGATTATAATACACAGTGTAATAACATGTGAAAATATAATAAAGCTTTTGCATATGAAGTCGTTACATGAAAAAACTAATTGGATTGAAAAAAAAGACAAAACGGGCGGGACTCGAATCGATAACCACAGCTTCTCTGGCTGACTGACACGGTACCTCAATTGTTTAGAGCAAAGGAACGCTGTGGATGCCAGTTAGATACCCGCTCGTGGTGTAATTTTTTATAATCTCAATAGCTATTTTTTAACTACTATTTTCCAAAATTAGTTTAACTGGATTTAATATAATTTAGATATTATTCATTACTTATTTTATTTACAAGGGTGGCATTCTTAGTTGAATGGTTACGCGTTGTCCAGCATTGCGTTCCCGGGGAAAAATATTTTCGGTCCGACACGGCACAGAGACTTACGCGGTACGTTATAATAAAAAAAGAGTCATCTAACTGGTCTAATGCATATATTTGTAAATGAATTTGTAAGTTAAATCCTATTCATCCTATCCATCTAGGGCCTGGGACGAACACATTTTTGTGTCCGTTTTACTAAACGATTTTCATTACTTTTCTATGTTGTAACCCATTGAAACCATTTCTTATTATACTGGGATACGAACCCGGGACTTATTGCGCTTAACACTAGTGTGTTTAACCAATGAAATATAGAGGCAGTCGTTTCTGGGCCAAGGCATTATCGACTAACGTTCAAAAGATATAGAAAATCTATGTTTATTTATTTGTTCGGTTTATCTTTGTTCTACTAACATACGACCCGATCTAAGATAATGAATTATTACGATTCCTATCTATTACATGTAAATGCTATAATAATTATATGTAACACACTTACTGTACCTATATGTTTCTAATCTATGTAGAATAAAAATGCTTTGATGTTCAACAGGTAGAGCGGTTCAGGGTTTGAATTCTTCTCGAGTGAAATATTACCATGGTATTTTTCAAAGAAAATGTATAGTGACAGGAGATATCGTAAGGTAGTGGTAGGAGGCATTGAGGAGTTATATCCACCGCGCTGGTCCAGTGCGGGTTGGTGGGCTCAATTGACTAAATTAGTGATGATAACTTAACTTATTAAAATCCTTTTGTAAAATACCTTTCAACTAACTTTAACTTTGGACTTAACAATCGAGTGTACTAACTACTAGACTTACGAGGTATTTAGTATATAAACATAAGTATAATTGAAGTATTTGAATAAAATACTTTTAACGGTTTAAATCGCATAATATATTATTTCTTATTTTTTTATTTAATTTAACTACGGCCAACGTTTCCGATGGTTCGCAGCAGCCGTAGTCACGGGGGGCTAACGTTGAATTAAGTTAAAAATATTTTAAGTAATACATTTCGCGTTTTAAACCGTTAAACCTGTCTTTTTAAACCATTCGTGTTAACTACAGATAATACTCATTGAACTAGTTAAATTTACGTAACACAGACACGTGAATTTTAAAACGTGACCGCCGTCATTTATCGTCCAATGACCTACTTCAGAATATTATGACGTTAAGGTAATGGCCAAGTGCGAGTCGCCTTTTATTAAAATCAACTTAAGTACTTATAGAAACGCTATGCGAGCTTCGAACATAAAAACAATTGAATATTAAACTCTGTGAAATATTTAAGAACTTACATGTAATAGAAATTATATTATATTATTGTCATGTATATACATTATAATTATATATATAGTAGTATAAATGTATATATATATAATACTTTAACGGTTTAAAACGTGACATAAACGCGGTGAGATGTCTTCCCATGACCACGGCTCCTGCAAAGCATCCGAAACGTCGGGCCGTAGTTAATAATTATTTTCAAATAAGTTTAACTAATATGTGTCGCGTTTTAAACCGTTAAAGTGTTTTATTTAACTGTGTACTACTCGCGTATTGATAGATAGACATTGATTGAGAGACATCAACAGTTACCCACTAAACGAATTGAATTAAAATAAAAAAATACAGTACTACATAAACGTAAAAAAAAATTATAAACCAAAAAAAACAGTTATGTGATAAATTAATAATAATTTTACCAACCAATAGTGACGAGATAAAGCAAGACACGGGGCAGCGTGGCAGGCCGAGTTCAAGCAAGAGAACTGGCTCTACATTCTAATGATAGTAATGTACGGCTAATGATCAACGTCGTCGCGGTTCGACCCCCCCCCCCCCCAACATCCATAATTGTTCTAATTTTTAATCTTATTCTGAAACCTGCTGGATTTCGTCTGGAAGTCTGGATATTAAATGGGTGGTAGGAATATAGAAATTCCGTCCGGATCACGAACCACCGTCCACACATGAAAAAGATGTGAAGTGGATTTCCGAATATTCAAAGCCAAAATAGATAGACAGAGTATCTCGTTTAGATGCTATATGCTGGGGTATCTCATCTACCATCAAGTAAACCCCGTGACATGTCTATCCTGCTCTATGATTAAAAAAAAACATTTTGCGTAAACAAACATCTTTAACGTAAACACATGACATTCAAGATTTCACATTTTTTTAATAGCAGCAATTATTGTGTTATATATCCAATAT